AACTGGGAGTCGAGAACCGAGATCACAAAACACTTTTTCACACAGAGTATAGTACGAGTGTTAAAAATTAATAGATACCCAGCATTCCTTTTAGGTAAAATCTGCTAAGTCAAGCTTTATCGAGGATTTAGCATACTATAACATAAAACAATACTACCGCGGAATGAGACTTTCACAGCCGAAGTCCGAATCCGGTCTTGTCTGTTATTTTCTAGTGGAACGCACAGGACTTTTACCTGCTCTTGTTCTCTAAACATGAATTTGTTGGGATGTCCGATCCCAATAGTTCGAATTATGACTCGACAATCCAAATATGGTGTAGCAAGATTTATTATGAACAGAGCGAGCACAACATGCATTAACCAGTTACTACAAATGTCTAACAAATTATACTACCAGTCTTTGAAGACAGTCACACAACGTCACGGAACACCTTCCTTGTGATTCTTAAAAGGACCTCTCCACACTGGTCTCTCCTCTCTCTCTGGAGCCTTCCTGTTCTTCTAATTGTTCTCACCTCGAGTGCTATAGTTATACCTTTCTCCAAGTGTTCTTCCTAGGGCCCGTCTACCCACTTCTGATACAGTCACATACTCAGGTTAATGAATCATTTGGCTTGGTGCATCTTCGGAGTCCTGTCGCTCAGTGGTTAGAGCACTCGCTTTGCAAGTGAGAGACCTGAGTTCAATTCCAGGCAGAGGGCGAAACCTTGAGCAAGTTTCCTTACTCCACACAGAGCCTAATATTAATCCCTCAAAAACCAAAAGCAATAATTAAATTAGTCATTTTCAATCTACGACTGTTTGTGGGACATTGCTGTGCGCAATTGGCTGCCGCGTTCGCCCACAAATATACAGTCAGTGAATTGAATTTACACTGTGAAGCGCTTTGGGACTTCCTCCCGACGTGAAAAGCGCTATATCAAATGCAAGGATTATTATTATTATTATTCCCTTTGTCCTGTCTAAATTAGGAGATTGATCAATTTAGGGCTGTAATCTGGTACTTGTTATTTGGTTATGTGCGATCATTAGTATATTCCTTTTAAGTGACTGGTTATTTCTTATCAGTATCCCGGGATGATGCCAAAGTCCTCTAGTTTAAACAACTTGCTCATTATTTGCTATTCTTGAGGGTTGCCTTTTGTCACTTGGCAAGCCGCCCTGTCAGAATCTAGCGCCTTATTGCTAAGTCGAGAGCCTGTTTCGACCGGTACCTTGAACCCTTCCCTCTGTGGGTTTGTTGTTATTCACTGATAAGAGGTGACCCTCTGCCCTTTACCAAAGCTGTCTTGTTATTCTTTCAGAAACAGAGAAAACCAGATGTGTCCTATCCCGTGACTGTCAGTACTTTCTCCATTCTACATTTGTTTAATGTCTCATTATTATTAGACTACAACTTCTATAATCTAACAGGAGTGTGGAATTTTCTTCCTCCGTCAGTTGTCAGGCAACGACCATGTGCACATTCAAAAAAAGACTGGGCATATGGTTAAGAGAGAATAACGTTGAGGGATATAGGGAAAAGCCGAAATACGGGCTAGAGAAAGGATTAAGGATTGGCACTCATAAACACTAGCCAGACTGGATGGATCAAATAGCCTGACCAAAAGCTGTACCATCTATGAATCTATGAATTCTTACCACCCTCACAAACAGCTGTAAAAGCAGAATCAACAGAGATATTTAGTAATAATACTAATAATCCCTACATTTGATATTGTGCCTGAGTCCTGTAGCTCAGTGGTTAGAGCACTTGCTTTGCAAGCAAGACACCTGAGTTCAATTCCAGGCAGGGCGAAACCTTGGGCAAGTTTCCTTACTCCACACGCCTAATAATAATCCCTCCAAAAAACCCAAAACAATAATAAATTGGTCATTTTCAATCTACGACTGTTTGTGGGACATTGCTGTGCGCAATTGGCTGCCGCGTTCGCCCACAAATATACAGTCAATTCACTTTACAGTATATTCTGTGAAGCGCTTTGGGACGTCCTCCCGACGTGAAAAGCGCTATATCAAATGCAAGGATTATTATTATTATTATTCCACAACAGGAGAACACCTCAAAGCTCTTCAGAGAAATTTATTCCAATTCGGGGTGACTGTTCAGTTTGTAGGTGCTGTCAGCATCAACCCGCATAGATGTACATTCCCAACTGTCCTTTAAGCTCCACATCCATGCTCTACCTCACTCTTTGACTCAACATTCCCCAACTCCAAAACATTGCCCGTCTCTGCCACTACCTCACTCTTTGGATTGCCAAAACCATCATTCATACATTAGTCCTCTGGACTTGAAAGGCATGAAGGTAAATTCATATTGTGTAGGTTCTTTTTATTGTTCTGGGAATATTAGCGCATGATGTTCCTAAGTTATTGTTTCTGTTAATGCCGCTGATGTGAATAAAACTAAGACTCATCATTCCTCACCCCTCCTCTCCTCTCCCATTTCTACAGATTGACGTAGAGAACCCACAGAATGTATTGTTATATTTCTAGGACACACCCAACATTACGATTTTTTACAAATGGTGCAATCAATCTTTTGTGCACAGATACGGATTTTTCACAGCTCTTCCTGTGCAACTTGTTTTGTTTTTTTTGCCAATAGCAAACTTCTTGAAACAAGACTAATCCCTACTGAAATGTGGAATAACTTGATTCGGAACTTTAGTTTTAGCCATTGCTGGATTTCCTTTTTCACAGTCATTCGTAATGTTTTCTGCTTACTGACACATATGCCATGTTTAGTATGTATTGGCAGAGATGGGCAATGTTTCAGAATTGGGGAAAGTTGAGTCAAAGAGTGAGTTGGAGCACGGATGTGTAGCTCACGTTGCATTCTTTAAAAGGTGATTCATTATATATAATTATCGCTAAATTAAATAAAATGTATTTACTCATCTGGGTGTATCTGCGAATCAAACTGGTTAATCCACTGACACATGAAAAGCGCTCTATGAAATGCAAACATTCTCATTATTATTATTACATTCAATTCAGGAATAACTACGTAAAACTTCAAGAATTTAAGGTATGCTATGTGAATGCACAGAGTGGAACAAACAAAATGACAAATGAGGTAGAAGTGCTAATAAATAGACAGACGGACAGTGCTACTAATGGCAAGCTATGTGGTTTTAGTTGGTTAACCTCCAGCAGTACCCCAATGCATACTCTGGAGTCCCTACATCCAACCATCCTTCCCTTAAAAACTTACACGTAAATACTGTGCATACACAAAACTCTTCACAGTCTTTGTCATGAAAATGAAAAGCAAAAATTAAAGTCCAGACAGTTTCTTATCTTCTGGCACTCTTCGAAAAGACAGAGGAGTTTCTCTTTATGACCTGACCAAAACTCCTCCAGAAAAAAAATTGTTCTCTTCATGGCTGTTTATGTAACTTTGCTTCATGCAAATTGTCTGCCACATTCACCTAAACAAAATGCAGTCACAAATCTTTACAGTAAATCTTGTAAAGCACTTTAAGACATCTCAAGAACACGATTGAGATGCTATATCAAAGGTAAGGATTATTATTACAAATCTTGAGGCAGGGGTCTCTGAATAAAAATCAGAAGCAGGAAACCAGCCTGATTTTTTTTACTTCTTCAGTCAAAAAGCATCTGCTGCCTTGCTTGAGTTCAGCACGGAGCCCATGTATGATCCTAATAATCCTCGCATTTGATATAGCGCTTTTCACGTCGGGAGGATGTCCCAAAGCGCTTCACAGAACACACTGTAAAGTGAATTGACTGTATATTTGTGGGCGAAACGCGGCAGCCAATTGCGCACAGCAATGTCCCACAAACAGTCGTGGATTGAAAATGACCAATTTATTATTGTTTTTTGGTTTTGGAGGGATTATTATTAGGCTCTGTGTGGAGTAAGGAAACTTGCCCAAGGTTTCGCCCTCTGCCTGGAATTGAACTCAGGTCTCTCACTTGCAAAGCGAGTGCTCTAACCACTGAGCTACAGGACTCCATGATGAAATTCAATAAATCAAAACATAGACCTGTGATGACTGATGACCACCTTGCAGCAGTTCTCTCTAACCACTGAGCTACAGGACTCCACTCCATGTATGTCATGTAATATAATGTAATATTATCTCGGAGGGTATTAGGCGCAAGTTGGCAAGAGCCAAGAGCCCAGAGTGTGCTTTCAAGTAACAATCAAATTTAAACAAAAATAAATTGCATTTAAATAACGCCTTTATGGAGGATATCCCAAGATGTTAGACAGTCAAAGATTTGCACCTGAGCTGGAGATTGGATTTGGGAGCATTGCAGACCAAGAGGATGGAGGGTGAGAGAGGGAACATGACCAAAGAAGAAGGTCTTGAGATGGAGCTTGATGGAGGGATTGAGTTCTGGAGCATGGGGGCAGATAGGCTGAAAGCCCAAACCCCGACAATCGGGCGGGCAGGGCGGGGGATGTGAAGCCGGTCAGTGCCTGCTGAGCAGAGGGTGACAGGAATTTAGAAGGTCGCAGAGGGAAGGTGGGGCAAGACCATGGAGGGGTTTGAAAAATGAGGACGAGGATCTTGAGCTCAATCCTCTGGTAAATGGGGAGCCAGTGGAGCCAACTGAGGGTGGTGGTGAAAGGTTTGTGGAACCTGGTGTTGGAGAGGACACCAGAGTGGTAGAGTTCTGGATGGACTACAACAACAACAACTTGGATTTATATAGCGCCCTCCACGCCGGATGGCGTCTCAGAGCACTTTATAGTAACAGCTTACCGCTGCTTGTCCGCCTAGGACCAACATAACCATTAGCTTTGGCTTGCAGAGTTAACAGGAGACGAGTGGGAAGAATCCGAGCAATCAGTAGGAACCCAGTTGTTAGTCGATGGGCGAATTGCTCTTCCGGGGGTAATAATCACTTATAAATAGTGACACAACCCAATCATAAACTCAAATTCTTTTGGTTTCATTGGCCTCGGGCAAAAGCTGAAAAAGTATTTAAAAGCTCCGCAACAAGGAAGTTAACCAGAAGACACCCAACAAACTTCACTAACTGTCTAGAGGAAGTTGCAGGAGAGAGAATGAAGTTCTTTTTGACCATCACACTTCTTTGCCTGTGTGATGCAGAAATATTACCCCCTTGCCCACCTAATTCTTCTGCTTCATTGGATGTTGACAACACATTATTTAATCTTGAGATTTCTCCAAACACCCTCCAAGCAAATACGACTTACAATGGTAAGTAATTGACCAAATTCACAAAATCCAGTCTTTTCTAACTCATAGAGACTGCTAATATGTATGCTTTCGATGTAAAAAAAAAACTGGTAACTCTGATAATTAGACTATTGATGCAGTTTAAAATTTAGTGTAATAATCCTTGTATTTAATAATCCTTGCACTTGATATGGTGACTTATCACATCTTCGCGATGTCTCAAAACGCTTAATGTGACTGAGTAGCAACTGCCATTTGATTGGACATTTTAATAGACATTTTATTTTGATCAGCTTGCTGTCTTAACAAAGAAACCCACCACCATGCTTAACAGTTTCCAAAGCAGACAGTGAGTTTAAACAAATGCATAGAAATGTCCTGTTGTCTCGTAGCTCCATTCACCAAATCGGAGTTAATATTAGGCATATGCCCTGAACCCTCTACCCTTTGTTCTGTTGAAACTCTGAAAAGTTTAACAAATTCTATGCAATAGGCATCAAAAAAAAAATCAGATAAAAGATGTTTGTCTTCAATTGTTTTCTGGGGGAAAGATACCTTCAACGCTACAACTGGTTCACTCAGCACTGTAAGGGCGAGCGGAAATGGGAACAGGTTTCCATTCCCCGATTCTCTCATCGCTTTCCTCAAATTCGTTTTGAAACATTACTGAATGAAAACGAAAGGCAGGTCAGGTTCCCATCTAAAGAAAAAAAAGTCGATACTACCTACATCTAGTTTTACTGCCGGTTCTTTCTCTCCTGTTGTAACGAGAATGAAAGTACTCTAGAAAAATTATAAAATCCAGAGTGCTTGTGCATAAAGCTTATAATAATAATAATCCTTGCATTTGATATAGCGCCTTATCACATTGTGGAGACATCTCAAACTCTTCACAGGATACACTGTAAACTTTTGAAACAGGTTCCTATAAACTGATAAACATAGCAGGATTTATATGTCTATCATTATCACTCATAAACCTGACTTTATTCCTCATCGGACTTAAAGCCTGGCTGGTCACCTCTATTTCTCACAATAATCATTTAAATTTGCTTAAATAATAGCTTAATTAATTTAATCAGAATTTAGCATTAAAGTAGCATTAGTTTGTATTGATATTTGCTGTGCCTCGCATTACCACAAGAGAGTGAAGTTTCTCCAGCTTATATAAATGTTGTGGGGGTAAAGTTAGATTTGGTGTTCACCTGTGAATTTCTTATTCTAAGGTTGCTGCAAACAAAACCCACCCCACATTTTTTTTAAATTCCCTCCAAAAGCTTTCTAAACAATCGGTTTTTGCAATTTTTTTTCAAAAGTCACGCTGTCCTATGATACTTATCTGTACATTTGATGCTTCGCTCACAAAACATGTCGTCCGTTCACTTTACAGTGTATTCTGTGAAGCACTTTGCCACTTTGCAAAGACACGATAAGGCGCTGTATCAAATGCAAGGATTTTCATCATTATTATAGCACCTTCCAAAACAGACAAGAAGGTCACAGATCTGTACTCGCCTCATCCAAGGCAGCAGAGAGATCTTACCATTGGGCTTCTTGTCTTCAAGCTAAGGTGGGGCAAATGGGTCAGAAATTTCTCTCTGCTGATCTCTGCTGGTAGAGCTTGCATGTGTGTAATTATTGGCGAGTACAGGTTTGGGCTCAGTCACAATGTCCGACACAATTAAAGACCATTGAAAAAAAAATTATTCCCGCAAAAAAAATCTGGATATTTACCTTTCGTGTCAATATTGGGAGAGAATTCAGTAAATCCCCCCTCTCTCTCTCCCTGGCTCGGGGTCAGACTCCTTCACTGTCAAGTGCTCCAGAACACTAGACCTCGTGATGGGCGCTATAGAATTGCAAGTTGTTGTTATATTAACTTGTCTTCACATTGCAGACAGTGGTTAATGATGATGTTCTGTTGTTTCCCAGTTAGCGTTAAAATCAACAACAGTTCGGTTTCCGTGTATCTGGCAGCTACTGTTCAAGATAAAGCCACAGGGAAATGGAATAATTCTTCCCTACAATGCTTAGAAATTGATCAACTTTCAAACTCATCAGTCAGTTACACCTGGTTATCACCTCAAAGCGTGGCAGATCCTGTCAATATCATGTGAGTTATTATTATTAATATTTTTATAAGTCTGCTCAATCTTAAAGCCAGGTTGTCTGTCTGTTATTTAAGAAGCATGATAATAATTTTATATTTCAAATTTTAAATTTTATGATACTTTATATTTATTAAATCGTTTTCACAGGTAATCTTCCGTTGTGTCACTCATCACTTGTCCCATTAGTTTTCAAATGAATGAGCCCTTGTTGTCACGATTTTCAAATCTGAAGTAGATTTTAATCATTTTGTAGCCCGTATCACATTGTAAAGTTCTTCACAGTAACATTGTCCAGCTCTGGGATGGTACCCTGTGTGACGGATGCTATATAAATGCAAGTTGTTGTTGTCTAATCAACCTAAGCAGCTAAGAATGCTGCATTGTCAGAGGTGCCCTCCTTCAGATGAGATGTTAAACCAACATCCTATCTGTCCCTAGTGGTGGATGTTAAAGATCCTGTGGTATTATTCAAAAAGGGAAGGGAATTTCTCTCATGCTCTGGCCGACAATAACCACGGATAGAAATTGGTCATTCAGTTCATAACTATAAGTCATTGCTGTGTGTAAATTGGACGCTACTTTCGCTTACAAATACACCGCCACTCTTATGAAGTACTTAACATCTCGACAACGTGATAAGGTGCTATATCAAATGCACGGATTATTACAAATCGTGTCTTGACACAGTGCTTGAACCCACAAACACCCACAAGCACCCACACCAGCTCTATCTGTGACCAGGGCTCCCTCTGACTCCTTGTCCTCCTGGACTTCTCTGCCGCGTTCGACACAGCCGATCACTACATCCTGCTCCACCGCCTTTCGTCCGTCATCCACCTCAGTGGGACCGCACTCGCCTGGTTCGAGTCATACCTCACAAACCGCCAGCAGTACATCTGCACAAACGGCTTCTCCTCCCGTTCTCACCCGGTTACCTGCGGGTACCCCAAGGATCCATCTTGGCCCCTCCTCTTTCTGATTACATGCTCCCCCTTGGGGGTGTCATTTGCAGACATGGGGTACATTTCCACATGTACGCATATGACACCCAACTCTACTTTTCTGCTGTGTTTTGCACAAAACATGCAGTCAATTCACTTTACAGTGTATCCTGTGAAGTGCTTTGAGAGGTCTTGAAGACGTGATAAGGCGCTATAACAAATGCAAGGATTATTATTATTATTGCTTGCGATGTGAACAGTGTGCTAAATGTAATCGCTGAAGTGGTAATAATGCCATGGGAACTTTAATATCAGGTGGATAGGATTTTGCTAACGTTCGTCTGAAAATGGCATCTCTGGCAATGCACCGCACTGCGTTGGGATGTCAGCCTCGACTTTGGGTTCCTAGTCTCAAAATGGGATTTGAACCTACAACCTTCCCATTTAGAACTAAGCCAGTGAGCGCTACCAACTAACCGAGTTAATCAAATATTGTTTTGCTTATTTTCCTCCTGATCTTTTTTCCAGGGCAACTGTTCGAAGCAACGTATCTTTTCAGCAACTTTCTCAAATTCTTAAAGGTAAGAATTGATTTTAGCTATTAATGTTTTATTATAGACTGACAGACAATATCCTCCTCCATTGCAACACTATAAGTAACATAGAACATAAGGTTCAATGTTGGAATACTAACTCCGGTCTGAGCTAGTTGATAAAAACACCACAATTAAGGTTGAGGGGGTTATACTGAGACATCTAGGAAAAGGAAGAGGCAAGTCATAAAACCTTCAGTTGAGGAGGAGTAAGGAAGGAAATTGTAGGGGAAATGTCAGCTGTGAAGATTATATCATACGTTTATTACTCTTCGATGATTTAATCAATATAACTTAATTTCCAATAAATATTATTGCACATATTCTAAACTCTATGTTACTTAATAAATGTATTTGATTTCACACAGTGCCTGAAGTGCCCATATTCCAACCCACCATGCATGGGACAAACACCTCAACCGCAATCCAACCCGCCATGAATGGGACAAACACCTCAACCACAATCCAACCCGCCATGAATGGGACAAACACCTCAACCACAATCCAACCCGCCATGAATGGGACAAACACCTCAACCACAATCCAACCCGCCATGAATGGGACAAACACCTCAACCACAATCCAACCCGCCATGAATGGGACAAACACCTCAACCACACTGCTCCACGGCAACAGCACTATGAAGGCCACAACTGCAAACACAATCTCAATGGTCAGCACAACCACTATTACCACCACAAGTGCTTCTGGTACCTTTGAGCCACTGGGTGGATTTGCAATCACACTGTTAGCAGCATTTGTAACAGGTAGACGGTTGCTTTTGTAAAACAAAATGCATCTTGTGTCTTGATTGTTGATCATTGATAAATACCTGCATGTTCAAGGCCTCTAAATCAGAAACACTAGGCTACCTAAATTCTAGACATTTGTACTGCCCTGTGTCAATCTCCGTAGTCCTGAATTGGGAACCGTATGTCATAAAATCTTTCATTTGTTTTTCCCCTTCTTCAAAGTGGGTATACCATTTTTACACAATTTAACACGAAATGTTACAGGCGCGCCATTAGTCTGTCCCCATTCCAAATTTCAAATTGACAAGGAATTCAAAACTCGTCATTCAGTAGAATGGTTTGATCGTCACAGGTACCAACAAAGGCCTCTGATCAGAACTGTGATCTGAATCATTTTTGCACAGCAATATAGTTCAACTTTGGAAAAGCCCCTCAGAATCTCTAACACCTGACCCGGGAGATGCATGCAGCTATTTGTTAATGACCACTGCTAACTCTAATTATATCTTTTGCTGAAATATTGTTATGCCTTCATGCTTGAATAAATTCAGATTGACGGTGCGATGGGAAGATGGTAGGGTCAGTTTTCTGGAAGGAAAAAGTCCTATCAGCTCAGGGGCCTACTCTAATCCTGTGATTGGATTGTCTAACACACAGGTGGGGAATTATTTTGGCTGGCCGGGTTTTGGTAAGCTTCGCGGGCCACATACTTAATATAGATGCAAATGCTGTATAATAGCTCAGAATCAAGTCTTACACTTGTACATGCATAAAATCAAGTGTATATGATTGACATTCATCAAAATTAAGTTGAATAAAAACAATTGATGAGAATGTGAGAAGCTCACTCAATGGGAAGAATGAAAGCCTGATGTGCGTTAGCCAGACTATTGAAGTCAGGCATCGTCTCCGTTGTTGCAATGCGGAGAACTGCTGCAAGGTGGTCATCAGTCATCACAGATCTATGTTTTGATTTATTGAATTTCATCATGGAGTCCTGTAGCTCAGTGGTTAGAGCACTCGCTTTGCAAGCAAGAGACCGGAGTTCAATTCCCGGCAGGGCAAAACCTTGGGCAAGTTTCCTTACTCCACTTACGCAAAGTGAGTGCTCTAACCACTGAGCTACAGGACTCCACAGTGACTTGATGACTTGACACTGCAATACAAATTGTGCACAAAGGTCCCCTTCCGTTGCAGTTGCAGTTTTGAATTCAGTTCATTCATGTGGCCCATGGTATCAACGGCAAATGCAAAATCAGAGAGCCAATTCTGCAATGTGAGGCCATTGGAATATCTCAGGGAAACTGGTTGCTGAATTCTACATTCTGAAATCCTGCTCTCTGAAACTCATAAGAATTTGCTAGACAAAAGAAGGCCAAGGTTCATCGAGTTCGCCTCCCACCATCCTGGCAGTTGCATTCACGTGTCGTGTCGCAAAATATATCCTGTATCCCGAGATATTATTTCCTAAAATAAATCTATCTAATTTGCTTTTCAAAGAAGCGACACCTGATGGTTCCACTTGGGAGCCTCTTCCATACATTTCATCCTGGAATTCCTCTTAGTCCCGCCCCACCTTTAAAACACACCTCATTACCTAGAATTGCAATAGTGATGTGGGTCATCTTCCCCCCAGGTCAGCTGTGAAGAGCTTTGAGACAACATCTTCCCAACATCAAATGTACAATACAAATGTACAAATGCACTATATAAATGTACATTGTTGTTCAATTGCTTGCCTCCAACACGTAGGTTTGACAACGAATGAACCTCACCCCCTCACTTGCCTCCTTCAAGACCCATCTCAAGACCCTCCTCTTCGACCGCGCCGTCGGTCAACCTCCTACCCCCTACCCTCCCCCTGATCCCAACCACCAGCTCGGGTGCAGATCTTATCTGGAGAAACTGAGAATTCCATGCACCCACCTACCTTGTCCTTCTAACAGGCCAGGGATCTGGTAGCAGTTCTCTGTTTTTCCTGGGTTATTTATGAATGAACCATGATGTGGATTTGGTTCAGGTGTTGCGAAGTCCCTCTTTTCCTGAATCTCCCTTTGCCTCTCCATTCTGCTGTTGGGATGTGAGTTCACAGCAATCTCAAAGCAGCTCACAAGAGGGCACCAAGGCATTGTATCGAGTTGTTTCATGGTGTCAGTTACAAATGTGCTTTTATCTTTCTGTGTACCTTTGCTATATTTCTATACTTTACGATTCTAATGCCCCAAATTACAGATTGGGGAAGACAGAATTATTGTCAGGAGTCCAATGGCCTCTTGTGCTAAAATTCCTATAAATCCCATTCATTCTATTTTGCAACATCTATTAGAACTTTGTAGTTCTTTACATAGCAAGCTATATCTTATCACATGCAGTCAAGATAAAATATCACATATTGTGAGATAATATTAGGCCTGAACGAAGAACATGCTCGACTATTTCCACTGGCGGGCGGATCAGCAGCCCAAGGACACAGATTTAAAGTAGTTGTTAAAAGAAAACAGGGAAGGTGAGGAGAAATTATTTTACACGGCGAGTTGTTCGGATCTGGAATGAATTGCCTGAAAGGGTGGTGGAAGCCGATTCGATAACAACTTTTAAGAGAGAAGTAGATAATTATTTGGGGAGGAACGAGTTTGCAGGGCTATGGGGAGAGCGCGGGGGAGTGCGGTTGAATTGGATAGCTCCTTTTCAAAGAGCCGGCACAGACCCGATGGGCCGAATGGCCTCCTTCTGTGCTGTAAAATTCTATGAATTCCATCTTGAACTTTTCCAGGAAAGTTTGAAACATAGAAACAGGAGAAGCCATTCAGCCCCTCGAACCTGTTCCGCCATTCTATACGATCATGGCTGATCTGTACCTCAACTCCAAATAGCCGCCCTTGCCCCATATCCCATAATCCTCACACACGTTCAAATCCCTTCACTCTCTGGCACCTTCCTACCTCTCCAACCTCCTCATTCCCCAATCCCGCTCAACTGGCACCGGCCTCCTGTTTCTCCCTTGCACTCTCCACCCCACCATCGGAGATCGCACTTTCAGCCACTACGCCCCGAAACTCTGGAACACTCTCCCTCAATCTCCTCCGCCTTGCCCCCTCTCTCCCCTTTTTCAAGTCCCACCTGAAAACCTTCCATGCTTACGTAATTACGTAATAAATGTAATTTGTTCTTGTTGCTGTATTCAGATGTCACTGCGTCCGGGAGTGGCTTCTCCACAGGGTGGAGGTTCCTTGAGATTTTCAGAAAAGTTTGGACGTAAAATCAAAGGGAAAGCTGAAAGCTGTGTGCTTTCCCGAAAACATAGAAACGCAGGAGGTAAACACAAGCCATTCACCAGAGTTTACCTGGCAAGATCCATCTTTAATTAAATGACTTCAAGGAGGCTATGCTTGGCGAGAGCCAACTATCAAACAGACAGAAATAGTTGTTTGGGGTACGGGTGCTATCCTGCAACTTGTAAAAGTCTTTTTTTTAAAAAAAGATTATTTTTTGTTCTGATGCACTCGGATACTGGTGCCCACAGCAAAAGGTCCTGTTTCTTTTGTTCCCGCCTCACTCAAACTCCTTTAAGAATATCTATTATTATTATTATTATTATTATATTATTATTATCTTGTACAGCAGCTTTGAGTTATCTCAAGATATTCCTTCACATCTCTCGCTGAGCTCATCGCCACTTTGGGAAAAAAAACTTCCAAGGGCTTCAAGACAGATAGATAGAAACCAGGAAGTTCACCGGAGAAAAATGTCTGGGTGTGAAAATCCTAATCGTAACTCTGACCGTCCAGCACCTTGGGACGTCCTCCCGATGTGAAAGGTGCTATATAAATGTAATTTTGTTGTTGTCATTTAGACACAGAACGATCTCTGCTGATATTGTGGTGATGCACTAACAACCCTCAATTAATTGATCGGGTCACCTCATGGCTGCTTAGTGGGACTTTGCTTACGCAAAGACTTTGCTTGCTTAGTTGCTGTGTTTGCCTGGAAAACAAGTCACTGCACCTGACAGCAAGTGAAGAGCTGGAGACATTTATGGCATAATAAAAAAATCCTCTCTATTCGTTTTCAATGACCACGTCACAATCACTGACGCTGTTTTAACCCACGGGTCAAAGTACAAGGGAGCTCTCACTGCAAAGCTGGGTAGTTTTGGAGCGTCACGGGCTGAATGCATTCGGTCCCCTTCTGCCCTGTGTAGAACCTGTGACATGGGTTATGCAGTGCTCTGGTCCATGCCCTCAACATCCTGACTTTATAAGCAAAACTGCCTTATAAGGGGGTTTAAGGCAGGTTTCTACAATAGAAACGGGTTTCTATTGTACCGGCTGCCCAGAAAGACCTGTTACCCCCTTGTTTTTGTTCAACAAAAACAAGGGGGTACATTGGAACAGGTCGAAGAATGATGATAATTGTATTAGAAGATTATTAGCCCCAGAGAAGCGAACTATCAATCAACTAACAACCGGGTTCCTACTTACAGCTAGGTAAATGGAGGTGTGCGGAGTAAGGAAACTTGCCCAATGTTTTGTACTGCCTGGGAATCGATCCCGGGTCCTCTCGCTTGCGAGGCGAGGCGAGCACTCTATAACCACTGACCTACAGGACTCCATCAAACACAGGGTCTGGACATCAAAAAGACCTTGAAAAGAGCTGAAAGAAGTTTTCAAAATGTGCTAAAAAATACAAAAGAAAAGCAGGACCATAGCCACAGAGGGGGAGGGGAAGGAAGTAGATATTGTGCAGGTGCCTATCCTGAAAACCAGGGGGAAAAAACACCAGTGATGCAATATTCAAATTCCTCCACTATTTGAATAGATCTGGACAGAGGGAGGTGCCACAATCTCTCTTAAAACACTGCACCTGATACTCAGGGGGGGATTCAAATCTCAAGCAGCTGACAAAACACTTCCCTTCTCCCGTTGTCCAGAGGAACTTGTCAGCAGAGAGAAATGGCTTCAGTTTTACCTGTGGTACTTTTCTGCCTGTTATTTCAGGCTGCATCAGCCATCACAATGGACCTTTGCATGTTAGACACCAATAACATGACCAAGTGGATGAACTCTTCGTATGAATTAATGATCGAGCCAGGATATTACCGAATGAACACCGTCTACAATGGTAAGTGACCCGGCGAGGCTCGTCAAGTGTTTTTCTACCCCTTCGGTTCGCTGTTTGTTTCTCTGTGAACAACTGGTAATGGATGATTAAACTTTTTTTTAAAGAAAGAAGCAGTTTGCAAGTTCTGTAATATTTGCATTTGATACAGCGCCTTATTACATCTCAAAACGGTTCACAGAATACACTGTAAAGTGGATTGACTGTATGTTTTGTGGGTGAAAACCTCAAAAAATCCATCAAAACATTTTAAACTTTTGAATGAAATTGACTATTGTTAATTATGGTTAATTGTCAAAAGTTTAAAATATTTTTTGAGGTTTTTGTTTAAAATCCTAAATAAATTGTGTTTGCATCAAATTTTGTTTGAGATGCGATTGATCTCAAAACACTGGTTTAAGGTGCGCTGGAGACCGTCAAACTTTAGCCTCCGGTCTTTGTGTAAAACAGGTTACAGGTGTAAGCAGACATCTGATGTTGAAAGATCATTGTTAGCGATATTCCTGAGGCGGAATGGCACCTCCTTCTAGGCTTCCCCTTTGTTCTGCTGAAATCTTCTTACTGTCCAGCCATCACAGAGCAACGAGGTCCAAACGTTATATAATAATGAAAATAATCCTTGCTTTTGACCCAGCGCCTTATCACGTCTTCGAGACGTCTCGAAGAGCTTCACAGGATACACTGTAAAGTGAATTGACTGAGTAGTTTGTGGGCGAAACACTTTGTAACGGTAGGATTTACAGTTAGCATGCGGATTGTTCGAAATTGAGAGCAAATACGTTCATTTAGCAAGGCAACCGTCAGCGTGCGTGAGTTGCCGGGGGTAATTTGAGATTCAGGACAGCTCGTAGAATTTAGACAAATTCCGAAACAAAACCTCCCATTCTATGTCCCAGATCCTAATCTCTCTGCGGGCGAATTTTTACAGCACACCTGTGTAGTTCTACATGTCGATTGTTACTATGAACAGTGATAAATTTACCTTACCCTGCAAACAACAACAAAATGGCATTTATAGAAGCGCCTTTCACGTCGGGAGGACGTCCCAAAGCGCTGAACAGTCGGGGCCCGAGCATGGGAGAGGGCTGGTGTAGGGGTGAGGGAAGGCAGAGAGGTGGGAGGGAGACCAAAGACACTGTCAAAGAGAGGGGTCTTGAGACCGGCCTTGAAGGAGGCGAGGGAGGAAGCGAGGAGAAGGAATCGGAAGCAATGTGCCATTTGGGAGCTTGTATATTGCTTGTGTACAGTGGCTTTTCCCAACTCCCAAGTGCGCTGGGAAACTACCCTGCGTCAGGGGCGCTGTATAAAAAAATTCGCTTTTGTCCTTTTACTTCACGGCTGCTTTTGTGACGTTGCTGAGTGCAGACTGACTGCTGCTTAATGCACAACAACAACAACAGCAAATTACATTTGACGATCAGTATTTCGGACCCGAGCTGCGTTAAGATGTTTTTCCAGAGCATCAGTGAGGTTTCCCCGCCTCAAACCTTTGCTCTTGCTCATCCCCGAATGTTCTACAAGACACAGAACAACATTTGCCCCCAAACTGATAGCCTTCAACACCAGATGGCTTCCAGTTCAGCAGTTCAACCGACAGCATCACCTTCTGCTTTGCGCAAATGTAGAAATCGGGAAGTCACGATTGTGGCCAAAAGGTTAGGCATCTTTTGGGGGTTTATTTTGTGCGGGAAAACTGACTTTGTGCAGGAAGTTAGTCTGTGCGAGCGCACAGTGAAACCCGCTACCGACCTTCGGGATTTTGTGGGTCCCGAAAATCATGTTATGTAACGAGGTTACTTTATAATTTGATGGATGCCGAAGCTGACGACGGCAAATGGCTCTTGTCGCTTTCGGTCAACTTGGCTTCAACGTGAACAAGTGGAAAAACCTGTTGAAAATCTCAATCAAGAGCCAGAGGCATAAGGGGGGAGGGGAGGGATATCTGAGCAGAGTTGAAAACAGTAATACGAGCCGTCCGTTGCTAGTCTGCTGTTCAAAGCTCTCCTCCATCAGAGTCCAGGTGCCCCACTAATGAGATTTTGTACTGTGCATGTTCTAGTTCCTGCATAGTATGATTCCTCCCCTCCCAATACCTCTCGCCCCCTCCCCATTCCTTCCTCCCCACCCCTCCTCTACCCTCCCAAGACTCTGTCCATTGGGTAGGGCAAATGAAACGGGAGCAGATTGGGAAATGACCCAGGCACCTACCCCACCCATCCCATCCCTGCAGGTGGGAGGTTTGTAGAGGTGTGGATATCATTGCATTTTCAAAGGAAAACGCCTTTCACTCCTTTCGCAAATAATGGCAATCTTTCACTACGTGATAATACACATGACTGTTCTCAGCAATCAGCAGATAAGGCTCCGAAAGCACTTTAATCCCTATTGCTGCCGATCCATACTTCACTGCAGGATTACTGATGAGTAATAATCCCCGCCTTTGATACAGCGCCTTATCACGTCTTCGCGACGTCTCAATGCACTTCACAGAATAGACCGTAACGTGAATCGACTGTGTACGCTGTGGGCAAAACGCGGCAGCCAGTTGCGCACAGCAGCGTCCCCACACAAACCGTCCGCTCGGAAAAGTGTGAGCCACCAATCGGCTGACAACCGGGATCCTACCGACTGCTCGGTAAACAGAGGCGTGTGTGTGTGTGCGTGTGGAGTAGGAACTTGCCTAAGGTTTCGCGCTGCCCGGGAATCGAACACAGGCCCTCTCGCTTGCGAGGCGAGTGGCTCTAAGCACTGAGCTGCGGGAACTCCACAAATTGTAACCACGGGCAAGTTATGAGCTGGTGTGTGCGGTTTGGTTTTGCTTTGTCAGCTAAACGCTCGTCACCTTGCGATTTCAGCCTCACGAATGAGTCGAAATTTACCAGACATTGTCACAGTAAAATTGGGGTCAGGATTCTTACCCGAGCAACTGAGCCCATTAAAAAAAATAGTCGCACGAAAATCAAGTGACCGTACTAAAAAAAGAGGAAGGCAGCTCAGCGATACATGGCAATCAGCATCATTGCCAGTGATTCATTGCCATGTCATGAAGCATGAGATTGCTTGCAGAGGTATCGTGTTGCAATCACATCACACAGCCCCTGTGAGGCACATTTGCTATAGGAATCGCCAGCGAATTCAGTTTTGGCTCCTGAATGCCCCACATCATTCAGAGACATGATGAATGTCTCCTCACCCTACCTATCCCGAGTGTCTTCTTCCCACCTTGTTCCTACACCACCCATGTAAAGCTCTTTGAAATGATCTCCAACATGAAAGATGATCTTTCCGTCGAAGGTTGAACACGTCCTGTTGTTGCAACAGAACAGAGAGAGAGAGAGGGCTGCTGTACGCCCGGCTATATTATATTTTCAGCTACAAATGTTTAGTGTTCAAACTTGGAGCCCAAAACAGAAAATGTTCCATTACCCAGCATTGAGTTTCCTCATCTTAAAGACCAGAAGAAGAGAATATAATAATAATAATAATACTCCTTGCATTTGATCGAGTGCATTATCATGTCAGAATATTCTTGAGTGGGAATGGAACATGTCTCAAAGCTTTTCACAGGACTTGCTGTGAAATGAAGTGTCTGTGTATTTGTGGGCAAACATGGCAGCACATTTGCGCACAGCAATATCCCACAAACAGCCATGAAACAATTTTTTTTTGTATTTGGGGGGGAATTGTTGGCCAGGACACACACTGGGAGAAACTCCCTTTTCTTATCGTAAGGTGCCAAGGGAATCTTGTAACATCTCATCTGAAGGAAGGAAGGATGCACTGCCCTATAAAAGACCATCATTACACTTTACAGTGTATCCCATGAAGTGCTTTGGGACGTCCTCCCAACGTGAAAAGCACTATATCAAACATATAATGAAATGTGCAAGTGACTGCCAGGACGGTGAAAGGTGAATTGGATGTACCTCGGTCTTCTTTCGACTCGCAAATTCTTATGTTCTTACGTATTCCAATGATACATGTCTATTGTGCAAATGTCTGCTTGTGTTATACACAAAATGCACTTAAGAAATTCTCAAGTCATATTGTCTTTCATATTTGAAATATGTTTTCTTTATTATCCCCACAAATAATTAATGATTGTGTGTGTCCTTTCTCAGTTACCATTTCAGGGATTGACTCTTCTGTGAGTGTATCTCTCTCAGCCGCTGTTTACAATAGCAGCTTTGGCACTTGGACAGATGGTTCGAAAAACTGCTCAGGAATTATGGATTATAGAAACATGAGCACAGTGAATATGTGGACTTCCCCTGAAAACATGTCGGCTACTGTAATGTTCAGGTACGTTTTGTAACCTAAGTTTGAACTTAGCCGTCTATCTCCCAAACAGCTTGACTCCGAGTCTATTTCTGTAAAGTACTTTAAGATGTGCTTCTATGTGAAAGGTGGTATATAAATACAAATTGTTTTTTTTTTCAATTTGACCTCTCCCATCTTAGATTCCTAGATAAAGTACAAATTATGTCGAAACTCACACACGAACGGAGACACATTTGCAAGATACTGTGAGACGTTGACAAATAGGTTTATTTCCAATAACAGCGTAGCTAGCGCCTTTATAAAGCACCTTATCGCGTCGTCCAAAGCATCTCAAAATGAGAAGAGAATATACTGTAAAATGTAGTGACGCTACATTTGTAGACAAACGCGGCAGCCATTCTTTCTGTAAACAACACAACCTCACAAACAGCCATGAAGTAAATGACTTCACTCATACTATGAAACCTCATGTCTTCCGTGGTGGGTACAAGATTAATGTAATTTTATATTAGAAAATGCACAATCCATAGATCCAAATACAACAATCCAAACTCTGTGGTTCTAATGCAATAATTTTCGTGCGGGAATACAAATGGGAATCATAGAAACATAGACAATTACAGAACAGAAGGCTCTCAGAGCAACTTTCTCTTTCAATCCCACTGCGCTGCCCTATCCCATCCCCACCTCAAGACCTTATCTTTCATGCACTGTCTACTTCCCTCTTGAATCCCACAATGGATTCTGCCTCTATCCATTACTTTACAGGGCATTCCACATCCCAACAACTCCGAACATCCTTTCCCTCTTCTTGTAAACTGTCATAAATAAAATACTTTAGAAGAACATCATCAATAGACATTTAAAAGCGAGATAGATACCTTTACTACCCAAGCATCTGTCATAAGATGTGTACAATATAATTTACATTCATGATAGGGCCTTCTATGTTGAGAGTGGGGCTGAGGGATGATTCATGTAAATGATACTGCTTTGCTTATTTTTCTTTTTTTTTTCCAGGGCGTATGTCAAAAATTCGACTGAGTTTTATCTTTTAACTAAATCGCTCATGACACCAGGTATGAATTAATTTTAGATATGAATGCTTTACACAGGCACGTGACAATGCAATGTTTCCCTTCGGTACCCTGCCCAAGTGATCATTCTCCATGCGTGAGTTTTGACTTTTTTTTGGTCGGCCTTGTGTCTGACACTTGTAGAAACCCATCACCGTGTTCAAAAGCGTCGCAAACCGAGCTGAGAATTCCACGAATCCCACCTACCCATGGAAATCCCAGAGGTAGATCGTGGGAATGGAATGAGCACGCTCTCCCTGGATAGGCACATCCTGCTTACCTAATTCTCAAAGACGTGATAAGGCGCTGTATCAAATGCAAGGATTATTATTATGATTATTATCAGTGATGCCCCCATTTATCTGTTACGCATAATTGTTTTTACACAGAATACCAGACCACCATGCCACCAGTCAACACAACGTACAACAATACCATGGCCCCTAACACAACAACCACAGCCGCCACGACCACCAGAAATGGTTCGGGCAGCTTCCAGCCACTGGGTGCATTCGCCATCACGTTGATGGTCCTTCTGTCTGCAACTACCAAACAACTGCTCTTGTAATCAACCCAATGATATCCCTTGTGCAATGCCTCAGGATGACGTTCGCCACCGCTATTAGAGTTTCTAGTCTATAATTGCAACAGGCCCTCCCTCATGTGGGTTTAAATTGGTAGAATGTATTTCTCAGAAACTTTGACTTTCTCCTTTCCTTAAGAATGTTACCCATTTATCACAATTTTTAAAAAAATTTAACCTTTTGGGTACAAATTTGTAGTGGATATCAGTTTGGCAGGTCAACCAGCTTTTAACAGATCTTTACTGGTTCTGAGTAGACAGGACTTCTGATCAGGGATGTGAAGCGAGTATTGTTCCGAATATAGAACTTTTTTTGGGGGGGGAATAAAACACATTAAAACTTCAGTCACATCCCTGAAGCTGTTAGCTAATATTAACAATTAAAACTATTTGTTATTTACAACCCTTGATTTATTTTTAAATTGATCATCAGATGGGTTCTGGGTTATTTGATGTTTGACTGTATTTGAATGAGATGTACATGATTTATTATTCCAACATCAGGATGTCTTTAGAGTCTCAAAGTTTAACTGTTTAAATCGCTAGAAAGTGGAGACATGGAAATATCTCAAGTAATCTCAATTGCTGCTGAATTGCTTGATTCCAGTGTGCAGGCTTGACACTTGCCTGCTCTCGAATCTCTGAAAATCCAGAATGAAGTCAACATCTGGCTCCTATTTTACAATGAAATGGAGACATCAAGTGAGAGGCTTCAGAATCGAAGTGTTTCCCACTTGCAAAAAGCACGTGGCTAGTTAATCTGTATCCTTCTAGACAAATCATGCTCAGAATCATTGTTTAGTTTACCCTGAACAGTAAATGAACTAAAAAAAAAGGGGGAGAGATTCCAACTGGGTTTAGACAAACTACTTTCTTGGCATTTCAGAGCGTGAACCATTTGGGCTGTAAGTAAAAGGCTTGAATTCGGTCTTGATTGTTAAAGTTGGGCTTTCTTTTCTGTAAGTGTTTTCAGATCCAAGAATTGCTAAGAAAATAAGAGTATGTCTAAACCCAGATCGAATTTCTCCTCCAAAGAGCATCATAGGCAACATATATTCATAAAGGGTGACATAAAACAGCAAATTACATTGAATTAACTTTTCATTGAAGTAACACTTGCTGATTGGAAGACCATTTGAAGATCACAGCCATGGAAGTGTAAAATTTCACGTCACTTTGTTAATTCTGAGAATTCTTTCCTACTTTGCTGGTAAACTTACCAAATTGGCAGCTTTGTGCTGTTGTGCCAAGTTCAGCAAATTTACGACCAAGGTAGAAAAACTTCTTACAAAGTTTACGAATGAGACTGACAATATAATTGGCATGTCTGGTGTTTCATTTTGCTTCGCAAAGAGGCACTGTAGTGTATATGAAATCTGACACGCCGTTGAATAGCTCTTGCGACCTATCTTGTTTGGCAGAGGAGATACAATGCGTAATAAAGGACAAATCTTCCTCCACAGATCACCAGTCTGTTCTCAGGTTGATCATTGTTGATGCCCCTGATGAATTTGTGCTTGAATATAGCATGATTTTACTGTTATAATTGTTTTGATAATCTCCCCTCATTATTTCTGACCTCATATAGTAATGAATTTCATGCACTTTCTTTCCTTTATCTCCACAATGAAGTTTGTTTTGCTAGTTGCCATTAATATTAATGCCAGTCACTTATGTACGTTATTAATCCGTAGTGGTTACCTATTATTAATTGTTGATTAGGCTGGGGTTTCACTCTTTTGACATTGAATGCATATTTTGTGACTTCAGTTGACATATTCTTTTCCCAAATGAACTATTTAATTTGCTCCTTTTATGGGATTTAAGGAAGAGAATGAGCAGCTCCGAACAATCCAGATATGATACCGGAAGCAATAATCTTTTTGAAGTGTTGGTCGTGTCGTGAAGACTTTGGTACCTTAAAAAAATTAAGCTGCGGTGGATAATTGCAAACATATGTATCTATCCATTTGTACATTGATGTGATTTTAAAAGGATTGTCATTTTTCTCATTTTCTGACAATAAAAGTTTTATTCACGGTCGTGAATGCCTTATGTGACTATTCAATACTTTTAAAGAACTCTGGTAACCGAATTAAGTCACTTAATGGCAGATGAACAGAATGGTAAATGGAGAGATGGACAACCCCCAATGATCTTCTGGTTATTATAATAAATTGGTCACTCAATCTACAACTGTTTGTGGGGACGCTGCTGTGCGCAATTGGCTGCTGCGTTTCGTCCACAAAATATACAGTCAATTCACTTTGAGACGTCTTGGAGACGTAATAAGTTGCTTATATCAAACGCAAGGTTTATTTTTTGGGGGGCTTTCGTTACCTTTCCAGTTAGCAAAGGGGGACAAGATAACTCCACTCTGTGATACAGAGATAAACAGCACCATGTGGGAGAACATTAAATCCGAACCATGGCAAGTACATGTGCCATCTGCTGTGGACAAAGTAATCCAGAGCAAATCAAAAAGCTAACTACTTTGAGGCTCTAAGAATATAAGGAGCAGCAATATCTCAAGTATGCAAATCATGTCCCTGTATGGATCTATGAAATCTATCAGTGGATCGAGTCACATTTGCTCCTTTTTTTTCACATAGTAAATCTTCTGAGGAATCAAAAACTGATAGATTCTCTACAAAACACTGAGGAGTTAATGCATTGGGAGACTTTATTAGCAACTCATTTTGCATAATTATTCCTGAATTGAATAAAATGTATTTACTGGCATCTGGGTGTATCTGCAATTCAAACTGGTTTAATCCACTGACATTGTCAGTGACGTTTATGCAAATATTGCGCCCACATGAAGTTCTTCACAGTTTTTGGCACAGAAATTAAAAGCAAAAAATAATCTTCAAACAGCTTCCCTTCTGAAGAAGAAATAAGGACATAAGAACATACGGATTTGCTGGGAGAAAGAAAACCAAGGTCCATCGAGTTCACCTTCCACCATCCTGGCAGTCGCTGACATGTCGTGTCCCAAACTATATGAGATATTATTTTGTAGCAGAAATCTATCTTATTTGTTCTAGAAACAAATGGCATTTTCTACTTCCACTCTCTCACTGAAGTAGTGTTTCTGCACATATGAAACTCTTCACAGTCTTTGTCACGAAAATTAAAAGCAAAAATTAATCTCCGGACAGTTTTTCACATCTTCTGGCACTCTTTGAAAATACAGAGAAGTTTCTCTTTATGTCCTGACCAAAATTCCCCCGGAAAGAAAACGGCTGTTCACTTCATAGCTGCTCGGTAAGCAGAGACGTGTGGAGTAAGAAAACTTGCCCAAGGTTTTGCCTGGCTATGAATCAAACCTCGATCTTCTCACTTGCGAGGCGAGTGCTCTAACCGCTAAGCTAGAGAACTCCATATTATTTTCTTCATCATCCTCTTGCCACTTTCTATATTCTCCCAATTTCACCCACTGTCCCTTACCCTTTTATAAACCTTTTTACATTTGTTTCAAATTGACCCCGTTACCCAAGGTGAGAAATGTCTCAAAGCGCTTGAAAGCTCACCCGTCGATCATGGGGCGGGTAGGACAGAGTCCAGTGTTTGCTGGACGAAGGGAACAGCTGGCTCAGTATTGTTGAAGGAGGTCGCAGAGGTGGTAGGTTGGGGAGAAATCATGGAGGGATTTGAACACAAGAACAAGGATTTTGAATTTGATCCACTGTGGAGATGGGCAGGCAGTGGAGCTGAGCGAGGATGGAGTGATAGAGACGCAGAGCCTGGTGTGGGAAAGGACACTGTAGTCTGGGCTTGTGAGCAACTCTGTATAAACATAAGCAGTGCAACACGTAGCTCATAAAGTGCTCAGACACTGTCTGAAACCGGTAAAAATATAGATCCTCATCACCGGTGGACAACAGAAAGTTCTGGAAATAGCAGATTTGTTTGGTCAGCCGGGTGTCCAACACATGCGGAAACCCATCACCGTGTTTAAGAGTAATCAAACCAAACCGCGAGTTCCATGCATCCTTCCTCGCATGGATATTCCCATGTATCGGAACGAAATCCGCATTCTCTGCCACATCCCGCTAGCTTCATTATTAAGAGTATCAAGAGCCAAGGCTTGTGAGCCCCAGAGTACTTGAGTATTGCTGGAGTTTAACCAACTAAAACAACAGAGCTCGCCATTGAAGGCACTACCTGGCAAGCTTTCCCACTGCTTGTCTAGCTAGGACCACCGTATCCGCGAGGGCTTTGGCTTCCAGGAACTGAGTGGGAGGAATCCTGCCCCCAGTCACTTGACTGGAGAAAGCAAGCACTTGGGTAAGCAAAGATGTGGGTTCAGTAAACCGTTGCTCCAGTGCTTTGACCAATTCAGTCCGATTCCATCACTAGTGGATTATTTCCTAGGCGCTTTTTTTTTTTTTGAAGGTGACACAAAGTTGGCTAACTGTAATGGTGGCACTTTTACAGTGTTTATTGTGTTCACAAAACATATTGCATACAAAACAACAGAACAGTGCACATGATAATGAGACAGATCGGGAATTTAGTAAAAACAAAGCACTGCCGAGAGAAGAATTATTCACAGGCCGCTACCAAAGCAGAAGAGTCCTATTAGATCAAGGAGTCCTGCAGCTTAGCGGTTAGAGCGCTCGCCTTGCAAGTGAGAGGACTTGGGTTTGATCTGTATCCAGATCCCACAAACAGCAACAACCAATTTATCTGGAAGATTGTGTTCAGCATCAAAACACGGCAATGTATTTAAATCTCTCGTCGGGAAGGTCATCGACCTGAAACGTTCCCTCGCTTTCCTCCCTCCATAGATGCTGCCTGACCTGCTGAGTGTTTTACCAGTGACTTCTATTTTTACTTCATAATAAATAGTTACTTATTTACAATAAATAAGATCATCTTTCCCCTCCCTCTCAGCTCCCACTCCCAGCCTTGTTGGCCAGTGCTGTTAAATGCCTTGGAGCAGCCACCTGACATGAAAAGGTTAAATATATATATAAATGTAAATGTGTATTGTATTCCACCTTGTTTTACGCAGGAGCCTCCCCTTTTTAACTTGAACTAAACTGATCAGTGACTCAGAGACGAGAGTCACAAGAGCGGTTGATAATGGTGAAATCCAAACAAAAGCAAATGTTGCTTTGCTAAAAGAAATTGGATAAAAATCTGCCTGGAAATTGAAATCAACAAACACTCACAAGATTACTACACGGGTTCAAACGAAGAAGACTCTTTGGCCCATTTGTTCTCATTCCTTCAGGAATTTGGAAACTCTGCAGTCTGCCGAACCTTGGGATCTTGTTTGACCCTCAACTATCCTTTCCATAGCACGTCTGCGCCATGAACCGTTCTACCATCCCCCACCTCAGAAACATTGCCCAACTCCACCAATGCCTCACCCCTCAAGATGCCGAGACACTCATCCACGTATTTAGCACATCCAGGCTCGGCAACCCTGATTGTAGTGACTGTATATTTTGTGTTTAACGGACAATAATACGTTAAGAGAAGGTTACTCCAGGTAACCTTTCATGTTGTTTTGGGAGGTTTCATATCGAAAATGTTAGCTTGAGGAAGTACAGCAAATTTGTTGAACATGTGCTTGTCTTCACGCAGATCTACAAACCCAACTCAGCGCAATTGTTTATGTAAGCAAACCCATGTCAGAAATTTTAATATCTGCAAATGCAACAGCTAAAAGTAGATGGAGAAATGCAAACATACGCGCCATCCCATGTCTGACGCTCCAGACCAGTGCAGCTCCTTGGGACATCTTCCCGACGTTTAATTTTAAAATCCTCGCATTTGATACAGCACCTTTCACATCGGGAGCACATCTCAAAGTGTAATAGGACGATTAAAGAAATTGGGCTTAAAATAAAACAGAGAAAGGTGGCGGATGATAAATGTCAGGTTCGTAACACAGTAGAAAATTAAGTAGAATACTGAAAGTGCAGAGGACGTCTGAAAATGGGAACGAGAGAGGTAAAAAGAGCGTATGAGAAAAGATTAGTGGGGTAACATAAAAGGTCTTTAATAAACATGTAAAGTGTAAAAGGATGGTCAAAGGAAGGATGGGACCGAGGGAAGATTAGGAACCGAAAAGGAAAGTTTCACGAAAAGGAACAATTTGCAGGGCTATGTGGTAAGCGCAGGGGAGTGGGACTCGTTAGTATAGGCATAGGCACGATGGGCTGAATGGCCTCGACCTCCTTCTGTGCTGTAAGATTCTTTGATTCTACGATTCTAGTTATTGCCTCATTCATTACAATATTATCAGTAACTCAGTAAGGTGGTTATCAGTGTAACATTGTTTTACACTGATGACAGCAATGGTTCTATATAAATGCAAACTACTATAGTTTTATTGCTATTATCAATGGAAAATATTTTCAATAATTTACATTTAGATAGCGCCTATGGGTAACATCAAAGCTCTTCACAAAGACAATGCTGATTTCTTATTCCTACGCATCATTTAGAGGTTGCCAATGAACTTTGGTTGCAATAAAGAAATCAGATCAGTTGGAACAATGAGTCCAAAAATAATATTGCATGACAACCAATCAAACAATGCATTTTTGTAAAATTTGAAGTAAAAATTAATAGGATTCTTTATTATGTTTACTCATTCTTTCGCTCACACACCCACATTTCATAACACAGCACAATGTGTGTTCTCTTCATCCTTTCCATATGCCACTTAGCATGTATGAAGCCAATGTAATGGCATATTGGGAATGAGGAACAAGGTGAGACAATGATTGAAATATTGCTGCTGGTGATAGTCTAGTTCAAACAATACATTCCATAGACATAATACTTTCCAAAAAATCAACAAGTTCAAGATTAAAGGTTGACTGTCCCATGCACAACAAGAGTTTAAACTCACATATAATAATAATCCTTGCATTTGATATGGTGCCTTTACACGTTTTCGAGACGTCTCAAAGCGCTTCATAGAATGTATTGTCAAGTACAAAGCGCCTTTATATCTTCTCAAAGTGCTTGACAGGGATCGAATGGGGGCCTAAGTGGGGGGATAAGGCAAGCTGCCGGCAGGCAAAGCCAAAGAGGTGGGTCTTTAGAACAGGTTTCGAAAATAGAGCGGGAAGTGGCAAGGCAGAAGGATGTCAGAAGGGAGAGTAAAGTGACTGAAGGCTTGCCCAACAATGGTGGGGTACAGTAGTCAAGCATCATGATGAGACATCACAGAGATAGGGTGGGTCAAGGTTGTAGAGGCATTTGAAGGCAGGGATAAAGATCTTAAAAGTCAATCCACTGGTGGAGTAGAGAGGCAGTGGGGCTGTGCTTCCTCCAGGCAATGTTTTCTATACGAAACCTCCCAAAACAAAATAAAAGGGCAGATACAAATCCGCCAAACACACACATATATTCTCCTCTTTTGGTGTTGACTTTCTGTTACATTCCAACGTGTATTTTGCTGATCTTTTGACACTGGGGATCTTTTGCCCTTCTGGCATTAGGACATTTCTCTGCACTTCCATCCAAGTCGTTCACTTTTTGAACGATTCCAGCTTTAGATTATTCTGGGGTTTAGTTTTTGAGGACAGCTGCCAAAGATCAGTTCCAAAGATTTTTTTTTAAGCTTCACAGAATACAACCAGTGTAGTAAAACCTTCAGCGTTGCAACGTTTTAAGCGTTCAGAGATGCCGTCCGGCTACAAGATGGCCACAGCTTAGTTGGTGCTCACTGGGTGCCTGACACACGTGGAAACCCAGCACCGTGCTGAAGATTATCCAAACCAAGTTGAGAATTCCACGGCATCCCATCCACACCTGGAAATCGCAGCGATAGATTGTTGGGATGGAATGCGCACTCTCTCCCTGGAGGGATGCATCCTGCTTACCTAATGCCAGAAAGTACTGGGCGCAGGGTGGCAAGAGTTGACTGGGGGACCCCAGAGTGTGCGTTGGAGTCTGTCCAGGTAAAACCGCATAGCTTGCCATTGATAGCACTGTCTGCCAAGATTTCCCACTGCTTGTCCAGCTAAGACCACCATTTGAGCAACTCCCTTCTCTTTTCAAATAGTGTGATGGGATACTTAATTTCCACCTGAACGAGAACAGGCATGACTTCAGTTTAACATTTGGTTCCAAAGGTTGAAATCAACATGCATTATTCCTCTGTATGTCACACCCCTTCATTAATTTGTTCACCAAAAGTTAACCAATTCCCTCTTGAATTTGTGAAAGGCAGCTCCTGTTAAATTGGGTGGTTTCGATTGACTTTGGTGTCAGTAATAAAAATCCAAGTGTCATGAATGCATGTATGAACAATACAGCTTAAACACAATGTTGTTTTTACAAAATATCAGTACAATCCTGCAGGAATGCAAGCTTCACAAAGAGTCAGTAATACAAAAGCTTAAAAATGTGTTTTTCTTGTCCTAGGGGCATGTGGGCCTCAATAACATCGCAAAGCTCAGGTCAAACAGGTTCTAATTTGACTATAATCTCCCACAGCACGTAGTCTGCTAGATTCCAAAAGATTGAAGTCCGTGAACAGGTTTTTACCTTTAGTTTTGTTCACCTTCTTTCCACAGTTATGAAAAGCTAAATATACAGTTGATTCACTTTACAGTATATCCTGTGAAGCACTTTGAGACGTCTCACAGGTGTGATAAGGCACGATATCAAATGCAAGGATTATTATTGTTATTTTTATTAAAGCAAACATGATTGCTCAAAGTCCCTTTCCCAGGGCATTGTTAGAAAATATATATGGACATGCAACAATCCACTTTACATTAAGCTGCTTCCATTACTTTCAGTCTGAAATGTGTATTTTCCAGCCTCAGATAAGAGCTAGAAATCTTATTTTCTGTCAATGTTTAAACATGGTTGAGTTACAAAGTGTCTGTTTGCTAAAAGAATGGGAAATGACCCAATCTCTGTTTATCAGCTATAAATCAATCTTTGGAATAATCTATGTTAAAGCGTCTGTATCAAATTTTGTACAACATTCAAATGTTGTGAAGTTAAAGTATCTCAATGCACTTAACACAGACTTGCTGTAAGATGAATTTGCATTTCATCCAATCGAACAGGTCAATTTGCATATAGCAATGTTTCACAAAATTTTGTTAATCTGAAAGATTGTTGTATCCACAGTTACCAGAAAAAATTCCATTCATCAACGTCAACAACAAGTTGCATTTACACAGCCCCTGTCACGTTGGCAGTATGTCCCAAGGCACTAGAAATCCTTCCCTTTTCTAGGAGCGTTATGGATCATTAAACATCCATCTGAATATCCAGCGAGAACATTGGATTAACATCTCACCCAAAGGACAGCACCTGTGAAAATGCACCACTCCGTCAGTATTGTGCTGGAACATATCTTTTAAATTAGGAGCTCAAGCTGTCTTGTGGGGCTTGAACCCACAGCTGTCTGGCTCGGAAGTGAGAGTGTTATCAACTAAGCAAGGCTGACATATAGGCCAGGATTTCCATTCAATAAGTTCCATCCAAACCACTAAGGGATTAACTCAAATGTAAGATTTTGCACTTCACTCTTTTACATTTAAGGTATCTTAAATATGATGCAGAACTCTCAGTCTGGTTTGGATACACTTAAGCACGGCGATGATGGGCTTCTGCTTGTCTCAGACGTCCAGCTAACCAAAACCCAAGTGCTGAATGGCAGAGATCAGTTTTCCTCTCATTCAAGCCTAACTGGAGTCCAAATGCAAACTTTACCACAAACGTACGTCAATACTTCCAATACTGTCTGTGAACTGGCTTAACCCAGTTGTGTAACTGATACGCACTGCGATCTCTCATACTCCAGTAACCGCAACGAACATCATGATCCCAGGTGTTTGTTTACTTCAATCTGTAATTCATGCAAAGGTCATTACTTTGTAGACACAGGCTTCACCTGAAAGGCCAAAATGTTTCAGAAAGGTAAATAAGACTCAATAAGGCAATGATTACCCACCATTTGATGAAGGTGAGGTCAGAGTGGGTACACATATCATCATAGAATCGTAGATTCGGCCCATCGTGTCTGTGGCGGGGATAAAGAGAGTGAACAAGAGGGGATCGGTGAAGTGAAGAAGTTGCAGGGCATGAGAGGGGAACAGGTAAAGCTCTTGTAACCCCCATCGTTTTTCTTTCCAGCAATAATATTACGACGTTTATCCAGTTCCAGGAGAATGTTTAGTACAAGAGAGCAAGGTTTTCATCTCTTTTATAACCATTAACAGTTGCACGTCCAAATTGCTTGATGTATCAGCAAACTGTGTAGAGGATAGTTGTGCTGTAAGGAGACGGGTGGAGGGCAAGTGGGGTGGAAGAGGGAAGATGACTGAAGACACTGTCGGAAAGGAAGATCTTGAGAGGCGGCGTTTCCTAAATGAATCCACCCTTCCTGACAGAAGCCACCATTAAGACAACCTGCCGCCCTGGTCAAAACATCAGCGTGCCATCCCCTCCTACTTTCTTAGAAATTTGATAGCTGTGGCTTTAACTCAAAGGAAATTAATTTGCCGTAAAGCGCCCACCAGTCGCCTCTGGCGCGAGCACGTGGTGCTCACTGCAGACTCTTTTTTAAAAAAAAATTGTTAACCGATAAGGAATCCTGGCCAAGCAATGTTGCAATCATCATGATAATAGTAATTCTTATTATATAGGACCTTATCACCTCGTTGAGAGATCCATTAGGCTCTCCGAGATACTGCCCCACGTGAAGGGCGCTGCGTAAATGCAAGTTGTTGTTGTTGTTGTTGTCTCAAGGCGCTTCACAGGATATACTGTAAAGTGGATTTGCTGTATATTTTGTGGGCGAAACCCAACAGTCAGTCGCGCACGGCAGCCTCCCACAAACAGCACTGGAGGGAAGTTGGGAACAATGTTTTTAGAGGCAAAGTATGAAATAAATGGATAGGGGTAGCTGTGGAACAGTGCCCCTTGGGGGTATTTAAAAGGAAAATATTATTAATAGCAATATTTTTGCAGTTGATATGGCATCTTTCACATTGAGAGGACGTCTCAAAGCGCTTCACAGGATTTACTGCGAAGTGAATTTTCTGGATGAACGCAGCAGCCAATTTGTACATATGTCCTACAAACATCCAGAAAGTGAATGACTGATTTTTGTTGAGGGTTTGTGGGACAGGACATCAGGGGAAATTCCATTCTATTTTTGTTAGAGAGTCCCTTCTCATCTTGAATAACGCTATACAATAATGCAGCCCGCGCGCCCCCCCCCCCCCCAGCACTGCTCTATACTGGGAGCTCAAAGTGCTGATTTAAGGGTTGAACCCACAACCTCCTGATTCAGAGGCGAGACTGAGCCAGATTGACGACTGTACACAGATGAACGAATGCCAAGGGCAGTAGATGCTTCGGAAAAGCACAGGTAAAGTGAGATTAACATAGATGGCTTTACGCAGGAGCAAAGTCTAAAATAACTTGAATGGCCATCTATTCTACCCGGGAAACAGTCCTGTTCAACCTCAGAGTTTAGCGTAAGAGAAATAATTATTTAAGAATGATTTAATTATTATTTAATTATTTAGAAATTATTTGTGAAGTTTAAAGGTTCTTGATGAGCAATTTGATGCTTTATTTCATGTTTTGGTGTTCAACATCAGTTTATTGTCTCGCTCTGATTCGTAGGATCATGGAATCATACAGCACAAAAAGATTGCCGATACATAGATAAGTTAGACATCTCAAAACGTTTCCACATTTCCGTCGTGGCTAACAAAGAAAAGAATACGAAGTGTAGAAAGAGAAGAGGTGAGACGTGTGCCTTCAGAGCAAAACTTATAATAAATAACCACTCAGGGCTTGAACTCCTTGTCACAGGGAGAAACCCAGAAGATCCAAGGTTTGATTTTCACTTCATGCTTTGACCTCAGCCAGCTTTGTCGTGGTGCGACAGTAACATTGAACTATTTCTCCGGGTGTAAGGAGGGACAAATGAGTCAGAATTCTTTCTCCTGATTAATGGATGCTGAACAGTGTGTGTACAGATGTCAGAGGTGAGGACAGGGTGGGATCTTGTCCTTATTCTGCATTTTAATAGCCTGGCAACACGTATTGTCTCTGAAAGGTGAACAAATGGGCCACATACCAAAGGGCAGGTGATGATTGTCGAACCATTATCCCAGCACAATACAATATAATCTACATTTATATAAACACAGAAGTGGATTTTCAGGCCCTTGAGCCTGTTCCGTCATTCTATAAGAATTCTATCATGGCTTATCTGTACCTCAAGTCCAATTACCCGTCCTTGACCCGTATTCCTTAATCCTAACAAATATCTATCTACCTCTGTCTTGAAAATGTGAATGTATCCAGCATCCACAGCCTTTTGGGGGAGAGAGAGTTCCAGGTTTCCACTACCTTTTGGGTGAAAAACTGCTTCCTAATTTCACTCCGAAATGGTCTATTTCTAATTTTAAGATTATGGCCCCTTGTTCTGGATTCCCCCCACCAGAGGAAACAGTTTCTCTGTAGCTGCCCTATTGAATCCCTTTATTATTTTTGAAAACCTCAATCCGATCACCCCTCAACCTTCTGAACTCAAGGGAATGGTGACCAAGTTTCGAGGAGGGGGAGAAAACAAGATGAGCAGAATATAAATTGAGTGTCCTCTCTCAATACAGCTATAGGCATTGCTGAAACCTACGGCAGATCATATTTAAACCATTCTCGTGGGAACACGTTACCATAGTTCCTTGTGAACTTATTTTTGCAAAGTCACATCAGCTTTAGCCTGAAGCCAATTTGGGAAGGGAACCAGACACTCGGGTTCAAAGAAAGCTTGGAATCACAAGCATGAAGCCATAGAGATCATTGTTAAATGTGAAAGCATATAGAATGTCAGAGGGCGTGGACTGCAAGGATCCAGACTGAGGATTTGTGTATGCATTCCTTTGTTACAGGTATAGTTATTATTGCTTAGTATCAACCTGGCTCAGTGGTAGCACTCCCACCTCTGAGTCATAAGGTTCAATCCACATGGCCTCCAATGAACAGGTGATTTTGCAGTTGTCCCTGAACCTACAAAGGTACATTAGGTTTGCATTAACTCAACTGAGAACAAAGCGACAATTTATTTTTATGAGCTCGCTGACTTCCTCTGGGTTAGGGTGTGGAGGGACATGGCAAACACAAATAGCTCTTAGACTAAACTGTCTGGGAAGACCTTGAAACATTTAGCTCGACTCCAGTGGCTAAAGTGTTGAAGGGTACACAATTGTCACAACAAGGTGTGTGGAGTAAGGAAACTTACCTTTCGTTTAGCCCTACCCGGGAATCGAATTCAGGTCCCCTTGCTTGAGAGGCGAGTGCTCTAACCAATAAGCTACAGGACGCCACAAAATGGAAGAGAGGACAGAATAGGTTGATGCTTCTTTACGATAAAATTGTTTACCAGCTCCAGACAGAGTTACCAGTACTGAGATAATTGTCAGGTGGTTGGTTAAATCAGCTTTGAGTGGAATTAACACCTGTTTACAGTTGCAATTTGAGTAAATGGCTATTGGTGATGGTGACAATCAAAGTTGCTGCCATCTGATCCAATAATTAAAGGTTTGCCAAATTACATAATTACCATTTTTCATTCCAAGTCCCGTCTGTACTATTTTGGAAGTTACTCAATCTCGATAATCAAACAAGGCATAAATAATTGTAGATTTAATCATGTGTACCATTGAGAAGGAAGTTAGTTACTGTTGCATAGGCCATGGCGTCCTTGAATACACAGCAGTGATTATCAACCGCTTTAAGTTCCTGAGAGGCTTTCTGGTGAGTTGTCAGGTGGTCTATTTTCTGTACACATATAACAACAACAACTTGCATTGTTATAGCACCCTTCATGTAATGTAACGTCTCAGAGTGTTTGACAAAGGGGGGGTTGGGGGAGGCTTTGTCAAAGAGGTACAACAACAACAGCTTGCATTTACATAGCGGCCGTCAAGCTGGCATGCGTCTGGGAGGTAATAATAATAATAATCCTTGCAGTTGATATAGCGCTTTTCACGTCTTCGAGACGTCTCAAAGCGCTTCACAGAATATACTGTACAGCGAATTGACTGTATATTTATGGGGAAAACGCGGCAGCCAATTGTGCACAGCAGCGTTTGTGCACAAATAGTCGTTTAATTACATATTATTATATTATATCGCTCTGAGATACTACCCTATGTGTAGGGCGCTATATAAGTATATAATATATATATTTCAGCTGGTGGTCCACCATGGATCGCTAAGCTTTCAAACACTACACCCATTACTTAAATATGTACCTCAACCTCCGATATATTATTATCTTGTCGTTATTGTTACGCAGTAGGTTGTTAAAGACCGACACAGAGGAGAGGGTGGGAGTTCCAGAAGTGATGGGTGTAGTGTCTGAAATACCACCACATTCATGTACTCTTTGCTTTGTGCTCAGGGGGAAGATGGGTGGATGCGGTATGGAGAGGGGGAGCAGGAACACTGCATCCTTGGCATTCCTGTTGATTCGGAATCAGTGAAATTAGTCAATGTCATTGGAATGTCTCCAAACTCTTTCTGCGTTCGTGGCTGCACCCATCGCCTGGACATCTCAAGGTCAATCTGGTGCGTCTGGCTCTGGTGAAACAGGGATTGAGGTCATCTGTAGCCTCACCCAGCAAGTGCTTGTCACAGGTCAGATCTGCAAGACACTGCTGAATGAGTCTACGATCTGCAATTTCTTCTTGTTATAATAAAAACCTCCCTCGCTCAACCGGCACCGGCCTCCTGGTTGTCCCTCGCAACCTCCGCCCCGCCATTGGAGGTCGCGCTTTCAGCCGCTACGCCCCGAAACTCTTGAACATTCTCCCTCAGCCCTCTGCCTTGCCCCCTCTCTCCCCTTTTTCAAGCCCCGCCTGAAAACCTTCCTCTTCAACTGTGCTTACGCCCACTTCCCCACCGCCAGCTCGGAGTCAGGCTCCGCCAGTGTTAAGCGCTCTGAGACGCTACCCGGTGTGGAGGGTGCTATATAAGTCCAAGTCGTTGTTCTTTTCTTTGTCATCGGACAATGGCATTCAATTTGGTAACCACAAAAAGGACACACCCTGCAGTTAGCAATTGGCATTTAGGAGGTGGATTGCAGAAAAACCAGTTAGGGTGAAACTGGTATTTGGAAGTTCCACACTGGTTTGTGCCTCACAGAGGTATCTTGTTTCAGTCCTTGTGTGCAAATGTGGGATCGTGTGTGGGGAGCGGGGTGGGGGGTGTCGGGAGAGACTATTTGCAGTGACCTTAAAATGTAGACTAAAGTTTCGTGACTGTCGGTATCAATTTTAAGAGCAGTTTCTGAAAATGATTACATCAAAGTATTAATGCTATGCCCTGCGTTAATCTTAGTTTAATTCCTATTGTTTCAAGTAGAAGAGCCAATTCCCGAAGAACCCGACAATGGTGGCCGTTGCTGCCTCTAATGGCGAGATGAAGAAACACAGAAACTGGAAACTAGCCTTGTGGGTGAGTTTTTTTTCTAACAAGAAAGCCAAACAATGCCGCCAAACAACAACAAGATTTCATTTATAGAGCCGCCCTTCACGTCGGGAGGACTTCCCAAGGCGCTGGACAGTTGGGTCGGGACCCGAGCAGGCGGGGGGAAATGGTCAGGGTGAGGGGAGGGAAGGGAGGGAGCGAGGAGGGGGTAGAGAGTCGAGAGGGACGTGACTTTTCAGCACAATTGATGACGTAGGATTTGAGAAGGTCGCTGAAGAGGGAGGCACAGTGGAGGAATTAGAGATAGGTTCAAGCATAACGACTGACAATCAAGTAAGCACAGTAATTCTTCAAGGTTTTACGGAGCCAAAGGCCAAATGCAGGGACTCTTTGGCCAGGAATAAAAAAAATTTCTCTCCAGTTTCCTCATTTTCCTTTTTGACAGGTTTGCCTGACAGCGTAGGAGATAGGGGAGGAGGCAAGCGTTAAGTGGGAGAGATCCAGAAAGTTAGAGGCACGGAAATAAAAAGTGGCTAAGTTTGGGCGGATGCTGAGCAGGATATGGAGCACGAGTGGGTGGAACAACAACTATCCCATTGTGTCACACAGGCTCCTGGTATATATCAGTGTCACACACACTCCTGGAGTATATCAGTGTCACACACACTCCTGGAGTATATCAGTGTCACACACACTCCTGGAGTACATCAGTGTCACTGACGTCAAAGCCACAGGTGCAAACCACGTTAACAGATACTGCAAGTACAACTTGGCAAATTATAAACTGTAGCATTTTACATTTTTTTTGCTCAGACAGAAAGTTATTCGTAAGCAAAGAACACAACAATTTGCATTTATTTGTTTATAATAATCCTGGCATTTGATACAGCGCCTTATCACGTCTTTGAGACGTCTCAAAGTGCTTCACAGAATATACTATGAAGTGAATTGGCTGTATATTTTGTGGGAAGTCCGTCCTTCTCCATCGTCTCTCCTCCCTGCTCCACTTCTAAGGTTCTGACCTTTCCTGGGCTCAGTCTTATCCATCCCAGTGTCGTCACTTTGTCTCTTCCAGCGAGTTTTCCTCCCACTCCCAGTCACATAATCAATAATATATCCCTGCCTTATCAAATATATCAGTCACGGGGTGGGAGGGGGAGGACATTTCAAAGTGCTTCACAGAATTTTCTGTCAAGTGGAGTGGCAAAGTATATAAAGTGTGTACTTTATAGGTGTTCCTCAGGGCTGTATCCTCATTCCTTCATTGTTTCACCATCGTATCTGCCCACTTGGCGATGCCATATAAATTGTTGTATAGTCTCAAGTGGCAGAACAAAACCAACCTGCAGCAATGCGGGTGGATTAAACAAATAGTGCTATAATTCAAATTCTTATTTCCGTGTTTCGCCCACAAAAGACACAGGCACTCCACATTAGAGTATGAAGCCCTTTGAGATGTCTCGATGACGCGACTCAGCCTAGCCCAGTGTCTGCGGTTCCTGGTCTGTTCCTATCACACCTGCCATTCTGGGGGGGGAGGAAGACCCAATTCCATACCAGACGTTAATAAGCCCAATACCAAGTGGAGTTATTACACAGTTTAGTGGTTTGCGGTATTGATACAACATGGCTGGCCTACGGACAGTGATTTCACCTTAATCAAACAGTTTAAAAAAAACACCAAACACTAAAAAAAAACATATTAACATCCTAAGGCAACAGCTCATTCTCTATATACATTCTCCCCCCAGCCCCGAGCCCCCTACCCCCACCACCCCATCCCCATAAAAAGGTCCTGATGAGCAAATCTGATGTGTGAATAAATGTGCAGTTCTGATTCATCTAGTCTGAGGTAGTCAATTCTCGAAGTGTCCAGCTGATGGCAGTCGTGAATCCCAGTAAGAACCAGGTGTGTTTGTCTCCCAAGTCACAGCCCACATTGCACAGGTGAGTGAAACAGCAGATGACTTTCCTCCCTCCAATGATTAGATCGGATGAACTCGGGTTGCAGTCTGAACGATATGCGCATTTCTTTGTAACCGTCACAAATCCAACTGCAACGAAAACATTTTGGTCCAAATCGCTTTAATTCCGAGCATCGCATAATAATATTAACGATCCTGGCATTTGAGTACAGCAACTTGAAGCGCTTTAAGACGTCTCAGAGACGTCTTAAAGCGCTTCACAGGATACACTGTAACGTCAACTGACTGTATTTTGTGGATTGAAATGCTATTATGGGTACGACAATTTACACAATACGATTTACATTTATGCAGCGCCTTTCACATCCGAAGGATATCTCAAAATGCTTTTGTACAGCGAGCTGGGCACCCGATGCTGGGCTGGAGAGAGGGTAGGGAGCGAAGATGACCAAAATTTGGTCTTGACCAGGCTTTGAACGCGGGAAGAGCGGGGAGGGGGCAAGTCGTGGGGACTAGAAGTTGGATGGAGTTCTGCAGAGCGGGAGCAGAATGGCTGAAAGCCCAGTCCAGCCATCAGATCGATATATATTTTGCCCACAAAATACTAAGTTAATTCACTTCACAGTAAATCCTGTGAAGCGCTTTGAGACGTCTCGAAGACATGATAAGGGGAGAAATCAAATTCAAGGATTATTATTGTTATTGATACTACAGCCTGACATAAATAAAGATACTAAATGATCTACATATTTTGATATTTTAAGTATGGAAATACTAAAACAGACGTACTGTTAAAATGGTCTCCAATTATTGCCAAATATGTAATTCAGCATATTTTTATTTGTGTAAGGCAATAGCGAAAGGCTGTCAATCTGTCAAAATTGTTTACGTGCAAAATAGTCACCATACTTTACAGTATATCACGTGAAGCATACTTAGGCGCTGTCCAAACCCCACCCGTCAAACATGAAAGGCAGAAAGGTAAGGATTATTAATGACTATATTTACTAATATTGATGACTTCAACTCAAAAGTTGCCCTTTCAAGTAGTTTCCCACTAAATTTTCTGATTTAATTTTCTCTCCAATGCTTTCCACGCTCCGTGAAAGTGTTGTAACTAGTCCCTGTCATCCTTCATACTGATTTTCTCAGTCTCTCGAGACACCACTCCTGGATATCCTTTCTGGTCTATTGCAATTAATTAACAAACACATCCCTTTGATCTGTAAAGTAGGTCGTGTTGAAGTAAAACTACTTATATCACCTCACTTATTCTAGGAAGCTTAAAAAAATGACCTTCGTGACTTACTCTGGCTAAACCCTTTGATTTCCACGGAGGTGAGGCACACTGTTTGATTTTCTGAACAAGCTTCCTGATGATTATCGCACATGTCGATTTTCTTGGAGTTTGTACAATGGTAGCAGTTCAGGGCTTCTGCTGCAATGGTTAATGAGAGGGATAATGATAATGTTAAGAATAATAACAGATAATCTTATAAAATACAACACAAAATTACATTTGTTCCAGCGCCTTTCATGTTGGGAGGACGTCCCAAGGGGCTGGATTGTACTACAATGTTTTTTTGGGTCAAATAGTGCTATGGGATCCTTAAAATCCATGCGAATGGGCAAACAGGACCTGGGTTTAATATTTCATCTAAAGAACAGCACTTCTGACAATGCAACATTCCCGCAGCACTGCACTGCAGCATCAGTCTAGAGTAGAGTGGTCCAGTATTTTCTGTGAAGCGCTTTGAGATATCTCGAAGACATAAGGCGCTGTAGCAAATGCAAGGATTATTATTATTTTGACAAATATTAGTTCCATAAAGAGCTGCAAAATAGCCAAACACGTTGTTAAAAACTGTCAAGGTTTTGTTTTCACTCACCACTCAACGTGCAGAGGGTTGCAATGATGGCGCCAGCAATGAATTGCATTTTTAATTGTGGCTTTAGCTGCTACTGTCTGATTTCACTTTGCTTTTCTGCTTCTTCCAATATTAGAAATCAAAGGCCACCTTGGATTTTATACATACGAATACTTCAGAATCGTTTTATTAAAACAAGACCAGATTACTTTGTTCAATTGTGCGTCAGTGTAGTTTGGAGGAGTACTTCTTCCTTGAGCTGACATTATTTTCTTCTCTTATTTTCTCTCAGGGTTATCAGGGCTATTCCCTTTTTCTCCACTACTACATACCTCTTTAACGTACCCTAAGCAGAAGAACTGCTCTGGTCTGTCAGAAACCTGTACAGCTATACTAATGAAAGCACTCAAAAGAAAACACGTGCAAGTTGATATTTTAAAATTGCCGAAGTCTTCAATGGGTGTCGATAACAAACGACTGTTTAGAATTTCTCCAATAATTCTGGATTTTAGAATGCCGCTGTGAAGGCACGCATGATGTAAACATGACAGGAGGAATTTAAAATTAAACGGTGGCAATGGAATGTTTCGTCACTGACCGCTGGAGCCGATTGTGATGTATTTTGACCCCAAATAATTCCGGTCTCGCAGATTGTGCCCCTCGAGTTCTGACTGAACATAGAAATGAACGATCTGCACAAAAAGAGAGATGGGACTATTCGGCTCATCGAGTCTGTGGCACTGCTACCTGTAATTATTAAATCACCCTCTTTATTAATTTCTTTTTGCAGCTCTTTCCCCTGGTCCACACAATATCTTATGAGCCGTAAGCCAGCAGTTTACAACAACCTAAGCACATGACATCTGTTAGTCGCAAGAAAATGCTCCAACTTGGAAGCTTTTCTCCCCATTCTTCTCATTCCAAGAAAGCACCGACTGCTATTTCCAGATTGTCAGCCTCCCCCTGTACCACTAACACAAAAGAGCTGGGAATTAGGATCAGAATGAGTGGCTTCTTGGAGAAGCACAGACACAATATAATGGGTCAAATTAGCCTCCACTGCGTTGTGCATTTCTAACTCATTCAATATCAATCTAGGAACACTGGTTAATCCCCAATCCCTACAAGACTATCTAAAGTTGAAGCATCTATACTGCCACCCGCACTGAAATGGGGGTGACTGGAAGTTGAGCAGTGGTAAGTATCCGTCACTGCTTCGGCAACTCTCTCCTCTTCTGAAGATGCTGGTACTACCGTAACCGTGGTAAAGCCAATGGAACTGAAAGGGTTTCACATGCAATGGGTACTTTAATTCTCTACAAAATTACTCACATCTCACCTTTCGTTCATTTCAATGGTTACACTTTCAGCTTCCAAAGTCCCACATGTGCAAACAATTTGATGGACATTGATGAATACAGTGAGCCTTAATGAAAGAGTTCCAGTTGTGAGGTGCATCACCTCAGAATGCATATCAGCATATAAGATGTAAATCAATATATATGATGTAGGTCAGTGTGAAAAGATGTTTTTACTGCTATGGTAGTTCTATATTTAGCAGCTAGCTTCCTGCAGACGGGGTATTTTCATGCAGGTTCTGTAAGGCTAGGTCAGTCCATTTCATATCTTGTTCATTGATGGATTCAGTCGTTCCTCCGTTGTCCTGTTCCGGTTCTGGGAGTTCACTCTAACAAGGTATAGAACAAGCAGGAGTTAGTTATTAATATTAAGGTATAAAACATGCAGAAGTTATTACGAAAGGCCAATACACAATTTGCAAGACCCACTTTAATCAATCTCTGGAGGAAGGGAATGAAATGAAAAACAGAAATAAATACAGAAAAAACCTTTCCTGTCCCCAAATCAATCACCAATCAACTAACAACCGGGTTCCTACTTACTACTAGGTAAACAGAGGCGTGAGGAGGAAACTTTTAATGTTTCAGCCTGGCGGGAATCGAGCCCGGATCCTCTCGCTCGCGAGACGAGTGCTCTAACTACTGAGCTATAGGACTCCACTAAGCTTTCTGCTTCGACCACAGCTTCTTGCAGTGAGTTCCAGATTCTCACACCTCTCTCCTGAAGTCCCTTTTAAATCTGTTCGAGGATACCGTACATTTGTGTCTTGCCACATTGTCATTCAGGAGAGGAGGGAAGAAATTTGGTGCGAAAATGAAACAAAATTGACGGAAAGAGCGGTTTGCTTTCGGTAATTAGGCAGAAGCGTATACTCCTCGTTTCCACGTTATATAAGGTGCACGACAATATGAATTGTGGAGTCCTGTGGCTCAGTGGTTAGAGCACTCGCTTTGCAAGCGAGAGACCTGAGTTCAATTCCAGGCAGAGGGTGAAACCTCGGGCAAGTTTCCTTACTCCACACAGAGCCTAATAATAATCCCTCCAAAACCAAAAACAATAATAAATTGGTCATTTTCAATCTACGACTGTTTGTGGGACATTGCTGTGCGCAATTGGCTGCCGCGTTCGCCCACAAATATAGTCACTTCACTTTACAGTGTGTTCTGTGAAGCGCTTTGGGGACGTCCTCCCGACGCGAACAGCGCTATATCAAATGCAAGGATTATTATTATTAAATACAGACCAAAGGTATTTCTACATCTTCATAGGGCAATTTGTCCTCGCGCCAGGCGTCGTCAATGAGATCCAGTATTCTGCCGTCTCTCTGCACTTCACTGTCCATTGGTGCCGTCTGTCAGCGGAAGTGAAACCCCCGACAGCAGTGAGGACAGTGCCGCGAAAAAAAAATCAAACAGATCTATCGATTTGTTGTGTGTGTGTGTGTGGGGGGGGGGGGGGGGGGGGGGGGGGTGGGGGGGGGGGGAGGGGGGGAGTCAGTGGGGGATATTTATTTATTTTGTTGGCCTTATTTTGTTTGTATTTGTGGAACTCAGTAGCTCAGTGGTTAACGCGCTCTCTGTGCCTTCCTTCCGGTCCCTCACTCATTGCCTTCCTTCCGGTCCCTCACTCATTGTCTTCCCCCCCACACACAGCTCACCGCGGGAGAAACGTTCCGCCCGCCACCACCACCACCACCAGCAGCGGCGCCGGCGCCACCACGTGACGACCCGCGGCAGCGCCACCGGGTTGATGACAGCGGCGGCGACGCCACGTGACGACCAGCCGCCGCGTCAGCGCCACCACGTGACGACCAGCCGCCGCGTCGGCGCCACCACGTGACGACCAGCCGCCGCGTCAGCGCCACCACGTGACGACCAGCCGCCGCGTCAGCGCCACCACGTGACGACCAGCCGCCGCGTCAGCGCCACCACGTGACTATAACCCTTCACCCAACGCAGACACAGACCCACCTCCTCCCCACCAGGGCCTGAGCTCAGCCTCACAGCCTCTCCCCCCCCCCCCCCCCTCCCCCCCCCCACACCCCCACACACACACACACACACACCGGGGGATTATAGGTGAGACTGAGAGAAAACACTCCCCAGTTTGTTGAAATAATGGTAGTAATAATGATAGTACTCACGGTAAGAGTATGTAGTAATAACAATGCCAGTGCTGGTAGTAATAGCCACGACAGTAATAGTGACAGCATCAACAGCCGTACCGGTGATCAATGCTGCTCGTGACGCCCGGTCATAGTAATAGTAACGACGGTGATAATAACAGTAGTACTGGTAATAATGGTAATAGTAATGATAGGAGCAATAATAATAGTCATGATGGTAATTCGTGGTAATAGTAATACGGGTAGTAATGATAGTAATAACACTAATAGTAATGCTGGTAATAGTAATGACTGATAATAACAGTAGTAGTAATAATGGTAATAGTAGTGGTAATAATAGTAATGATGGTAATCGTAATAGTAATACTAGTAAGAGTAGTAATAATACTAGTAGTAATGCTAGTAATAACAGTAGTAATAATAATAGTAATAATACTAATAGTAATGCTAGTAATAATGGTAATACCAGTATTAATAGTGTGTAGTGGTAGTAATAATAGTAATAATAAGCCTCACGTTTGATGCAGCGCCTTATACACGTCTTCGAGCGGTCGCGGAGCGCTCCGCGGTCCACGCTGTGCCGCCTCGTGTCCCGGTGTTTGTTTTTGCCGAAGCGACACCGGCCACAAGTTTCGGGGTTCAGTCGGCGGCTTCGAAAACTGTGAAACGGTCCTTCAGAAGGGGGGAGGAAGAAAAAGCGCTTCGCAGGATATACGGCTAAAGTGTGGTGACTGCGTGGTGTGTGGGTGAAACGCGGCTGCCAATGGCGCACATCGCAAACGTCCCCACAGGCAGCCGCGGGTTGAGTGACCGAATCATTTTTTTTTAAGAAAAAGGATTATTATTCCCGCAAAAGCGATCCCCGCCAATCGACCAACGAGCGGGTTCCTACTCACCGCCACGTGAGCCCCGGCGTGCGCGGCGGGTGGGGTGCGGGGGGGGGGGGGGGGGGGGAGTACGGAAACTTGGCATTGCTCGGGAGTCGAACCCAGGTCCTCTCGTTTGAGAGACGAGTGCTCTAACCACTGAGCTACGGTTGGGAGCGTTCCGGTAACGGCGTCCCCTCCTCCCCTCCCCGGTCATCGGCGTGGTTATTTTACAGGAGAGAGAGCAAGTTGGAAGACAGTTGAGGATGCCCCCCAAAAGCAGAAAACGTGGAAAACCAAGTAAAAAAAAACATTATTATCGATTGTTCTCTCTGGTCAGTTCTGGTGGTTTAGATATTGAAGTGCTTTCAAAATAACTATTTTGTGGCAGACTGTTGCTGAGGAATATTTTGCGTTGGGTCCTGTACCCGAGTTGGTCTATCTCTTTTGATGCTTTTTTTTTTATCTATCCTCTTGGGGTGGTGATGGGGGGAAGGGGGGGGGGTGGGGGGAGTGAGGGGTAAGAGTCTCCTTGGAGGAACTGAACTGGCGCCAAGCGGTGACATGCCTGACGATGGAATGTCGGAATCGAGCCAGCCCTCTGTGGCGGTCTCGGTTGCCCGATGCCTGAGCCAGGAGGGGTCGCAGTATCCCAGGGCACTCACCCCTGATGACAGCACATCCCAGCTTGGCTCATCGGCAGGACCTGGAAGGGCCGACCAGTCACTGGGGGCAGGGAATCCTCCCCCTCAGCTCCTGGTAAACCTGCAAGCCAAAGCCAAAGGGTGGGGAAGCTCGCCAGGCAGCAATATCAACAATAATAATATTTGCATTTGATACAGCGGCTTATCACGTCTTCGAGACGTCTCAAAGCGCTTCCCAGAGCGTACGGCAAAGTGAATTGACTGTGTATTTTGTGGGCGAAACAAGATACAGCCCATTGCGCACAGCAGCGTCCCCACAAACAGTCGTGGATTAAGTGACCAAATTATTATTATATTTTTTTTTAAAAAAATTTGGTGAAGGGATTATTATCCCCGGAAAAGCGATCCGCCGATCGACAACAGGGTTCCTACATACTGCTGGATAAAGTGACCCTAGATCTGCAGCATTGAAACTCCCATCTTCACCAACCCCTCTAGATCTTCAAACTTTGTTTTTAGTCAATGTGGATCGACAAAGGTATTCAGTCAAATTCTTCTCAAATTATCCTCTGTTATCCATATAGAGAAAGGTGAACGGGCTGCTAAACGTGCCAAAAAAGTACAGATCGATACGGCGGAAGAACAAATCGCAGAGGGTTTGGACAGTAACGAGAAAACTACAAAGTCATCAGGGAAAGGTGCCTCAGGCACCAAAGAGCCTTCAGTTTTTGGTTGATGAAATCGGAACCAGAAAGCCGAATCGAAAATGGCGTTGATATGAAGGTATACTGTGCGCTCTTCATTTAAAACCGTGTGCAGTCCTGCAGCTCGGTGGTTCGAGCCACTTGCCTCGCAGGCGAGAGGACCTGGGTTCGATTCCCAGGCAGGGCGAAACGTTAGGCAAGTTTCCTTACTCCACGTGTCTCCATTTACCAGCAGTAAATAGGAACTCGGTTGTTAGTCGATTGGCGGATCGCTTTTCCCTGAGTAATCATTCCTTCCAAAAATAATAATAAATAATTTGGTCACCTCAATCCTGTGGGACACTGCTATGCGCAATTGGCTGCGGCATTTCGTCCACAAAGCAGTTCTCTCGATGATATCTAGGATGAGCGAATATATAGCGACGAGGAGAGGCCGGAAAGGTTAGGACCTTTTTCATTGGAGTGGAGAGGGTTCATGTATGATTTGATAGAAGTGATTTAAGATAATGAAGAAGGGAGAAATGGTGGATCAAACCCCTCTTCAGCGGTAACCCTCTTCACTGATTGTGTTCCTAGTTTGGTGTGGAGGATTTAAAGGCCGAACCGAACCAGACAGCATGTTGGGATGGTGTCAGGAACTACCAGGTAACTCGCACGCTCACTCACCAGAGCCCTGGAATTCACATGGTTTTACCCATAAGATCGTGTTAAATAGAAGATGTGTGCAGAATTTTGGAAAACTTTTCGATTCAATCCTAATTTAGGAGCCGATTCTACTCAGATGTAATACTTTAGTCAGATCATAGAGTTGATTTAAACTTCCTACATTTACAGGCCCGCAACTTCATGAGGGATATGATGGTGGGCCAACTGGCTTTCTTCTACCACAGCAATTGTAAGGAACCTGGGATCGCTGCAATTGTCAAGGTTTGAAGGATTTCTTTTGATTTATCCACCTCTAAATTCCCTCTCCTCAATAGTATTTCACTTAATAATAATAATTTGGTCACTCAATCTACGACTGTTTGTGGGACGCCGCTGTGCGCAATTGGCTGCCGTGTTTCGCCCCAAAAATGTGGTCAATTAATTTTACGGTATATTCTGTGAAGTGCTTTGAGACGTCTCGAAGACATGGTTAAGGCACTGTATCAAATGCGAGGATCATTACATTTGATGGCCACCTCTTGTCATTTCATTGATTCCATATATAAAAGAAAGTGAATGTGCATTTTTTTTAAAAAAATGGTTTGGGTTAAGCTTAATGCTCTTGTTATTTCTCGACGTTTTCTTGAAGATTGTAAAGGAGTCTTACGTCGATCACACACAGTTTGAGAAGAAGGAACCCCATTATGACTGCACCAGCAAAAAGGAGAATCCTAAATGGTCGATGGTAACTGACATCCTCTTGTTCTTTACTGTAACACAGTACAAAAGTAAATTAAAAACTTTTTTTTTGGCTGTCGTGTTTCGCCCACAAAATAGTCAATTCACTTCACTGTGTTCTGTGAAGCGCTTTGAGACGTTCAGAAGACGTGATAAGGCGCTATGTCAAATGCAAGGATTCTTATTATTACCCTAATCCTAGAAAGTGAGCCAATCCTTGGGGACCTCAGAGCTCACACAGACAGTCACAAAGGACCAACTCAGTTCTGAGTTTTGAAAATATTACTGTGAAAAAATCCGGAGGAATGAGTTGATGCACAAACCCAGGTACTGAATCTGGAAACATTCTGAGATGACAGGTCTGAGAAAAAAACAACTCACCTTTTTTAACCCATCTCAAAGGAGTTCATTGATCATTCATTTCATCATTGATTGCAGTGGAGGTCCACTTATAATGTGATGTTCGGTTCCATCTCAAGACCTAACTCAACAGTCATCTTTCTCCCGCCAACCTCTCAGCTCCCACCCCCAGCTGGAGCGCCTTGGGGTGTCCTCCTGACTTGAAAGGCGCCGTATCAATGCAAATTTGTTTTATTGGTGAAATGCCTCAATTTCACTTTCTCTTCCCAGGTGGATGTGCAGTTTGTGAGGATGTTGAAACGTTTCATCCCACTGGCTGAAATGAAGAAATATCACCAGGAACACAAAACACAGGGTGGTCCATTGAAGAACGTGGCACTTTTTACTAAGGCAAGGCTTTCTGTGCAACCGCTAACCAAAGGTGAGAAATGGGATGATTTAACCTGTATAATATTCCTCAGTCTTGCCAGCCCCCTTTTCGCTGGCGGACATTGATTTCTCCTTATAATAGTCCGATGTTTAACACTACTACTACTTGCATTTGATGTAGTGCCCTATCTCGAAGTGCTCCGCAGAATATACTGCAAAGTGTAGACTGGATTTTGTGGGCGAAACGCGGCAGCCAATTGCGCACAGCAATGCTGCAATGTTTAAAAATTGAGCGATGGCATCATTGCAACATGGAAAGGAAATGTTTAATTCGTTTTTTTTTATTTTGACAGGAGAATTTGACTTTATTTCGACTCTTGAAGACAAAAAGCCGATTTAATTGGAAGGGCCCCGGAATTGTGAGAGCTCTTTATCCTACGATCAGTTCAGTGACGGATACCAGACGTTTGTCATTTTCCACTACGTCTTTTGGAGGTTGTACGAATTGCCGGAGTTATTCGGTTACAAGCTCGCTTTGCTTTGCAAAGTTCTATATGTTCACATTTTCGTTATATGAGACGAGCTTGCAAACTGCAGTGGGTTGAGCCGTTTCTCAAAGGAATCAACGTTACAGTGTATTTTTTTTGTGATTAACAGTATGCCCTTTTGCAGATGGGTATGACGAGTTGAATCCATAAAGGAAAGGAAAACCCATCTTGCAATGTCTCATTATAGACTGTCATCCATGGATCAATTGACACAACACAATCACATCTAAGATGACAATCACAATAGGTTGGATTCAGTGGAACAGAAGAAAGAAGTGTATAATATTAATGAAATCATTTATTTCTGTTCTCCATATTCATTACATCTTAACAATTAGTTCTCTAACCCCCAAATTCACTGACTGTGACTTTGCGACCATCAAATATTTACAGAATATTTTTTTCTGGGCTCTCCTTTCAAAGGTTTAACTCTTAATTTTAAAATTGTCCTTTTTTTCCCCCTTGGATGCCCCAGTTGAAGCGAAGAGTTGCACTTAATAATAGACAGAAAAAGCTGAAGAGAATGCATGTTATGTCAATTTATACTTTGTAAAATTCAGTACATAGTCATAATCGGAAAATGTACCAGTTCACATTCTTTTGTACACACTGCGCTGACATATCTTGCTATTCAGATAAACGTTCAAATAAAACCGCATGTACAATATTTAAAGGAATGTTCCTTCTAAAACAGTTAACTACAGCCTTTTGTGCCTTTTTAAAACAAAAACACATGTATTTGTAGACGTACAATTTCATGTGATAACTGATAAAAGCATTTCAGGTTAGCTACTGTCACAAGCAAGCAGACATTCTGTCGACGATGGCAGTTTCACAAAGGCATAAAAAAAAATCCTTTTTACCGTAACAATTTGCTATAAAAAGCTAGGAATATCAACTTTCTTTGCCCTTCCCAAAGAGCTGCTCAGTATAGATTCTCTTATCTCCAACTTAGAGAGAGAAGGGTTCCAATTAACACAGGTCATTGGTTCACGGCAGAGAATTTGGGAAGGCACCAAGTTGCCTCCACAACGTTGCAAAATAGATAAAACGTATTCCAAAATAAGGCAGCCTGTGCAACTCGACAAGTTGGCATTCTCATTCGAGTTAGGCGCTCATTATCGTGAATAGCAGGGTCTTTCGTGGGTACTGTTTCATTATGATACACTGAACATTGTTCCTGAAAAATTGGCCATTGACCCCCCCCACCCCCACCCTGGTGAAATGCCTTCATCACTATTTATTTAAAAAAAAATTGGAGTTAGGGAAAATAAAGGTTAAAACATGATTTTACATCTCACAAATATTTAATGTCTCTGTACTCAAAGTCACTACGACAATGACCTGCTGATCTGCCCCCCCCCCCACCAAAACACATACACAAATCGTTCAATTCTAAACCACAATACATAGGAGATAGGGTCGAGAAGATTAAAACGAGGCAATCATTACCTGAATTTAGTAAATAAAAATCATCCAGGAATAATGACGAAAGCAGTAACATCCCACCCAACTATGATTATTATTATTAAGGCATTTTATAACAATTACTTGTCTTATCGCAAAGACATCCCCTAAATCAGTTATAGCGATTTTGCAAAAAAAAAAAAAAAACATTTAAAGAAATAAAGTGACTTAAAACCATAAAGTCTTCCTGGAAAGCAAAGCCTCTACGCTATGACAGCAAATAAAACTGCAAAAATTGCATCGCTTACAAACTACCGCGTTAAAGATGGCTTCAAGGACAGGCTCAACGAGTGAGACTTCACGTCTGTGAACCTGGCTGATACCGGACTCCATTCTTCACGAGCGAATGCTGCGTTTAAATATCTCCCTATTCACAAGATTAAAAGCTCTGGCTCTGAATTCAGGAATGTTCTTAAGTCCAGAGTGATCCAATACAGAACTTGAAACACGAAAGAACACACTATAAATCTGGACAAAACATCTAAAAATACATCAGGAATAAGTTAAAAACACGGGTACAGGTTCCTATGAGCGTGGCTCGATTGGTAGGAATCTTGCCTCTGGACAACACCTCGGGATGTCCTCCCGATGTAGTGAAAGGCGCTATACGAATGTAATTTGTTGTTGGGAGTCAGAAGTCTGTGGATTTAAACCCTACATTGGGACTTTGACCTTATGGTCTAGTAGCCTAACACTCCAATGCAGTACCTGGTAATTTGTCAGAAGCGCAACTGTGAACATTTAAGATCACGCGGCACAACTCGAAAATAAAAGGGAATTTCTCCTGGTGCCTTGGCCAACGATCAATCCTCCAGATAGCATTGGTCATTTGCTCCGCAGTTGATCGTGGGCCTCGGCTGTGAGCCAACCGGACTGCATTTTTGTCTCGTCACTACGTTTCAAAGCACTGCCTGCAAAGCTTTCCGAGACGTTTTAACGACATCGCGTGTAGTCGCTATAATCAAACACAAGGTCCATCAAGTATTTCGAGGTTTTTTTGGGGTTTGACCGAATCTGTAGTGATTTTTTTTTTAATGTCATAAATTGCAGCAAAAAAGCACGCCTGTGCAGCTATCCATCATCCAGAACTATTTCAGACAAACATGCAAGCAGATAACTTAAAAATACATTTGTATTTAACAACATCCAGAACTCTGCGGCTTGTGTCCTTTCCTGCATTCGGCTCCACGAGCCTATCGCCCCCGTTCTCTCCCAGTTCCACATCCCTCGACTGATCCAAGTTCACGATCCTCACCCGTCCCTTTAAATCCCTCTGTGGTCTCGCCCCAGCCTACCTCTGTGACCTACCAACCTTACCAACCCGGCCGCGCTCTCCCCGCTTCACACATCCCTCGCCCCACCCGGAACAGTCGGACTTTCATATTATCTGCCCCCCAACCTGGAACTTTATCTCAGACCCACCCCTCTCTCCCTTCAAAAGATGTGCAACATTTTCCAAGTTAAGACTTTTTAAATTTGAATCATTTTTTTGACAACTCTTTCCCGGACTACGTAATTACAGCAATTCATCAAGAAGTATTTGGAAGGACCTCATATTGGAACCAAAACAACACAAGAGCAATCGATAATAATAATCCTAGCATTTGATATGGCATCTTATCTCAAAGCGCTTCACACGATATACTATAAAGTAAACTGACTGTATTTTGTGGGCAAAACGCAGCAAGCAGCAAATTGCGCACATCGGTGCCCTATAAACAGTAGTGGATTTAGTGACCAAATTATTACTATTTTTATTGATTTATTTTGAAGGGACTATTGTCCCCCGAAAAGCGATCTGCCAATCGATTAACAGTCGGGTTCCTATTTACTGCTGGGTAAACAGACGTGTGGAGTGAGGAAACTTGCCTCACCTTTCGCCCATCCTGGGAATCAAACCCAGTCTAAAGCTACAGGTTAGGATGTGTGCAAGTCCCAGACCATAATGAAATACTACAGGTAATAATGCAATGTATTTTGCTGTTAAGTCTATCAGGTAAATAAACTGGTTTATATTTACACATAAACTTAAAAACAAAAACACACGTAGGCTTCCTTTTGTTTTCAAGAATGAAAAAAAATACTGAAGTTCAAATTTTTGGCAGATACAGGAAAGTTCACATAAGTCACGTCAGTCGGGACCATAACATTTAATGTGACTTAAGCCAAAGATGATTTGCAGGCAAACGTACATAAGTCGTATAACGTCTGATTCAATTAATAATCTACACTGCGCACGCGTGGTCCTTTTGGTAGGAAACTAAATCGGACTTGGGTGAATGCATGACTTGGGCGAATATACGATTTATAAAGATAAGACCTATGCAAGTTTGACTGCATCCTACAGTGACAGGCACATATTCAAATATCCTTCTCCACGTCAAAACACTTGTGTAGAATTAAGGCAAGGCCACAGGTTTGCAGTTTGGTCAACATACATCTAAAGGCAACATTAAAACAATCGGAATTACAGATGGAAAGGGCCTTGCCCCCAGGAAAGCAAACTATACACAATTATACCTTTTTAAAGCTGCAGTATACCACAGGAAGGTTTTGTAATTGTATTTTTTCCTCGATTCCTCACCTCTCCACCTACCACCAGGACATTATCTGCTGCGGTAACATCAGCAGCCGACCTCAATGAAAAACTACAGGTGGACCCTTAGTGTCTCGAGCGAATTACAGATTTTAGAAAGAATTCTGTTTTAGTTCGCAATTAAGAGGCTCTCTCAGTATTCCCTGCAGATGTTTCATTGTTGAGAGGCTGCCTTGCTATTTAGCGTGGCACGCTGCTAGTTTTTTTCCTCTTGAGCAAAGATGCTCAGCAAATGAACTGAGAAGTGATGGATCCCCTAAATTTGAATGTCTGGGTGAATATTTAGAAGCCTTGGGGCTTGAACCAGTAACTAAATGAAAATGAAGCCAGGATTCTTACCAGTCGGTACTGTTTGCCGAGTTTACTAGAAGCACCTTTAAAGTTTTGGAAGTCTTAGCGTTAAAAAGTGTAGCAACTCCAATTTAAGAAGATTCGTTAAATAATTTTCCTAGAAGTTTTTAAGATTGTCTAAAGGACTGGAAAGTACACACAAAATTGAACATTATCATTTATTTAAATTAGATATAGCTACTGGTAAAATAAGAGCATGTCATTAATACAATCAGTTTTTGGAATGAAGAATGAGAAGCCACAGGAGTCATTAGTAATACTGTATATTTTATCAGAGACTACATTGTTTTAATATTTGTGCACCATATGTCCCTGAGGATATGCCAGCCAGGGCTGCTTTCTCTGTTAGACCACTTAAGTTACTGAAATAATTGGTGGAAGTAATATTTAAAAATACATTCTGAAATACACGCCTCAGAATTAAAGTGGCCGGCCGTTAAATTAAAATATCCAATCGTGAAACATCGGGTCATAGCATCATAGACTGGTTAAGTTCTATAAGATTCAATATTGTCAATGTGCAAGTTTTGTTTTAAATTATCACGTGGCTGTAAATTGAAATGAAATTACAATTACAAACTGCAACGTCAAATAATCCACATAGTTGAAGATGTTGCATACCAAATATATTGCAGCTTTAAATCGCAGTACCTTTGTGTAATCCCGGCTTAAAAATAGCAAGCATTTGATTTTAATTACCACAGACATTAAAAGCACTTGCCTTGACATAATGACAAAGCTGAATAATATTTCTCAGAAAAGATTCCCAGTTTAAAAAAAGATTCCTGCTATTTGGGGCCTTGGTACAGGTTATCGTGACACGTATATTATATATTTTGTCTTAAAATGTTCTACTTGGATCAAAATGTTTCAATAGTGGGAGTGCATTGGAATGACACACTGAAATTATAATAACGGAAACATGATTTTTCATTAAATAACAGATATAGTGGAATTTCAAATCCATTATTTCTGTGATTCTGGAATGATGCTACATGGAAACATTAAGTGAACATCAAGTACATCCAGATTTTGTTTCAAATCTGATTGTTCCTGATCTGAATCCATCGGTGGTTGTGTACAGTAGCTACTTTCACACACAAAAAGGACTGAGCTTCTTTATATCTATGAATATCTGCCATTTTCATTCATTCCTGTAGCATCATCTGCTCAACTAAAGAGAGTAAAGCTAAGGATAAACTGTCTGAATTTTATGGTGTATCAATGTTGACACACAAAAAAAATATTGTGTTAAATGACCAAAACGCTGTAGTTCATTTTTCAGTTTTAACATCTCATTCTTGTACGAGTTAGAAAGGGTCAGTAACTATATCGGTTTCAGCAGCAGGACAAATAATGCCTGGATTTAATGTGTAACGGAGTGTAGAACAGGATTCAGCTCAAGGCAGAATGGAAAAGAAGTTCCTTGGAGGTCTGATGAAACTATCACCAGTCGTTTTGTTTCTGGTTTTCAAAAGGAACTGAACAGTTAAATTTCATATATGAAGGGTTAATACGCAAGACCAAAGATGGATTTAGGAGCTCCACATGATAGGACAAAAAAATGTGTTGAGGCAAAAGTAATGGAAGCAGGACCTTCCATTTTTGCCAGCAATGTTTCAGATTGCATGTTCCATCATACCTGTAGAGTCAGTCAATCAAATCTCCTGCCCTAGCTCCACGTTAAACACACAGGCTTTTTTTAAAAAAAACATATGAGTTATATCACCTAATATCCCAAATCAGTCTTCTGAAGTGGAAATAGATCAGTTGGAAAGACTTAAAAAGTCCAGTTGATTTTGTTGCAGGTTACACTGTTAGTCTAGCTGCCACAACGCGACAGAAAAGTAGGTTAATCGCTTGCATCCTGGTTTTTAGCCAGGGATTTGTTTTCAGCATTTGCAGCCCCTTCATAACGCTGTGATGCAATGGCTGCCTGGTGGGACATGCTCTTTCGAACTATATCCCCTTTTCGCCACAAAGTGATTTCCTGTAAGGAAATATTGAGAATATCATATAAAACACACACACTTTCCACAATCATTGAAAAAATGTTTTACGTTTGCCAAATCAACATTAGGAAATTAAATTGTAAACTGAACCATGCTTTTTCATTAAATAATGGATATACTGCTATATTGAAGCAGATTCACATGATATGCAACAACAGACATTGACAATAAAAATAGAAAGAAGAGTTTTTAATAACACTACAGTTCCCACCATAAATGGACTAGAAAGCTCTTCAGAACAATCTCTAACCTAAAGGGGAAAAATGCAGCTTTTAAAAATGTGGTAATATCGTGTTTACAGTCCAAGACAGTTTTAGTAGCTGGAAGATTGATACATTCGCAAGAACACAACAATTTGAGAGGTGAAAGAAGAATAAGGTCCATCTCATTCGCCTTCCACCATCCTGGCAGTCGCTTGACGTATTGTGTCCCAAACTCTTTATTGTAAATAGCTCTTGCTATTCATCATAGCAACAGCCACACATTTTAACCTGCTCATTTTTTTCCATTTTGTTAAAACAAGGTATTGTGGCTTTTAAAAAAATTGCCATTATTCAGCAAGTAATTACATTGGCAAGCACATACCTGCTGCTTGAAGTATCTCCTTTCCTCCTCGTCAATAAGGACAAGATTGAGGTAGTACCGCACAGAGAACTTTTTGTTAATATCCCTCATGCTTGGAGTTAGCTCATATCCTGCTAGAAAGAGCCTGATGGGAATGGACTCTCCTAAGCAGAGAGACAAACATTACATAAACATACTTACAAAAGTGCAGGAGAAGTCATAAAAATGAAATTACCTGAAATTGTGAAAATAGAAATGGATATTTCTTCTTTAACAGTTTAACAGTGCATCAGGAACAACATCAGCAAATCATCTTTGCAATGCAGTTTTACTGGTAATACAAATGATGTAAATAGAACTAGTGATTGAAAGACAATATGTAACACAAGTACTTCAGATAGTTGGCTGATGATGTGAAATGTGACACGACCAAGAAAAAATTCCAATGCCATTAAGCCATATTTAGCAACTCACAAATGCTTCAACACACACCTCTGACTGGGGCGCCGTCCATTATTTCATACTTGGCTATCGTGTCATTTTCGTGAAACACATTTGGTCCTGTTCCAGTAGTTTCCCTTTTAATGATGTCAATCTCCATGTGTTTGATCTTGATGCGGACCAATAAAAAATAGATCTTCCCCACAATCACATCCTTCAGGTGATATCTAAAATTTCAAAAGAATCAGACTGTGTATTTCAGAACAGGGTCTTAGGACTTTCTATTTGGATTTCCTTTGCTGGTTTCATCTCCATTCAAGGATTTTCACACCTAGAAACCTTGTGTATGTTATTAAAAAATGAAACTAAAATATATTTAATCCTCAATGCTTCAACACTTTCAGCTTTCAGAACTGATCCATTTCTTGTATAGTGCACCTGCTTATTTTGTACATAAAAGAATTAGTGTAATCATTTTACACTGGCGCCCTTTTAACTTTACACCAAGACATAATAAATCATTAAAGGATGCATCTACTAAAAATAATAATTGTTGCTTACCTGTCTCCATTTTATTTAGATTGGTGATCCAAGGTGAAACAGACCATAGCATTTGTGAAAACTTTATAGTTTCAGCTGTGTTTTTGCTACTTTTTAAAAACATGGCAGAGATGGGAAGGGAAAAAAAAATACCTGCAATCATTTTAAAAACAGACTGAAAAAAGCAATATCAATGATAGAAAGTGATCGTGATTTGAAGGATTTCTCAACTCCAGCAGGACTTTGAAAATAAGGAAATTAATCACAACAAAAAAAACAGCTCTACCGTTTTCTGGATATCAACGTGCAGTTCCTGTTAAAATTACGGTTTCACTTACCACCGCAACTGGAAAAAGCTTCAAAGGCAAATCTGCTCATTACGAAATGAATCAGAAAGACTCCATCATACACTGATGACACCTTATCAGAAAGTAGACAGACAATACGAAGTAAACTTTGAACACATTAAAGTGGAACTACATGCCTCAGTGAGTTCATTCAGCGAATAACTGAGCCATACAAAACCAGGGAAATCCAAGGTTCAATTCTCAGACTATGAACTCAGACTTTCCAACAATTGATGTCAAGCACACTGTACAAAAGGCAAAATATTGAAGGTGCTGCAAATCTGAAATAAAAACAGAAGTGGCTGGGAACACTCAGCAGGTCAGGCCACGTCTACGAAGAGGAAAGCGAGTTAACGTTTCAGGTCGATGACCTTTCGTCAGAAACCGAAACATTAACCCACTTTTCTTGCTTCGTAGACGCTGCCTGAGTTGCTCAGTGCTCCCAGCGACTTCTGTTTTTATTTCAAGCACACTATGTAGGCAAAGGGGAAATCAGCCACACAGAATACAAATTTGGCCCTTTTTTGTTCCACCAAGATCACCGCAGTTCCCATTAGGCTTCAAAGAATTTACGTTCAATTTCCCACACACCACACCAATTTATTACAAATTTGGTTTGGTGCGACGGAAATTGATCAGAAAGTCTTTCAAGAAATGGGCCCCACCTCACCACAGCGATTAGATTTTTTGCTTCAACAATGCACAGGTATTGATCCAACTGAAGTCGAATCCACATACAGTGAAACCCTCTTATACGCAAACTTTTGGGAACAGAAGTAAAAAAAAAGGGCACATACCCAAGTCCGCAGATGAGGTCACCCAGAAAACTACACTGTCAAAAACGCTTTACTGTATTTCCTGTGAAGCGCTTTGAGACAAAGCAATAAGGCGCTATACCAAAAGCGTATTATTATCAATATATGGCAAAGTAACCCCATTTGCAGCTGCACAATGGAAAAAAAATACTTTTCCAAAAAATTAAAATGTTGGCTTAAAACTGATTTTAGTATATAAGTTTTTTCCCAGTAATTGAATCTTATTTTTTGTTTTATCTGAAATTTGCATTTAAAGACTTGTATTGAAATGCAAGTTGATTGAAGTAAGTACTGCAGATAGATTGATGTACAAATGTAACATAATATTCACAACTACAGTATTGTGAGACACGCTTTGCATAGCGAATAATGATACAGCTAGCCTCTGATATGCTACACCGCTTATATGTCGTCTTTTTTTTCCCCATTCCAATTTGCTGCCCATAAGAGGATTTCACTGTACATACTTTGACTTGTTGTATTCAAACTCAATGTGAAGGCAATCCTCAATCCCAACTTCCATCTTGATGGAGGAATTCATCTCAGGATAGGTACTCAGGGTGTGCACAACAATGTCCATCTCCTTTGTAATGTCGTTTAACCTACGGCTGATGGTTGCTCTGAGAAAGTACCTGAATTTGGGAGAGAAAACACATTGAGAATTACATTTAAAACAACTCCACATAGAATCATGCCAGGATGATTCTATCAACATTGCAAAAAGGTCACACATTCTCTGAAACAATTGCAATGCGCGAGTCTAAAGTACCAGAAAATGCACACAGAATACAGTCAATTCACTTTACAGTATATTCTGTGAAGCGTTTTGAGACGTTTTGAAGATGTGAAAAAAATGGCGATTCACTCCATGGCTGTTTTGGGGCAATGCTGTGCAGAAATTGCTGCTGCGTTTGCCTGCAAAATATAGTCACTTGGAGACATCCTCCTGACATGAGAGATTCTATTTTAAACTTTTAAGTGAGAAGTAGATGGGTATTTGGGGAGGATAAGATTGCAGGGCTATGGAGAGAAAGCGGGCCAGTGGGATTGAGTTGGATTGCCCTTTTCGGAGCTGGCGCAGACACGATGGACCGAATGATCTCTTTCTGCGTTCTATGATTCTATGAAATGTAAGGATTATTCTTATAAACAAAAGGCAAAATACTGCAGATGCTGGAAATCTAAAATAGAAACAGAAATCGCTGTGGACATTCAGCAGGTCAGGCAGCGTCTAAGGAGGGAGGAAAGATCATCGGCCTGAAGCGGTAACTCACTTTCCCCTCCAGATGAGGATTATTCTTATATTTGTTCTCATCGTATATCCTACATACACTTCACTTGCGCTTTTGATAAAAAATTAATATTATAAGACACCGACTCACCGTAACTTAACATTTTGGCCAGTGTAGGATTCGTACGGCTTTTCTACATGTGTAAACTCAAAGTCAAATGTTTGAGACTGTGTCATTTCACCAGGCCGGGCCAAATCTTTTACTAATGACACAAACTCATGGTGATTCCCTCGGTCGTAGTACAGCTCTGTTAAAAGAAAGAATATTTTAGATTTTGGAGTGAGTGCTCAAAAATATGTCCCCCGCCCTTCACCCCACAACATTGCTGCACGCCAGGGCACATCTTCAGTCCTGGAAACCCTCAAAGACTAGTGTATCCCGGCACAGACACGATGGGCCGAATGGCCTCCTTCCGTACTGTATAATTATCTGACTTCCAATGGGGTCTACCCAGCATTCTATAAAATTACAAGATAAAGAGAAAGTTAAGGGTTAGAAATCTAAGAGGATTTCACGATCATATATTGTTTTGTTAGGCAATCAGATAAAGAAAATATGAAACGGTATGGAGAAGGGGTAAAAGCAGATGACTGGGATTATCTAACTAACACACACATGCATTCAGGAGTGTATGCTTAACCCTTTCAGCATCAATGCAACGAAATATCTTCACAAAATCAAAATCTTGAGGCGAGGCAAGCGAAAGAAACAGCTTAAGGGGAAGTTTTGAGATAAAACTATAAGCGGAAATTAAACAAATAAGGTGAATCAAAAGAGATAGCTTGTGAAATCCAACCGATTCAAAATTCCACCACCCATATCCTCGTCGGTATCAAACTCCACACCACCATCACTTCAGTCCTTACCACTGGCTTCCTAACGCAGAACTGATCGATTTCAAGATCCTCAAACTCACACACGAATCACTTCATGTGCTGACACCTCCTTCACCTGCTTAAATCCCACTCCTCTACCCACCTCTTCGTTCAACTAGCTCTAGAATTCTGTACTTCCCTTGTTGCTTCCGCTCCACCATTGGATAGCATTCTTTCAGTCACTGTATCCCAAATTTCTACAACTCCCAATCCCTCTTGTTTTGCCAGTCTTCAGATTGCATCTTAAGGCCCTCTTCTTCGACCGTGTGTGCAGTCACCTCCCCTCTCTGCCTGGCTCAGCATTAAGTTTTAAGTGCTCCGAGACGCTGTCCCAGGCACTATAAAATTGCAAGTTGTTGTAGTCATTTATTAACACCAAAGGCCGAAAGTGAAACTAAAAACAAGAATACATTGCAAGACAAAAGCAACCATGTGACAAGAGAACCATAATGTGGAAGTAGACAGCATCCAAAGGATAATCGAAATAACAGATTAAAGGTCTTTTTCCTTCAATTTTCCAAGGTTTCACCCCACAAAATACATTGTCCAATTACTGCACAGTATATCCTGTGGAAGCGCTTGGCGATGTCAGGATGACGTGATTGGATGCTATATCAAACGCAAGGATTATTATTATTAATTAAAAAAATCAGTGTCACATTCACAACTTTAGTTAGCGGCATTTTTATTATAAAGTTTGTTTAATAGTTCTTAGGCTGCAGTTCAAGCACATTGAGCGCTCTGCAAAATGCAGACCCCTAAACATGATTTGTATGGATAGTCCTCAATCTTAAAAAATACATATATGAAAAAATAAATAATAATTAGATCGCTCGATCCATAATTCTTTGTGGGGCACTGCTCTATGCAATTGGCTGCACCATTTTGCCCACGCAACACACAGCCACTACGCTTTACAGTACATCCCACGAATGGCCTTGAGACGTCTGGAAGACGTGATAATAACAACAACAATCCTTGCATTTGACGGAGCGCCTTATCGCGTCCTCCAGACATCTCAAAGCGCTTCACAGAATGCACCATGAAGTGAATTGACTTGCGTGTTTTGTGGGCGCTTATAATCGAATGCAAGGATTATTATTAATAGTATTATTATCCTGATTAAAATTCAAACGACGATGAACATTACGCCCACAAATATACAGCCGACTCGCTTGTCCCGGCTATTCCGTGAAGCGCTTTGAGGCGTCTCGAAGACGTGTTAAGGCGCTGTGTCAAACTCAAGCATTATTTATTTATTTATTAAGTAATGAACATGTTTAGCCTACACCCCCAAGGCAGGGGTGGGGTGGGGGGTCTTTATATGTACATTTATCCCCCCCAAAACACCTTTAAAATCCCAGGCCTGAACTCACTGAATGCCCCCCCCCCACCACACACACACACACACGGTCCACCCCCCCCACACACACACATGCTTCCCCCCCACGCACACTCCCCCCCTCACGTACACTCCCCCCACCCCACACACACACACCCCCACACACACACAGTCATGACAGACAGGAGGCTCCTGTAGGCCCCAACCACAGGGCACATGACTAAGGAGTCGTTTTTTTTACCCGAGTCAGTCAGTGCCGTGGGGGGGGGGGGGGTGGGGTGTGTGTGAGGGGGGGTTGTGTGTGTGGGGTTGTGTGTGTGTGAGGGGGGGTTGTGTGTGTGTGAGGGTTGTGTGTGTGTGAGGGGGGGGTTGTGTGTGTGAGGGGGGGGTTGTGTGTGTATGTGTGGAGGGGGTTGTGTGTGTGTGAGGGGGGCGTTGTGTGTGTGTGAGGGGGGGTTGTGTGTGTGGGGTTGTGTGTGTGTGTGTGGGGGGGCGTTGTGTGTGAGTGTGTGGGGGGGGGTTGTGTGTGTGTGAGGGGGGCGTTGTGTGAGTGTGAGGGGGGGTTGTGTGTGTGGGGTGTGTGTGGGGTTGTGTGTGTGAGGGAGGGGTTGTGTGTGGGGTTGTGTGTGTGTGAGGGGAGGGGGTTGTGTGTGGGGTTGTGTGTGTGTGGGGAGGGGTTTGTGTGGACGGGGGGGGGGGTTGTGTGTGTGTGGGGGGAGGGGGTTGTGTGTGGGTGTGTGTGTGTGTGTGGGGGGGGGGTTGTGTTTGTGGGGGGAGGGGGTTGTGTGTGGGTGTGTGTGTGGGGTTGTGTGTGTGTATGGGGGGGGTGTTGTGTTGTGTGTGTGGGGAGTGTGTGGAGAGGGTGTGTGTGTGTGCGTGCGTGTGTGTAAAAAAAAATCCCACCCACCGATCTGGCCTATGAACTCGATCTTGATGCCCTGGTGCTCGAGCCTCTTGCCCGGGTTCTTCAGGGCCACGTTCACTTTGCCGGAGACCGTCTCGCCGTCGTAGAACAGGTAGTAGCGGTCCTTCTTGCCGTCCTCGCTCTTGTGCTCCGCCCGCTTGCGGGTCTCGGCGTCGGTCAGCGCGATGTCCAGCTCCGCGCTCTGGCCGAAGCTGAAGAAGCTCATGGTCGCGGCCTTCCGGGGGGGTCGTTTGAGGGGGTCAACCTTTTCACCCCACACCCCCCCCCCCTCACCTCACCACCACCACCTCCTCCTTTGGGCCCTCCTTTTTTTTTTCGGGACGCGTTAAGGGTCGGTCGGTGTCCGTCCGTCCGTCTGTGTGTCTGTGGCGGTGACTGACTGACGTGACTGACTCGCTTCCCTCTTCCACTCTCTCCTCGGGTTTTTTTTTCCCGCCCACTCCTTCCCCCTCTCCCTCCCCCCCCCTCCGGGTCAGCGTTTGGGGCGGGAGGGGGGTGTGGTTCACGCCCAATTGGGCGGATTTTTTTTAATATATAAGCTCTCGCGCTCTCTCTCTCTCTCTCTCGCTCGACACTGCGGCGCTGCGCGCGCGCGCGACACGTCAGGAGGCGGGAGCCACCCCCCCCCCCAAAAAAAAAGGAGCCCCACCCCAAAAAGCCGCAGGAGGGGGGGGCGAACAGGGCGAGAAACCCGCCCGATTGGGCGCGATCCACGCCCCGATCGGGCTCGATTGCCGCCCCGCCCCCCCCCCCCCCCCCTCCCCCCTCGATCGACCGATCGGGGCGGCTTTCTCGTTCGCTCTCTCCGCGCGGCTTGCGTGCGTGCGTGCGTGCGTGCTCGTGGCCGCGGTTTTGCGCGCGTGAACCGTAAAAGGACGTCGGGCCGTTGACGCCGTCGCCCCGTCGTGGTCGCGCCGCGACGCGACGGCCGCGGGCTTCAGGGGCGCTTCTGCGCACGCGCCGACCGACCAACGGTTTTCTTTTTTAAAATTTTTTTTAAAAATTGGTTAAAAAAACAGACTTTTTTTTTTAAAAAAATACATTTAAAATACAGCCAGGTTGGGTGGGGGAATTAATGTCATTTTTTTTAAAAATATTTTTTTGTGTGCGTGTAATGTTGGTCGCCCGCCAGCCGTTGGGATGGCGGTGAGTGCGCAGGCGCGGGGGTTTTGGCGGGCTGGTTGACTGAGCTGGGCTTTGGCTGTTCGTCAGTCAGCAATGGCCGGTACTTCTTCATCGTCTTCGTCGGCGGCGCTGCGGCTTCTGCAGCGACTGGAAGGTCTCAAACTGCGCCAAGTTAGTGCAGGTAAAAAAAAAAGGGGTCGCCGGCACCGGGCACAAAGCCTCCGCTCACCCCCCCCCCCCCCACCTCCCACCCACCCTCCGCGCTACCCGGTGACCGTTCAAACAAACAGGAAGGAAAAAAGAAAGAGAGAGAGAGAGAGAGCAACAACAACAACAACACAACAACGAAAGCATTAGGTGGTGAGGGTGGGGGGAGGGCAGGTGGTGAGGGTGGGGGGAGGGCAGGTGGTGAGGGTGGGGGGAGGGCAGGTGGTGAGGGGTGAAGCAGAAAGGCTGAAGAGGAGGGTCTTGTAGGTGGGTCTGGGAGGGGGCGAGGAGGGCGGAGGGACTGCCTGATGGAGTTCCAGAAGGTGGGTGTGGGGGGAGGCAGAGTGGCGGAAGGTCCGCTCGGGGCGAGCGAGGCGGGGGGGAGGGACGTGAAGCAGAGCGGAGGGAGCGAGCAGGGTGGTAGGGGGTCAGGAGGTGGGGGAGGGGGGAACGAGGTCACGGAGGGGCTTTGAAGGTGAGGACCAGGATCTTGAGCTGTATCCTCCGTGCGATGGGAAGCCGGCGGAGCTCGGGCCAGGACGGGGGTGATAGGGTCGCGGAGCCTGGTGCGGGAGAGGGCACCGGCTGCAGGGTTAGTCCTGGATGATCTGCAGCCTATGGCGGGAGGGGTTGGGGCGGCCGATACCAAGGAGTTCGCACCGTCAGGTCTCGATGCAATGTAATGTTCCAACGATGTCCTCCCGACCTGATGAGGCGCTGATCCAATTGTAATGTCGTTGTTGTTACTGGCAATATTTGTGTGGAGGTGGGGGGCAGATCAGGATTCTTCCCACTGTTAACCCTGCAAGCCAAAGCCGTAATAGGTTGGGTGGTCCTAGCTGGACAAGTGTGCCAGACGGTGTTCTTCAATGGCAAACTGTGTGGTTTTAACTGGTTTAAAATTCCGGCGATTAACCCAATTGCACATTCTTGGGTCTTCCAATCTTCGGTTCGTGCCCTTCTTGTTTGTGGGACACCGCTGTGCGCAATTGGCTGCTGCGTTTCGCCCACAAAAAACACACAGTCAACTCACTTTACCGCATATTCTGTGAAGCCCTTTGAGACGTGATAAGGCGCCCAAAGAGGTGATAAGGCGCTATAATCAGAGCCAATGATTATTATTATTATTATCTGAGTTTTACTAGCTACGTAGGACGTGGCTGTCCAGGAAAAGAGTGGGCATTCCATCCCAGACATGGAAATTTCCACGTGGAGGTGGTATACATTTATGGAACTCTACCTCCATTTTTAGCATAGTGACGGATTTCCACATGTGTCAGGCACCAGGCTGACCAAATGAAAATACTCAGTGTAATCTGATTTCTTTTTATATATTCTTTCAGTGTGGGTGGATACAGTATGGGAACTAGATTTTACAGAGACAGAACCACTGGATTCACACCTGGAAGAGGAGATCATAGAAGATGGACTTGAGGTTTTTTCCCAACTTCACAAGAGTCTTCTTAAGTTCATTAGCCAAGACCAGGAATCAGCCGGTGTAAGTATTCTGGGTGAGAAGTAGTCAGATTGCCATTTGGGGAATGAGAGGGAGTCAGTGGTTGGGACTGAGATTTTATTTGGCTTTATGTCCTGAGGAATAAAGTACAAAAGGAGGGAAGTAATGTTAAATTTATAGAAAACTTAAGAAAAAAATGGGAGTACCTGTGTACAGTTCCTGTTGCCAAATTTCAGGAAGGAAATTGTAGCACTGGGGAGAGGACTGCGTAGATTTATAAGGAAGTTACCAAGGATGAGTTGGTACAGTGATCAAGAAAAAATGGAGCTTTTCTTTCTAGAGATGAGTAAAAAGGGATCTGTTGGACATGTTCTAAGTTATGAAATGATTTGATAAGATGCACATTGAAAGGCTATTTCTACTTGTTCGTGAGCCCAAAACAAGGGGGCATAAATATAAGCTAGGCATTAGCAGATCTAAAATGGAGTTTTGGAAGAACATCTTTTCACAGAGGGTGGTGATAACTCACTACTAGAAGCTGTGGTTGGAGCAAAACGTATCAACATATTTAAGAGGAAACTTGATGCATATGTGAGGAGAAAAGGAAGGGTATGATAGAGAGGAGTGGGGGCTAGTGGAGAGTCTAAACACTGGTGTGGATTAGTTGGGATGAATGGCCGGCCTATTTATGTATAATTCAAAGTTGAGTTGCCATAAACTGGTAACAGCTTTATCCATGCAGCCTGATGTTGACTCCTGCTAATATTTAATGGTCCTTCAAGTGAACAATTATCCTATTTCCTTTAACTCACGGACACTTCATCTTTCATTTCTAATTTATGTTTTATCTTAGGGTATTTGGACACTATTTGCAGAGAATGATATCCACCACAATGTCCTTGTTGCTGTATTGTATCATTTTGTCCATATGATCCATGATAAGAATGCCGGCGTCGCTCAGCGGGAATATGCCTTGCATGCAGCTGGACTTTATTTCCTGCTTCTTGAAATCCCAGGTGAGATAAAATAGCTCAGAAGTTGCTTTCTCGCCACACAAGTAAATGTAAAAACCTCTTTACTGTTAAATATATCTTGGTGAAATTGTGACAAATGAATGTCATACTTGTCGCATAAAAATTCAGGTTGTAAAATATAAATGAACACAATTTGCAGATATGTCTTCAAAAGGATAAATTGTGCAACCATTTTCCAGAAATGTAGATACTTGGGTTTGTATTAAAAAAAACTCTTCATACATTATTCTTATAGGTAGTGTAGCCAATCGGCTCTTTCATCCAGTACTTTTTGACAAATGTCTTGACACTCTGACAAGAAGTTGGCCAATGGATGTAGAGAAAAATCGGAAGAGGAAGAAGGACACGCAGGTAAAGAGCTCTCAGCATGAGGCAAAAGGAAGAAAGCGAAGCAAGCCAGCAAGACAGACTGAGTCTCAGGTAAGGAACTTTAAATCTATCAGAGCCTTGTCTGAAATGTGCACATATGTTTCGCCCACAAAATATACAGTACATTCACTTTACAGTATATTCTGTGAAGTGCTTTAAGACGTCATGAGGATGTGATAGGATGCTATATATTATGTGAATATTTAGGAAAACCGGTGTGATGTTTTTGTGTTGCAAAACTCAAAGTAAAGACTGATTGTTTCTAAAAGACTTAGCAGACCAGTCTTTTGCAAGAGTGACCTTGCTTTGCTAGATATTGGGGAGTTTATTATTTATACTTTATTTCAAGATCTGTCTCAGGCACTAGGTGTTGTGTGAGAGAAGAATGCAATAGTTTTCTTCCCTCTGGTACCAGCAAGCTGCTCTCCTATTTGTATGACTGAGATAAGGAGCTTGCCATCTGAGCAGCATGAATGCAAGCCAGCGTGTTCCTACCCCTGTATGGAATTGCATATTGAAGCAGGATTTCCTGTATTTTTAATAGGATTCTGCTTCTTCAGTCCAAATTAACTAATGTTAACTCATCTATATTGTAAAAGATTCCTATTCCATGTCTCTTGTTTTAATTGGTTTGTAGTTACCTCTGGTGTTTGGAGTATACTTGAAGCATGATGCTGATATTTTTGTGTTTGTTGTTCATTTTTAGATGGATGATATATTTGAGGAAGAGGAGGAGGATGCTCATGTTCATTTTTCTGTGAATGACTTGTGTCGTATCAGGGATAGTATTTTTTCTGTACTGAAAAACTTCCTGAGATTTCTGTCCAAATTCTCTTTGAAAGACAACCCCCACTGTGCTCACCACTGCCTGCAGGTAAGAAGTCAACTATTTGTGCATCCTTATGGATGTTGCATGCAATGAAACTGAACTGATCAAGTTTATACCAAAATGATTTCCTTACAACCATGGATATGGTGAAATCAGATATTGTTAAAGTATCATTTCTTTGGCAAGGAAGTATCAACCTGTCCTTTGCCAAAGCCCTGAAGCGCTTTGCCGCTAGCCAGCTTTGCTCTCACTTCTCCCTCCACTCACTCCTTGAGCCCCTCCAGTCTGGTTTCTGCCCTGTCCATAACGCAGAGACTCCGCTTGTCAAGGTCACAAATGACTGCAATTCTTGTCCTCTTTCTGACCAGGGCTCCCTCAGCCTCCTTGTCCTCCTGGACCTCTCTGCCGTGTTGAACACAGTCGACCATGCCATCCTCATCCACTGCCTCTCCTCTCTCATCCACTTTGGTGGGACTACACTAGCCCAGTTCGAGCCCTACCTAGCAAACTGCTTTCACTTTATCTCCTCAAACTGTTTCTCCTCCCGCCCCCACCCGGTCACCTGTGGTGTACCCCAGGGCTCCATCCTTGACCCCTCATCTATATGCTCCCTCTTGGCGATGTGATCCTCAGACACAGCGTAAACTTCCACATATATGCGATTAACTATATTTCTATGTATATTTGTATTTTATATTTCGACAGGTGTTCTCTCAATTGACAAGTTTTGAGCCTGTAATTGGAGGATTATCGTTTTCAAAAGCCGTGTAAGTCTGTAAATACAGTAAGCTATTTTGCGCATGAAATACTTAATGTGAAAATCTCAAGGCTGTGTTACTGTTGAACTGACTATTGAACAAATTCAACTGCTAATTGATTTTCAGTTATCAGGAATATTTATTGTGAAACTTTCTTTGATTATGCCATGTGGTTATACATAAACTCATTTTTACTTCTAAAATATTCTTTTCTTTGTTCAACCAAAGTATTCTGTTGAAATGATTTAATTGTTCTATGTGTGTCAGTCTGTGTCGGTGGTAGCACTTTCGTCTCTAGTCAGTCAGATGGCTGTGGGTTCAAGCCCCACGTTGCAACTTGGAATCACATAGTCAATGCAATGCTAATGGTATGCTGTATTGTCGGAAGTGCTGTCCTTCACTTGAGACGTTAAAGCGAGATCCCATCTGCCTATTCAGGTAGATGTTAAAGATCCCATGGCACTAACAAAAAGAGAAGGGAGTTCATGGCTAACAATCTCCCAAATAAAAATTGTCGCTCACTCCATGGTTGTTTGTGGAACATTGCTGTGTGCAAACTGTCTGTCGCATTTCGTTCACAAAATACGCAGTCAATCACTGCACCACATCCTGTGAAGCACTTTAGAACTTCATGATGACGGGATAAGGCCCTATATCAAAATCAAGGATGATTATTGTCACAATATAGCTGGGATTAAAATCGTGTGCATATAATTTGTATACTATTCCCCTTATGATTCCTTAGACGATAACGACAAACTATTTGTTTTATATTTTAATAACGTTGGTTTAATAATAATATTCCTTATTATTAATCAAAAGAATATTATTAAAATTGTTATTGGCTTGTGATCGTTATTCACATTTTGGAAAAGATTTTGCTACACTTACCAAATATAAATATACAGATAGTTATTTTAGCTGTGAGTTAACTAATTTTTTCTGCTTTTCTGCCAGAAACATTGAGAGAATGAGGACTATGCCTGAATTGTCTTATTATGGGCTACGATTACTCTGTTCCCCCATGCATGGTGATGTCAACAAGGTAATTTTTTACATAAAATGTTTTCTTATAAATTGGTTACGAACCTGTACAGTGGATGTACTCAATTTATTTTCTCTCTTTTGCAGTTGCTTTGTTCCCTTTTCGAAACTCTATTAAACACAATTTTAATGATAAGATGCGAAGAAGGTTCTAAATCCATTGTACTACTGGGAGTTGGACAGAAAATTGTCCTTGCCAAAGATGTAGCCATTAAGTTTATCAGGTTAGAAATTTTTAGGTTACTTCTTTTTAAAGGGAAACATTTTAAAATCTTTGGGTCTGGAATATTGTTGTTGAAAGTGCAGCAGATGATTTTATCTCTGAAGTTTGAAATATTTTGTTCGCAGTTACATTGTGGATGAGCTGAAAGAGCCTGCCTTACCTACTCTTCGAATTTTGCTGCAACATATCTGTGCTAAGGTTTGAAACTCTCAGAATTGAGGTTATTTTAAAGATCATTTTTGATACTACTGTCAAAATTGCTATCATTCACTACCAAATGTATAGTATTAACAACGCATTACCTGAAAGAAATGACATGCATGCTAAAATTTGTATTTATCTTGTTATAACAGCTACTCTTTATTTTCTATGAAAGATATTTGTCATATTTTTGTATTGTATGTTATTAAGATCACAAAGAGATAAATGCACTCTCGCAAGAGTTTCTAGAGTGAGAGTGTCTAACCTTAAGTCTTTTGATTCTTAAACTTATTTACCTGATTTCGGTTTGTAAAATCGACTGTAGTTTATCACTTTTGGATGAATAAAGAAATGAAACTAACAGCAGGATTTGGCAAATATTCTAGTTTCTAAACTCTAAACTTAGTTTCAGTTGTACCTCACTCTCACTCATATAGTGATATATAGATATATTTTCTAAAGAATCAAGTGATCTAGTTTGTTTTTAGTAGAAATTCTGTCTTTTTAAAAAAAACTATATATTCAATTATAATTTCAACAAAGTTTCTTACGTATGACATTAACCCTAGAAACTCTTGGGAGAGAGCTTGTATCTCTGTGTGATATTAATATTAAAATACGCCATCCAAAAATATGCCCAATAACTTTCATAGGAAATATGTTACGAAGCAAGATCCATTAAAAAATATTGGCTGCGAGTTATCAGATTGACACTGATGGCCAGCTTTTGCACGTGCTCACAGGTGTTTGGTCAGTCGTTTCGGCTCTCACAAGGGTTTCTATTGATAGCGTCTCCCTGTAGGAATGTTTGAAAATTGTTGCCTGTACATTAGCAGTGCAAATTTGGCTAAGGGAAAGGATTCTGATGCGTTAAGCACTCTTTGCTGATGAAAAGTAAGAATATTATTTGTTGATGACGAACAATATTTCTGACATTACAGGTGCCAGATAAATTAGAATACCGTTCTTGTGCTGCTCAGTCGGTAGTGCAACTGCTAAAGAAACTTCCTAGTGCAGACTACGCTACCTTCTTGGATTGGCTGTTTAAGTATTCACAGAACTCCAAGGTAGGAAAATATAGTTTATGAAATTGAAGCCTTTAATTTTTTTTCTATTTTAAATATGTTATTATAAGAATTTATTATTCTTTGAATTGCAAGATTTGTCACATTTTCAAATTAGCCAATTTACTTGCAGTGGAAAATATGAAGCATTGCGGTTAATTGTATTGCCGTGCACACATACCGTATTGCTGTTCTGAATCACGGTATTAATCTGCATTGGTTCTCTCAATTCCAGATATCTTACAGAGCTTTTGCATTGGATGTGGTCATGGCATTACTGGATCTCCCTGAGAGAGAACCAGACGACACTGTTCCTCAAGAACATCACAAGTATTTAATGCACAAGTATTGGCTACAAGTCTTGATCTTGGGTAGATGCTCAGATAAAGCACCTACTGTCAGAAGTAGAGCACTAACTTGCCTGGCACAGTGTCTAAATTTAGGCTTTTCATCAGCTGTGGACTCCATCCATGAATTGGTGCTAGGAAGTAAGTATGAATAAGTGTCTAGTGTACTGTACTTGCCGTAAATGTTTACATATTCAGAATTGCAAAGGATCCGTTTTATGATGCTGGAAGGATGCAATTGATTCTGACCATTAAAATACATGAGGTAAAATTCCTGAAAGCCTGTTGAAAAATTTCAGCCTCAGCAAACTTTAAAATCACTCAAACCTTTGTAGTTTTAGCGTCTGTGGCACTGCCCCAAAGCAAAACCGTCACATCGTATCACATCGCAGCTGCTTATTGTTCATTGTTTATCTAAAAGTAGGAAAAGGAAATCTTCTTGAGTTTTAAAAGTCAACTGTTGAAATAAAAGAAACTGCAGGTGGATGTGCAGGTAAACCTGCTGGTCAATCGGGTGTACCTTGTTGGAATAACATCTGATCAGGAAGTTTCTCACCTCTGTTGTGGTATGACGAACGGCCCAATAAAATGTGGGGGTTCTTGGGCTCATGTTGTGCTGGAGACCCCATGTTGTATTTGGAAGGCTTCCCTCTAGTGTCACAAGATTAGCACTGCTCTTCTGATATTTTGTCTCCAGGTTGTTTGCATTTTTTAAAAATTGCAAATTGGAGGATTTCAACAAGCTCTGAGACTTCTCCAAGACGCGAGAAGGCACTATAATAATAATAATGATCCTTGCATTTGATACAGCGCTTTTCACGTCTTCTAGACGTCCCAAAGCGCTTAACAGAATATACTGTAAAGTGAATTGACTATATTTGTGGGCGAACGCGGCAGCCAATTGTGCACAGCAATGTCCCACAAACAGTCGTAGATTGAAAATGACCAATTTATTATTGTTTTGTTTTTTTGGAGGGATTATTATTAGGCTCTGTGTGGAGTAAGGAAACTTGCCCAAGGTTTCGCCCTCTGCCTGGAATTGAACTCAGGTCTCTCACTTGCAAAGCGAGTGCTCTCACCACTGAGCTACAGGACTCCATTATATCAAATGCAAGGAGTATTATTATTAGTATGATTGATTTGCTATTCAATACTGTTAAATCCGAAAGAATATCATTGTGACCAATCTAAGGTAAACGTCAAACAATCTTTGCAGCTACAAGACCAACGATGTTTCATTCGCAATCGGAGGGAATGCTGGATATTCAGAAGACCTGTGCCACAGGTGGAGAAGGTAATTAGAAGATGCATAAGGTTTGGGGAAAAAAAGAATATATGGCAGTGTAATAAGTATAAGTGGATGCTCAGCTATCTGAAGTGTTGGAATACGATCCCATATGTGGGTTTCACTTCCACCAGCTGGTTTCAGGAGCTTGTTAAGGTGCCCTCTCAGTATCGGGGAGAAAATATATGGAAAAGTATCTTGGTCCTTGCCTATAGAGAAAAGAGCATAGACTGATTGAGTTAAATGCATACTTGTTAATTTTAAATCCCACGTTGTTGAAATAGTTGTAACTTAATGGTAAAAGCTACAAATTTTCAGTTTTGTTTTGAATAAGTTTTATGATGTTTACCATTTTATTGAAGAATGCCATTGTAAATTAAAGACTTACAGAATGTAGTGTAATATGCAAATATTAATGCATAGTTCACCAACCACAACATTCAGATAGTAGAAATAGACTGATGCTCTCAAATTCAGCCTATATATATATCTACATGTTTGTCAGATCAAATTTTACTTTTACTCTAGAAGCAAATTGTTGAATCCGAGCCAAAATGGTTTTGTTCCAAATATTCACTTCTCAAATGTTTCCAATTGAGGAGCTGCTCAGTTATATTGCAGTATTACTGTCAAATTATATAACTAGACTTGCTTGATTTGAGTTAACTTTCTTTATGTAACCTAGTTAATCGAGTAAACAAAGCTGTTAAGAATCACTTGATAATGTCAACACCAACATATTAAATAGGGAACCAAACCAACATGTTGCTGCAGAAAATGAAGCATTTATTCTACACTGCCTGTGTAAGGCTGACGTACTTAATTAAATTTTAAACGATAGAAATGCTCAATGGTGTGAAAATTGTACAAATTATTGAGGGATGTGCGTGTTTGCCACAGTTATGTCTGGTGGCTGCATTAATTTTTGGATATACTGGTTTGTGCTGTCATAATTCAATTGAATTAGAACATTTCAGTACTATATTCTGCTTTTAATAGAAAGGCCACTTTGGCTCAGGCCTCATTGAGTGATTGTTGTAGACCGACTGGTTTGACCGCATTTCCAGTTTAATGATTTTAAAATGCAACATTCTTCGATATTAATTTTGAATTTTATTTTTTTCCTCTTCGAACATTTGTTTAGCTGTAACTGACCAACAAACGTCCCTGAATGCAATAAAATACGATGAATTCACAGAAGGGAATTCCGTAGTTTCTAATGGTGAGTGCAATTGTAGTTATGCAAAGTGTGTTGTCTGTAAGATCTGTGACTGAAGTGGCTATAATAAATAAAAATAAATGGTAACTTTTTTTCTTCAGCTGTTAACTGAAATTAGTTTCTCATTTTACAAGTGTGTAAATTCCTATACATAAATTAAGCACATTTTGCTGAGGATCATGCTTTCTGAGGGTTTATAGCACTAGTAACATTATGCAAGCTTGTTTGGAGATGGTGTCTTTTATCTGGATCTTTTACTGTATATGCTTTTATTGTCATGAATGCTCCTGATAATTTGAATGTTTTTCCAATTTTCAGTTCTTTGAAAATGGAAATATAGCTTCCCTCAAACTCTTTATGAAACCTGATCTGTTCAAGCCCCGCAAAAGCATTCAAGTCAAAATGTTAGAGGCATTTAAAATTTTAAACAATTTTTCAGCAATTTGGCCAGTGTTGCAGCGAGATAAAATTAACGTATCAAGCAATCTGGAAAGTTACTTCCCCTCCACCACCACCCCCCCACCCCCCCCCTGCCATTACTAACAAATTATTTCTTTGCCTATTGCAATGTCGGTTATTTGAGACGCGTTGAGTGCACTTTTTTTTAAAAAAATCTGAAAGTGCTTATATTCAGATAATATAGATGCATTCAACAGAAAGCTGGACCTTCACACAACGGAGACGGGAATAGAAGGGTGTGGGAGAGAATGAGGAATGGGTGAAAAGTATAAACATTTGTCACGGGACTGGTTGGGCTGAGTGATCTGTTTCTGTGCTGTACAGTTTTTTGTAAATCCTTTGCAATCTGTTTATTGTTTCCAAAATTTTACAAACATTTAGCCACAACTAATCAATTCAGGAACCTGGGCACATTGAAAAGCATTGAAATCACAGATCTTTGGGATTCAAGTGTCACAGATGGTGAGAACAAGAAAAATATTCTTTAATTTGTATGTTTATTTGTTTGCAAACTTGCAGACTAATAGGATCAAAACCCATTTCACCATTGTTATTTTCCTGGTCTTTCCTCTTAAATTTCCTCTTCTTCCCAAAAATCTTTTTCTATGAATTGCTTTCGCATGGGTTTTACTCATTTTCGTCTCGTGTAAATATAATTAACATCTACAGTTAGTTACCTTTCATGTCTTCTCTTTCAAAACTTCATCAACACTCTAGGTCTTACTATCTCCTCTAACGTTGTTGAAATTCTCAACCTTATTAACATAAAGAAGCTGTGATCACTCTTTTGGTGCCAAACATTTATTTTCAACAGCAACTACAAATTAAATTTGTATAGCATGATGGAGAGAGGAACCAAGAGAGGGAGGGGAAGTGAGGGCAGAGGTTTGTGGTAGAATCAGCTGGAGGGTTTTTTTAGTGATAGAATTCTACTCTGAATAGTGACGCGTTTATCAATAATTATTCATTGTGCCATATTACAGCTGATGCAAATGCTACATTCATTTTGTGGCAATCAGCTGCCGCGATGCACCCACAAAATACACAGTCCATTCACTTTACAATATATTCTGTGAAGCTCTCTAAGAGACTGCTCAACGATGTGGTCAGATGCTATATCAAATGCAAGAATAATTTTTTATTAAGTATTCATCTGGTCATTTTTTTTAAACATTCGGGCTACTTTCTTTAAACAGTGAAAGACGTTATGTCCATGTTGCGATCGAGAGCTGGGGATGAGAGATCCAATGTCAGAAAATCAGCCCTTCAGGTAGAGTATTTGTGTTCGCATGAGAAAATCGTAGGAGTCGGCACAAAAATGTTCCATATTAATTGGTTGACTTTGTGTATCTTTGTAGGACCTTGCTACCACAAAAATGGCTGCTACATTTGCCTTCTAAACAGTCACACACTTATTACCCATCGAATGGTTTGAGTCTTGACTTAATAAGGCTGTATAAAAATGCACGTTCTTTCTTTACTGTATCAGTTTGCATTGATTCTATTTAAATGAAAAATAGCTAAGCTAGTTGACAGATTTTGAGAAAATTCCCTCCATTCACTCACTACTCACAACGTTTCAATGAGGTGGGATTCGGCATTGTTTTCTCCACTTTCCTACTCTGCAGCAAAAGCAAGTCAACACCATTAGCAAACAGGGTTTCATAGTATATTTTAAAGAGCTGTTGGTTCTCTATTGTTTCTTTTCCTTTGAGTAGGTTAAGTATCCGGCTTCCATTATGGACTTGCAAAAGTGGCACATTTGAAATTAAGTTGGAAGTCGCAAATCAGCATCTTATCACTGCTGCATTCTACATTATTCCCTGGACTTTAGGCATTGTGTTAGTTGAGATTTTAACCCTGAACAAAATTGTAATCTAGACTTGATTAAATGCACAATGAGTAAATGGTGTCTGGGTATTTGTACATTACATTATATTCTGGGTATTACATTAGCACGTTTCACATCTGGAATCCTCCTGCAACACATACCCTCGATTACACACATTTTAAGGTTTTTCTTTCTGTTCTCTTTACAGAAGAAAGAAAAGTCCCAGCTCAGTAATTCTAGAATTGTATATGAACAGCAATATATTGAGAGTGCACACATTTGGGGCATTTGACTCTTAGTAAGTTAGTTAGATATTGTGAAATAAATTAGATGCTGATTTGTGTGATGAAGGCAACTGAATTCAAGAATTACTTTAGGGTTCCATTAATTTCTTAATCCATAAATGTGGTGTTATTTCTTTCATATCAGCTAATCTCTGTTGTCATGCAGGTATTTGTAAGCATTTTAAAACACAATCTTGTAAACTGTAAAGAAAAAGATCTGTCAATACTAGAGGATCGCTGTCGAGATCCAGCATTGTCTGTCCGGAAGCAGGCATTACAGTCAATCACAGAGCTTCTACTGGTGAGTTCTGGTTTTATATCTTCTGATCTGTATTGTTTGTTAGATTTTTGTTGTACGTAAATTGGTTGCATGCTCGCCTGCAATAGTCACTAAACTTTTACTGTTTTTGTGCTTTTAACGAATGTGTATAATCCACGACTGTTGGTGGGTCGCTGCTGTGTGTAATTGGCTGCCGCGTTTCGCTCACAAAATGTACAGTCAATTCACTTTATAGCGTATTCTGTGAAGCGCTTTGAAACGTCTCGAAGACGTGGTAAGGCACTGTATCAAATGCAAGGATTATTATTATAAAACATACTTAAATCCTCTGATATCTGAATATGTGTTGTTTGATTCTAATTTTTAAAAATTATTTAACAGGGTAGCTTACTGATCTCTTTATAATGCTTGTAGGTTCAGCCAAGCAATCCCTTGCTGCAGAAAGCTTGGCTGAATGGTGTTATCCCTGTTGTAATTGATTCCGAGTGCTCTGTGCAAGAGAAAGTACTGGAGTGCCTGGACCGGGTGATAGTACAACAAATCAAGCACTATAATATGTTTAGTGACCAAGACAAACATCAAAGGTTGGCCTGGGATGTATTGGCACTCCTCACACTTGAAATCACGAACTCTGGTAATTTTATTTTTACAATTTATTATTCCAAATCAGTTTTAGTTCCACTTTCTAATTTTGCACATTTGCTTTTTTTTAAAAACAAAACTGCAATTTTTTTACTCAGAACAAACTGAATTGGTAGAGGTGAATTAAGATGTTAATTAACTTTTTTTTGCCCTGAACTTGTCAGCATAATGTAACTGCCAAGAGGAATCTGTTTTTGTCTCCCACAGCCATTACTTGACCAAGGCCTTCCACCTGTGGTCTTATCAAAATAAATTCAATTCAACATTTATTAAAAACCTGATCTCGCACACGGACATGGAGCATGCACCTGCTGCCTGGATGCTACTCTCAAAAGTGGTCGGGTCATCAACAAACTTGAATTATGGGAAGATAATTGAAACTTGGGACAATATTTACAGGTTTGTATCCTGCAAATGTTACAGGACACATCTTACCGTATTATACGTATACAATAAGATTCAAAACAGGACTCATTTGAACCCATTTTATTGATCTACCTTGGCTTTTAAAATCAACAAAGATTTAATTTTACAGTGGAAACCTGTTAAGTCGGACACGTCAGGTGAAGAGGGTGTTGGTGCAAAATATGAACATTATTGTGAAGTTCTTTCCTCTAATGCGTAGAGTATCTGTTTATAGGTCAAAGAAGATAGATGAAAGCACAAGCAACGTTTTTAGGGTAATAGGACACATCGCTCAGCATTTGCCTGAGGAGACCAGAACCCAGTTGATTGGTAAGTGAGATGGTATGATTTGTAGTACGCACATAATGCGATGTAACTCTTTTCGTTCTATATACATTTGTGATTAATTATATTGGTGAATGGGTCGGTTTAAATCGATACCTGGGATTTCCACGTGTAGGTGGGATGCATGGAATTAAGGTGCTGTAAAAATTTGTGGTTATACTAAATGTTTGGTTTTTTTTTTACAGATGATGTGCAGAATTGGATAAATGCATTCTGCTTTCCTCCAGAAATCATCAGTCCTGCAGTTGAGGCCTTAGGCAAACTCTGCCAGCCCCAATGCAACTCGTCTGCGGAGACTCAGGTACTTTTATCAATATTGATTGAAATGAATGATCTTTTCAGGCTTCCAAGCAAATCCTAAAAGCATCAACAAATACAATTGGATAATCCGATACAATGGTCAACTTCCTGGCCACCAGTGACTCCCATTTCCCGCCTACTAGAAGCACAGCCAACGTCGCTTCCTGCACATTCTACACATGTGAGGAACAAGTGCCATTGACTGACATCAGTCTCTTGGTAAAATGACATCAGCGCATTGTACGTGTTCTACACGCAGTGCCCCAGACTGTGTAGAACACGTACAAGTAATCCGATGACCCAGAAGTTGACTCTTTGTAGTGCTGGAATCTGGCTCGTCAGCACTGGAAGCCAAGTACACCACAGGACATCAGTACTAAAAGGAAAACCAAACTAAAATGGGCAGCATTTTAACTGGATTTCCCTATAACATGATTTTTCAGGGCTATCTAGTGCTCTCGTTGCACCAGGTATGCTTCTGTTGTTGAATAATTCATCTTTTTAACTCCACCATTCCATCATTTTCCCCAGGGCTCCGTTTTCTTTCACATTCTGTTCTCCACATCAGTGATCTCTACTCGTCGTTGAACCCGATTCATTCTTCTGTCAATGATTCTGTATTCATTCAATCCCCTAAGATCGCAGGCCCACAGCGCGCACATTTGTTTTGCAATGCAACGATTGAATCTAAAGCCTGATCTCTTCTGTGCTCTTCAAATCCAGCTCATTTCAAGTCTTCAACTGTAATTCATAAACAATCCACAATATTTTCAGCAGGGGACATAGTAGATTAAAACTGCTGGAAAAAAATGTGTATATTTTTTTTAAAAAGTATATATTTTAGACAAGATCTCTTTAATATGAATATTTTTGTTGCTGTACCAGGTTTTGATGAATCAGATTTGCGGAAAGTTGATTTCAGCATGCGAGTCCTACATTTCCAAAATAGTTCTCACAGAAGCTGGTGCTGAATGTTTGGATGAAAATGTTGTGGTAAGTGGTAAAGCTCATTATTAGTGCGTAGGATTTAGAATTTATCCTCTTACGATATTCTTGTGTGCATGACTTGATTCATTGTGTGCTCCTCAAGAGGAGTGATAACAGCCTCGAGAATGGAACACTTCCAGTTTCTCTGTAAGTGTTAATATCAAGAATTCCTGGTCCTCTCCTTCCACACCCACCAAAGTGCCTTAATTTTGCTGTCAGATAAGGAATGCCCCAGACTCGCAGTTTATTGGCTGCTCCTGAGTGAGATGACTGAATTATGGGTTGTTTTAGGGTCATATTTTACGAGGGACATATTTTACAGATGAAACCGTTGAACTGAAATTCAGCTTCAAATGCTTAAAGTGAAAAGACAACATTTTTTCAAAAGGCGAAGTGACACACTGCTAACACTGAGCCAGGCTGACACAGATGCAAGGATTATTATTGTTCTAAGGATAAATAAATAATTTTCAGAAACCTCAGCAGCTTTATAGAGTTAATTTCCTTCTCTTCCCCCCCCCCAACCAACCACCCATGGTCAGGCGCTAGGCCATGACTTCACATTATTCTGCACTCTGCTAAAATGCTTCAATTTTATTATACTGCGGGATAACTCTGGAAATATATTGATGCAACGTCTTGTTTCTTTCAGGTGAGGTATCTTTTCACACTCGGTGAAGTAGCACAGTTGTGCCCTGCAAAAATCGAGAAGCGCATCTTCCTGTTGGTACAGTCATTTCTTGCGGCCTCTCGCAGTTTAACCCAAGGTGAGAATTTGAAACCTATTTGCTGTCAGCCTTATTATATTGGATAACACATTAGAGGGCTGAATTCTGGTCTGCCTCACCCCCCCCCCCCCATCCCTGTTTCAAGGCACTTCACAGAATATACTGTGAAGACTGTATATTTTGTGGCTGAAATGCAGCAGCCTATCACGCACAGAAGTGTCCCACAAACAGTCGTGAACTGAGTGCCACATTTGTTTTAAGGAATTATTACCCCCTGGAAAAACGATCAGCGAATCAACTAACAACCGGGTTTCTACTTGTTTGGAAACTTCCCTCCGATTTTGCCCCGCTTGGGAATCGAACCTGGGTCCTCTCGCTTGCGAGGCGAGAGCTTTAACAATACGCTACAAGACTCCACGTGTATCATATGTTGTCGTGTCTAAAACAAAACCAGTTTTGTCCTTACAAAAAAACAGCAATTGAAATATTGACACATCATATCTAAACATTTGGGGACTATTTGCCTGGTAACCAGAAATGGTTATAAATACTCTAAATTGTATTTTACTCTTCAGCAGGAGGCCCAGAAGGCGGTGATCTGCTAGCCTCACAGCCCCTCTCACAGTTTGCAGGATCCACTATGCCCCCTGTTATCCGAGCACATGCGTTTGTCACTCTAGGTAAGTTTCAGTGCAGACTTCTGAGGTTGCATTTTCTTTATTTAGTTGTTTGATAACCAAAATCTAATTTTGTAAATCTCACCCTTGTAATTAAGATGAATATATTTTCGTCAACTGTTTTCTCTCTGCCTAAGTCTCTTCCTCTTTCCTCTGGCTCTGTTGAGATTGTCTAACGCAGCATAACCAGAAATGAAAACTAGGACTTTCCTGATCTGTTTCTCTCAATACCATACAACACAGTATTTGTACTAACAAGTTATCAGAAGAACCCCATCCCAATTATATTTTATGTTTGTTCCGGTCAAGTCAAAAACATTGTTCCTTGGTTAAATTCGAAGCAATTTTACAACTTCCATCCTAAACTCTGTAAGAAGCATCGGTAGATAGATTTTAAAAGTAGATTGCTGCTGCATGCTTATCCTAAGTTTTGTCCATATACTATGACAACATCATCAATTTGCATTTATATAGCACCCTTCACATGTGTGTGTATATATATATATAGTATATATATATACTAATATCTTGCTTTGAAAAGAATCTGTTGTGCTGAATTAAAATTTTTGAACAAGGACAATTTGAACTACAGAAAGTGCTAAATGTTTATCAATGTACAGTTCATAACTTTGGAATATGGAAATAAGATAAAAATCTGATATTGTCATATTGTGCTTCTGTATTTACAAACACATTGGGTCTTTTTAAGTATGCAGGAGAAACATTTAATTTGCACACAGCACTTGGCAATTACCTTCCTATTCTTTGGTGCAGGCAAATTGTGTTTACAGCATGAAGACTTGGCAAAGAAATGCATTGCGGCCCTTGCACGCGAGTTGGATGTCTGCGAAGATGTGGCTGTTCGGAACAATGTGATCATAGTCATGTGTGACCTCTGTGTACGGTACACCACGATGGTGGATCGGTACATTCCCAACATTGCTGTGTGCTTAAAAGACGAGAGCCCCTTTATCCGCAAACAGACTCTGATCATGCTCACCAACTTACTTCAGGTTAGTGAGGATGTACTCTTTATTACACAACATCATGTTGACAAGTTGATTGTTTGCAAATGTTTCCTGTTAAAACCCAGCAAGACTGACTTATTAGGTGTAAATCTTTATATGGATTTTACCTTTTGGAATAATGATTTTTTTTTAAAAAGTGACATGGTCAAATTAAAACAGGAAATTGATTAATAAAAAGATAAATAGTAGCTGGTAAAATAATTTGCTCTTGTTTATAATCTGAGTATCCCAGAAAGTTTGTTCTTTCGTTATCTCTCTCTCTCTCTCTGCAGGAAGAATTTGTGAAATGGAAAGGTTCTCTTTTCTTCAGGTTTGTGAGTGTTCTGGTGGATTCAGATGAAAGCATAGCCAGGTAATTGTCTTTGTGCCATGGCCTTCGTAATTTTTTTTGTATAGTGCCTAACAAAGTGTTAATGTGAAACCTATCGTGGGTAAAGGGTCAATATTTGCTTATATTATCACTAAGTTGATGTGCATAGACTAGAGAGGAAAGCTGAAAGGTTGTTGATTGTTGAGCTTAAATCGGCAGTTAAACATACAGAAGGGAGAAAGTCAATATAACTTGAGGCCTTAGTTAAATAATATTATGAAGGTGTTTTGACATCCTTATTTACACCCTAATCTATAGCTATTGACAGAATGCAACACACTATTGAATCACTGTCAATAGGCATAAATGTTTGCATTTTAATGAATTAAGACTTCATTGCATTAAAACCTAGCAATGAGCACAGTACGATGAAACTGTCCGCATAGATAATAAAATAATATTTTCTTCTTAACCAATAGGTCAATATTGAGTGGATGAATGGGCTCCATTGTGTAACTGCGTTATTTGTGATCTAAAGAAGCGAGTTAAATAAGCACTTTATTTAGCAGTTGTTCAGCAATGCAGCTCTACACTTGCAGTGTCACTGAAATGTGTGTAAAACCAGATTCTGTTCCATTTCAGATTTGCCAAGTTCTGTTTAGTCCACTTACTTCTGAAAAGGAATCCATTGATGTTCTCTCAGCATTTCATTGAATGCATTTTGCATTTCAATAATTATGAAAAACATGAAAAATACATAATTTCACAAACCGAGCGGTGAGTACTATAAATCTTTACTTCCAAGTCATGATGATCAGCAGAAAACGGGTGATTTGTTATGGTGCATGTGTAGAAAATCGAGTGTTGTGCGACTGGCTCTTTAATAATATTTTAAAAGTTAATCTCTTTAGTAACATTAAATGCAGTATGTTCACTGCATTCACTTGTGTTCAGAGTTGGAAATCCAAGAGATAGATTGTTGGGATGGAATGCGCACTCTCTCCCTGGAGGGACACATCCTCTTACCTATTTCCGGAAATTATTAGGTGCAGGTTGGCGGGAGCCAAGACTTGGGAACCTCAGAGTTTGCGTTGGGGTAACTGCTGGAGGGGATGATTCCCTGCCGCCAGTGACAAGTCTGCCCTTCCGAGACGAGCTAGGCTGGCTGTGTTGTCGTTAGCAGTGCCCTGGAATACTGCAGACCAGCCTGGCTCAGGAACACTACTACCCGGGCCACAGGGCTGGCTTAATTCCGACATTCCGTTGCCAAGCATGTCATCTTGGAGCCAGTTGAGCTCCAAGGAGTCCCCGGGTACCTCCCTGATACAAGGAGGAAAGCAACTAGTTTCAACATCCAACAAGTGTGGGTTTGAGCCCTCACGAGGTGGATGGGAGGTGGATCAGAAACTCCCTGCAAGCTTCCCAGTAGGCAACACATCTCAGCATGAAATGCATGAGAGCATTGCCACCGTCTTCCTGTCCGCAGCTCGGGTACACATCCCTTCACCAATTGGAGGTGCGGCGTTTAAGCAGCAGCTGATCAGTTTGTCTTTCTAACAGGGAGAAGAAACTGTTTTCCTTGAAGGGGAATGCAAACAAGGAAAATCGAATGACTATTTACAAATTCCTGTTGGAACATTTCACAGATGAGCAACGTTTCAACCTCACAACTAAAATTGTTCATGTTATTCTAGGTATAGTATGTCTTGTTTTAACATAGAGAGCCACGATTGTAAAATAATCCTTACATTTGGTATAGCACCTTTCTCAAGTCTCAAAGCGTTTCACAGGATATACTGTAAAGCTTGGTGACTTATTTTGAGTGAAAAAGGGGCCGCTGATTTGCGCAGAGCAATGACCCACAAATGCCCATGAAGTAAACGGTCGCTGTATTTAAAAAATAGAATCAGTAATACCAATTGAATTTCTAGAAAGAAATGTGTTTCTTATCTGTAAGCAAACCCTGGAGGAAGCCTTACCTCTAAGGTTTCCTTCAGATGTAATAATAATAATCCTTGCACTTGATAAAGCCCCTTATCACGTCTTCAAGACGTCTCAAAGCGCTTCACAGAATATACTGTAAAGTGAATTGACCGTGTATTTTGTGGGCGGAACTCGCTTGAGTTTGAATCCGAGTTGTAATGCGTTTGTTGTTTCAGCGTATTTTGTTGATGGCATGCTTCCTTTGGACACGGATGCGAGCGACCTGCTGTCGGATATTTTTTCTGTGATGAGTTGTAAGGAGATCAAGCTGTCTTCCACAAGATCAAAACCTGCCGACGAAGAACCGATTGATAATGATGAAATGGCAAAGGCAAACGCAGTTATGCAAGTAGCCCAGAAGAAACTCATATCTCAGGTACCTGGCGCTAAAAGAAAACAATGACAAACATACTTATTAAATGGAGAGGATTATCCTTCCTCCCACAAAGGAGAATGCCCTCACTATCTGGCAATTTGCATTTCGCCCAAAAAATATACAGTCAATTCACTTTACAGTCTATTCTGTGAAGCGCTTTGAGATGTCTCGAAGACGTGATAGGGTGCTACATCAACTGCAAGGATTAGTATTATTAATTTGCTGATCATAGAATATTTATGATACTGGAAGTGTATTTTTAGGATCGAATTAAAACTAATTACCGTGAGCAGAGAAATGTTGACTCAAAGTAACACAACTGATGGTACAGGAAGAAAGCTGTGACAAGCAGAATTCATTTGTTTACAGACTGCAATGCAGAAACTAGCAGTTAAAGTATCTTGTAAAATTGACAAACAAAGCAAGATGAAGAAAGTATAGAATAGGAAAGGTGTACAGGATCTTCTATTCAATTGCTCCGAGACACTACCTGGCGTGAAGGGCGCTATATAAATGCAGGTTGTTCTGTGATCATGAAAGTAAATTGCCCTAAGTTGAAGCTTTCACGAGAATATTAATCTGAAACTTCCTTTTACAGGTACAAAAGAATAATTTTGTAGAAAACATCATCCCCATCGTAACATGTTTGAAGACCCAGTTGCAACAAAAGCATATCCCAGCACTGAAGGATCTCATGAATTACCTCAGAGTAAGAGAACCGCATTAGTCTTTTTGTATTGTCGCTGTACGCACACAGTTCTGAGCTATAAGATCTCTGTGGTTGATTAGTTCCATTAATTAATTTTATTCAGGTGAATAAAAAGACAGCCACTGTGGGACACTACCCACTTGAGGGGCGCTATATAAATACAAGGTGTTGTAGTTTAGAATTGTGATCCAAACAAACCTTTTAAACTTCATTTTTTCTAAATTTCATGGTCATCTAAGCCTCTATCTCTGTCCCTCTCTGTTTTTCGACTTATTGTGTTTCCCGGTTATCACAATTGAAATCATCTTTGGTTTTAGTGTAACTCTCCTAGGTTCATGCAGCTGGGATTCCTTACGTCATATTGCCTTGGTTCCATAACCTAATCAAAAAAAAAGTAGATAGTGGAATAAATAGAATTTTCTCTTGCTCATTGGTTGTGTGAATATTAGAAAAATTTGAATACTTTTTAGCGCTTCTGAGTGAGAGATTTATGTGGTTAAGTGGCAGGGGGCATTACATTGTCAAAGGTGCCATCCTTCAGTTGAGATGTTAAACTGAAAAGAGAAGGAAATTTCTTGTCCAATAATTCTGTTAAATTTGTCATTCACCTCTTCGCTGTTTGTCAGATATTGTTGCACACAAATATTTACTCCAACAAATGTACAGTCAAAAAACAATAGTTGCTGTAGAGCATTTTGGGTTGTTATGAGATGCTATCGCACATAGTCTTTTTGAGAAAGGAATTTAACTTTATGAAGCAGCATTAATTATTCCCAGTTTGTTTTCTGTAGGAAGTGATGCAGGATTATCGAAATGAGCTGAAGGATCTCTTTGCTGCTGATAAGCAGTTGGCAGCCGAATTGGAGTACGATATGAAAAAGTATGAAGAACAGATTGCTAGAGAGGAAATGGAAAGACAGAATCCTACACCAGCCGCAGAAATCAGATCTCCAACACAAACCCCTGTGGTATGTTTTTGGCTGAAATTTGATAGTTTAGTATTGGTTGCTTCAGTTTTAATGTGCATCGACAAAGCTAAGTTAGTAGAATGCTTAAGTAAATCTGTAAACAAGAGGACATAACTGATGTCCAGTGGAGACCTGAAGAAAAGTTTTTCGCTACAACAGCATTTTGTTGTTAGTTGAACTTTTCACAAGATGGGAGTTAAAATTTATTTACATTAAGCTAAATAAATTTAAATTAAATGGCAAATTAAATCTGATATCTTTGGCGCGGGTCCAGTCAAAATGACCAGAAATGCCTTTCTAAATTTAGATGAGTTATGTAACGTGAAGAGGCTCAGGTGCTGCTCTCAACTAATTGTGCAGCGTGAACAGTTTCTAAAACAACAATATTTAGAACTCATCCCTGCGGATGTCATTGTCAGCCCAACATTTATGCACATAATAGTCTAAGCTCTGAGCTGTTTTGTTAGCATATAAGTGATTCTTACTTCAATAAACACTGTTTGTTTATTAACCTGGTTGTAGCTTTATTAATTTTTTGTTGTATGGAAAATCGTTTAAAGACTTTGTTTTGGTACGAAGTGATGTATAGTGTATTCTTGTATTCAGTTAGCGTGTCTACAAAGCTGAGTAAACGTGCTGTTTGTTTTTAAAGCAATCCCCCAGAGGTTCAGCTGCACAAGTTGGGGTTGGAATCCAGTCCACTGTTGGTACAAGAGGAGCCGTGTCTATGCTCCGTACACCACAGCAGATGACGTCTAAACTATACGCTTTTGTTACCCCCAATAGTGGAGTACAGAATACGCCTGCAGCTACAATACCCAGGTCTGATAGCTGAATGTTTTCTCTCTACATTAGGTGCTGCATAATTAAATGTTCCCACAGTATTATTTGACCCATTTTGATTTAAGTTGAGAAAAATACACTCTTAGTCCTGACTTGTGAAAGAAGACAGCAGTAAATGATCAAAGGAGAGCGAGTATTTTAAAAGAATGCACTGGGCCATCAACTTGAAGAGATTTTGTTCTTGTTGACTGCAGACGAAAGTCATTGAGTACGATGGCCATCCTAAATTCTGCAAAGAAAGCAGCCCAGACGGGCGACAAAAAACACAGCAAAAGTATCGGCTGGAAAGTTACAACTCCACCCTCAGAAAACCCTGTGCCAAAACAACAAGGTAATGGGTTTTGCAAAAGGTGACTTAAGAGGCGGTGAGAATGCATCCGTTTCCATTTGGTTTTATTGTGTTAGTCTGGCTACGATGGTTGCGCTCTTGTTTCTGATTCATATGGATGTGGATTCAAACCCCACGTCAGGACCTTGACGTATAGTCCAGGCTTGGACCATTCCCACCTCCTTCGGCTCCCACCCCCAGCTCAGGTGTCCAGCCAGCAGTGTCGAGCACTTCGGGATGTCCTTCCAACGTGATAAAGGGGCTGTGTAAATGTTAAATTACTTTTCTGGAAGGGAAACACAAAAATATTGCTGATGTGGCCCACGGACCTTTCTCAAATAGGGAATCTGGCCCAAGGCAGCCAAAAGCTTGGTCTAGGCTGATGCTCCAGGGCAGTGCTGGTATTATTATTATTATTATTATTCAACCTCTGTTTTGCTAATGCAAAAATGCATTGTAATGGTGACCAGGCAACTCGCTCCGTTTTGTCTGAGTTTCAAAACTTGCATAATTCTGGTCTGCATTTCTAAAAACACCCATATTATAGTCATGACTGAAGACCTTCATACTCTACTGTGCCGACGGTCACCTCCCCATTCACCAGCTGGGCATTCTGCCACTCAAGCGCTCTGGGATGCCACCCTACGTGAGGGGTGCTATATAAATGCAAATTATTATTGGGTGGGGTATGCTGGAGGATATTACCATGAACAGCAGACCATGGCCGCCTAGCATCACCTGTTGTAATGTGTTTTTTTCCTGCAGCTTCTTTCCACAGCTCAGGACAATATACACGGTCGGGATCCTCCTCCTCCAATAGTTCGCTGTCTGGGCGAGCTATTAGTACTCCTGACAGTAAGTACAATATTGCAAACCTTTTATTTTTAGGGGAAGGTGGAACTGAGAGGAGTAAAACTAAGTAGAGAAGTGTTTCATCATTCTCATAAACTTTGCTGACCTTCATGAGTACATTTAGATTTCTCACATGTAGAATAGTGTGGAATACCAACGCCCCACAATTAGTTTATAATAATGGGGAAATGATTATGGGTTATTCTTTGTTTTTCACAGGAACAATTGATAATTTAACCTTCGCTGCAGGAGTCAGTTACATCAGTCCGACACCATCTGAACACGGTGAGTTTTCTACATCTGCAAACTAAATAGAAGTCACGCAAAGGTTGTATAAAATGCTTGTCCTTCCCTGTTCCCCCGCACTGAGCACCCAAACATTCACAAGCGGCTCCAAGGCTGTCAATCACCTCGGAGCTGCCGCTAATTGGTCTTTTCCCCATCCGATGGGAGGGAGGAGGTGCCGCCAAAGCTCCTCTGCTGGGCGGGAAGAGGTAAGAATTTTGGTTAAACTCGGACTCCTCTTAAGCCAGACAAATCGTTTGTCCCCGCTGTGTCTGACTTCCACTCCAGTGTGCCTCAACTTCCAAAAAAAAGTTTGGGTTTATTGGGCTCAAGATTTATTGAGGCTGTGGCAGCAGAAAAACACAGGATGTGTGGCCTAAATCAAAACATTAACCATATTTTATGTCCACTGTTAATAACAGGCAACAGCTAATAACCTATGTCTCATCAATAGGTAAAGAACATTCACAGAAAAATGTGCTGTGCCTAAAGTCTCCAGATAAACCGTAAGTGCCTGACTATTTTAAGAATGCATGACTTTGATTTCAGTGGTAGGGAGGGGGGTGAGGGGCACGCAGGAGCCAGCGGAGCAGACGCGGCAGGAATAGGGAGGTCGGAGAGGTAGGGAGGTGCCAGGGCTTGAGGGTATTTGTAGACGAGTGTGACAATCTTGAAGTCAATCCGTTCTGTGATATGGAGTTTGCCGAGGACTGGTGTGATGTGGGTACAGAGTTTGGAGTACACGGGTGATGGGAGTTTTTGAGCAGTTGGATTTTGTGAGTGGAGCTGACCGGGGACGGGGGAGTGTTTGAATAATCGAGGTAGGAGGCCACAAAGGTGTGGATGAGAGTTTTGGCTGCATTAGGTGTGAGGTACGGTCAGAGGCGGGGAATGTGACGGAGGTGGAAGAATGTTAGGAATAATAACTAATCGGTAAAATACTATTTTAAATAATATTTTAATCAGAGTAAACTATTTTAGTGCAGTGAAGCCCATCATTCATAACGAATGTCAATAATGCCCGTTGCTGTCCTGGGTCGTTCTATTTGACCCAATATGCACCGTCTCTGTTAAGCACTACAATAACATTGCTCCATGAAGGGTTGTTGCTCTTGGTAGTATTTTGTACCTGGTTTGCAACTTGATGAAAATAATCATCTTTGCATTTGATACAGCGCCTCATCACATTTTCGAGACGACTCAAAGGCGCTTCGCAGAATATACTGTAAAGTGAATTGACTATATTTTGTGGGCGAAACACAGTAGCTAATTGTGCTCAGCAGCGTCCCCACAAACAGTCACGGATTGAAGTGACCAATTTATTATTTTTTTTTTAAATTTAATTTCTGCCCTCCAGAGCTCCTCAACCACAGCAGTGGAATGTGGCATCACCGGTGGCCAAAACACTGAACAAACCACGAGTCAGAAAAACACCAATGAGGTCTTCCAATTGAAGATACGACGACAGTAATTTGTGCAATTTAGGTCTTGTTCTGGAGAGCACTCCAGCTAAAGAGGATTCATCTCGCTCCCAAATCAGTTGGCTGCTTTTTTCCTTATATATACACAAATATAATTTTGTTGCTGTTGTACAGTGAAAAAGAGTTAGGCCCGGCGCTGTGGCCTGTTCTTGTGCTTATCAGTGTGTTATACATTTCAGTCACCGTTTGAAAAGTAGTATAAATATTATATTGTCCTCAGCGCTGTGCGAGTTATACATAAAGAGAGGTTCAACGGTATTAAGAGCAACATATTTTTAAAAAACGCATTGCATCCAAGGACTGGTGACAATTTAGTGAAAATGCTTTGCTCTCGTGGTTTTGCTTTGTAACAAACATTTGCTGTTTATTTCCAACCTTTTCACTGTGCCAGAATAGTGGAGTAACTTGATATGAGCCGCGATACCTGATTTAAGCCACGCGATGGCAGTGTGCGAATGTCAGCCCTCTGGACTGTAACACTGACAAGTGGCTGAAATCTGGTACAACAGTTCATTCCACGGTAGAAATATATCACGTGCTGAAAGCAACCAACGAAAATGATCAAACTAAACGATGGGTTCTGGTTCAAATCTGAATCAATATGTTGATCATTTCTATTAGGTACTCCATTGTGTACGCAATGCCCCTCCTGCAGAGTATTACACTTATTTGTGTTGAAACGCATTACGTTGTTTGGGATATTACAGTTTGTGTTCTTGCTGAAAAATATCCTGGTTTGAAATGTTTTGAATCAAGTGTTGAAATGTCACAGTATAACTTTCCCACGCAATGCACAATGAATAACCATTTTATATTTATGTGCACAATACTTCTACCAAATGTTTACTTTGTACTAAAAATGTAAAATACTTTACGCTGTCAGTGTACCTGAGATTGCTTTATTATTTTAATTTTCTCCAATGGACTTCATTGCTATCCACCACTTTACAATATTCAGAAAAAAAATCTAATGTCCAAATTTGTGGCTCGAAGTTAGAAACATGTTTATTTCTGAGACATTCACTTGGAAAATTCCATTCCCACAATAAAATGGGACTATTGTTGCAAAGTAATATGCCCTTGAGTATTAATTAAATATCCTTTTCATAAATGTGTTAACTGGTTAAAATGCTGCAATTTCTTGAAATAACCAACTCTACAATAGATATATCAATAAATGAAATGTTTATTTTAAACACATTAGGTTTAACTATTAGTTTTGTACAGGTTTTTAATTCCAGGATTCTCACACAAAAGGACTTCAATCTCAAGCGTTTACTTGAATCAGGTGAAACATACACATTTGTTCTAAATGAATTTAAGATTTGGATTCACAAGTTTTTGTAATGCAAATGTTTAGACATCTGTAAATATGCAAATCTAAATTTATAGAGTTTGCCTTTTTATACATAATCCCCAAATCTCAGGCCAATCAATGTCATATTGAGCATTTGTTCTCCAAAAGTAATGTAATTTGTAATATTTATAATGAAATATGATTGCGCCACTTTGAATTTAACTGCATCAAATGTAAATTGGTTCTTTGCAGGTTTTTTTTGGGGGGAAGAGGAGAAAATTTAATCAGAATGTTCTGCTTTGACTTTAGTACTCATAAGAGTATTAAAATAATTAGGATCATACTAAAGGTTTGCAAATAACATGTCTATTAACATTTTGTAATGACATCTAATAAGTTAACTATACTCTGGACTGTGATTAACATTAATGTGCTTTCAAATAGGGAGCAACGTTACAACAGTCCCTTTCAGAGTTTGGAAGTAAATGGGCAAAGAATGTGGTTCCACTTCTACCGCTTACCCTCTCCTCACATTCAGTTATTTCATTTATTTAAATTGTCTTAAATTGGTTCAGTGCGGGAAGGCACGTCCACCCTGTAGTCAGGAGGGAACATTATAGTATAATCTAATTTGAACCTTGAATTTGCAAAAAGAGATAATGCTCGTTTCATCTCCACATCCAAATGAATTAGTTTGTCGACACCAGCTGCAGAAAAACAGCAGCTTTTGGACCAAACTAATGCTTTGTGACAGCACACCATCTTATCTCAAGCAACCCCGATCTGAAGTGGCCCTGGTACCAATAAAATTGGTCATTACTAGTTAGTAAAACTGAAAAAAATTTAATTGCCAGGAACAATTTAACCTGTTATTTTCCGTGCTGTATCTTTGGTACAAGCTCCCTATCCTGTGAGAGGTTTGCAGGTGAGCATGGCATGAGACTGCAAACAGTGTAGTTAATGGCAACTGCTCAGCTGGTTTGCTTTGGGCCCCCATTTACTGCTGTCTTTGCTTATATGGATGAAACTAATTTTCATATCACTTCAAAGGCCAGGTACACGTTTAGTTTATCAGAGCCCGGACAAAGTTGCATAATTACGGGGACTGGAGAGATTTCGTAATTCACTTTACAGTATATTCTGTGAAGCGCTTTGAGACGCTGAGAAGATGTGAGAGCGTTACATCAAATGCAAGTAGTAGTATTATTATTGCGGACCATCTCTCAAGTAATCGCTTTAACTCATGACTGTTGCTTAATTGTACTGCATATATTGAAGCAAACAGAAAATTAACCACAGAACATGCGTACTTTATCCTCGTTTATAAATCGGTCAGAATGTTTAGATAGTGGTTCAGTTCTAATTACTCCCAATAATTTCAAAAAAAAACTGATTTATTAAGCTTACCGTAAGGCCACAGGGAAACACTCCCTATGTGAACCCATCCGATTGAATGAAGTTATTGGAAGACATCTGCAAGATATACAAGTTTGAAATTGTTCCAACAACTGTCAGAAGCAGCTTCCGCTGAAGGATGTAAAGTGGTAAAAATTAAATCCTGGCTTTAGCCAGAACACTGACAACTCGCAGAAATCTTATAAGAATGTTTACAGTTGCTCAGCCCAGAGCACAAACTGAGCAAAATTAAGTTGGACTGAACTTGGATTCCATAAGTAGGTCATCGGGGAATGATGACTCTTCTTATGACTCCTTTTTATTCTCTTCCCTCCCACCTATTTTAACAAAATGGGCCATTCAGTTTGTGAAGTTCAAATAACTGAAGTCAATACATACGTTGTAAATGTAAATAAATTAATCTAAAGTATAATTGACCGGTACCACCAAAACTGGTCACAAAACTACAGAATCATCTAACAGGCACTTTATGAGCTATTTTTTAAAACAGGCAATCTAACCGCAGCATCAGATAACAGGAAAATAAAGTTCAAAGTTCTATATCACTCACACAACCTGAATAAGTTGACAAAGGCTGTTCGTAGTAAATTGTTACATGTTACGGCATGGCTTTAAAGATGCAACGAAAAACACAACGCTACTTCAATATAATGGATAAATGAAGAGTCACAAATACTATAAAATATACCTTAAAATCCAGAACAAATCCTCGGTACACAATTAGCCGAGTTTCCATAAATACAGAGTGAGTTCCGTGAATAGATATGTTAAAGTAATGTCATAAGTGAGTGCAGACATTTGCTTAAGTTGTACTACATATATTTAAGCAAACAGAAAACGTGCATTTGAAAGTGGAAAGTCCGGCTGCAAACACAAAGTATGAAGTTGTACAGCAAATACCCAATGAGAATGCGCAACAGACTTGCCGACTGATAGTAACTGACGTGGTAGTTTGAAAATGCCACTTTGTGATGAATTGGGAAGGTCCCAGGTTCCCACCAAAGGAAAACTGATCGGTGCCAAAAATCTGCTTAAATGTTTAACATAAGCCTTTGTTCTACCACACGGGAGGCAGTTACGAGCTACATTACACCTTTGGAGGATGTTTGACCGTCCTTGGAAGATTTGATTCAAACTGATGAACAGTACCCACTTTCCTTGACTTTTTGGTGGTCTTACAACTTCTATTTGTTTAGTCTCAAGGATGGCATATATATATATATATATATACACACACACACAATTCTTTTTTGTAACAAATGTAGGAGGTAAGAACTTAAAAAATATTTTTCAACACATTCATTTCTTGGATGGAAATATAATCAGATCTTTTAAACACAAAACAAAGTTGTAGTATGTTTTCTTATGCTTTTCTTGTAGCAATTTTAAAAAAACATTGCTTTTGTTCAACTGCCAAGAGAGATGCTTTTTTTCCGTCCAAATTGTAAACGACATCTCATCAATAAGCAGTTTATTAGCATCTTTCTGGGTGTCACATTCCTGACAAATCTTCCAAACGTCATTGTCTTGCAACTAACAGTTACATTATTCTAGCTTGTCCTTAGCCACACTATACTTTCACCGCAGTAATAGATCGTGAACTGTCTTACATTGCCATTTGTTTTTTGGGGGAAAAAAATTGGGCTGTTTGAAAATAAGCCATTGAAGCATTGCCGTATATCAATATGACTGACCAGCACAGGCAACGTGTACAAACAAAAGCACTCTACGTAAGAGAATCATGGCCAAACCCACTTTCAAATTCCACTAAATTCCTCCCAAACATCTGTCGCTATCCCGTGAGCCCACTTGAAGAACTACTCATCTTTTGGCATTTCAATTAACACTGGTTTTACGAAAAGAGTAAACATTTTTATCCAAATCTATACAAAAATAATTTTGAAAATATTAACCATGGCAGATTAATAAAAATGGTGACTCTATCGTTAGTTTGCCTATTGCCCACAAAATAATTCTGAAAATTTGCTATTTCCTTTATATTCATCAAAATCTTTGCTCGAGACTTGCGGGCAATTCACTCACAATGCTGTGCCATTTCAAGACTGCTTGAATGCACGGCTGATTATCCACATCTCATGGATAATTGCTGAGAAGCAGTAACCCTTAAAAATAAAGCCACATTAGAACATTACCACAGCAGAGCAATATCATTCGATCAAATAACCTAACGGAGCCAACGCTACAGTACCAAAAATGGAATTTGAAGTATAAAACACTTCCCGGTTTAGTAGCAGAAACAGTGGTCATTAAGCTTTGGCAAAAATCATTTTATATCATAAAGTCTCTGGCATTAAACTTCTTTATAGGTTTGAGGCCCATGTAAGTTTATACACTTCAATTCGCTACTGGTTTGAGCTCCTCAAGAGGTATTCTTCTGTTGTCCAGACTTCTCTTTTCTCCTCCTCAGATAATAAAAGAGGATTTGTGTCGGAAGTCTCCCTGTAATGGTGAGAGATTATTCCATTATTCCATGTAACGCAGCAAAAGTAAATTGTTAATCAGTATTTCAATTTATGTCACTGTCAATTTTGGGAAATTCTCAAAACAAAACCTCTATTTGTACAATACTGAATTTTTCATTACACAAGAATTGCCACTTCACAATTTGAATTTACCTCATCGTCCACTGAATTTGATCTGACATAATCAACGCCATCTGCTTTTGAAGATGCCTTGTAGTTGCTAAAAAGAAAGTTTTGCAACATATTTTCAGTAATACAGGTTACAACATCAGCAATTAAAATGATTGAACTCGAATGACGTGATATCTGCACCGTTTTCATTTCCACAATTGAAACGTTCACAATTCACGTGGATATTGGACAATCTCACTTGTTTAATGGTCTTACCTTGATGCAGATTGCTTCTCTGGAAAACAGGAAAGAGAAAACATGAAGTTAAACCACTGGTTTATAAATATTTTATCAGGAATGAATAATGGATAAATTGTATGATGTTTCTTCGGGGGGTGCCTCTGGCAGTCTTGGTTGTCCAGTTCATAGACAACATGAGGAATTGTTACGATGCCAGTCAGCCTGGCTCATTAGGGGCACTTACTGGGGGCTGGAATTCTTGCCACTCGGGTCCATCTAACCCAGTTAGCCAAAGCTTTAACAAGTAGGAGGCGATAGCTGGGCAAGCAGCAGGATGCTTCCAGACAATGTACTTAATGTTAAGCTGCGCAGTTTCAGCCTGTTAAAACTCCTTACTCTTAACACACGTCCAGGGTAGCCAAGCCTCAGCTCTTGCCAACCCGCTGTTTATGATGTTTGGTATCAGACAAGCAGGGCATGTCCCTCTGAGGAGATGGTGCATTCCAGAAACGGGGACATTTCCACACGTAGATGGCATGCATGTGTGGAACTGTCAATGTGGTTCGGCTAATCCTGAGTGTGGAGTCAAGTTTTTAAACTGTCAGTAAAACAATAAGTAATGATTTGCAATACATGTATGCTTTGTGTGAATCTGCTTTTTTGTAATATCTTAAATGTTAACCATACACGTATAACCTGGGTGTTGAACACTAGATGTTTAATAAGCATTACTTTAATAAGAAAAGGTATCCCTTACTTGCAAAGTATCCTCGTTTATATGCAAGCCTGATGACAATGGTTATAACCAGCAGGACAAGAACAACCACAAGCACACCACCAATGATCCCAGCAATGTTAATGTCATCTGCAACACAGTGAATGGAAAGAAAATCAGGAAAACGAATGCGGAATCAGCCATTCCTCAACTCAAAGGGATCAAAATTAAGTATATCCCATAACTCATTCTGTTCACAGTAAAACAGCACTATAAGTGGACCTGCGCTATAAATGCTCTTAATCGAGACATGTAATAATGGGGCCATTCTGTTTAATTTAACCTTCCAAAACAGTTAAAGCCCAAACTTCAAAAAATGATTAAAACAAGGTTAGCAATGCAAAACACTGAACAATTTAATGAATGTTACTGAAGCTCAGACACAAAATATAAACTTACAAATTTCCATCCGTTGAGATCCACACTCTGCATGGCCAGCATGGTTCAATGCGACACAATGGTATTCTCCTGTGTCTTGTTTTGTGGTGGCAGTAAAAAGCTAGCAAGGAAAACAAAATCTTTTAAAACTAGGCATTTAAAAATAAGTCTTTAAGAGTCATTTTAAAACAGTTTCTCCCCTTCCTTTTTCTTGGGAGCTTTGTGTGTCATGAACCCTACTCTAGCAAGTGTACAATGTCATCCCAGACAATGTCCGAAGGTGTAAGCAAGTACAGCCTGGAGCGATTACTTTTGTTGATGGAAAAGTTAGTGGCCCACGAGAAAGCTGATTAGCACCTCCCGATGCTCAGTGATTGGATCGGCAATTTGCCATTGATCCATATGGCTTAACCTCTGAAATGTTGTTAAACAACACCTTGGCCCAACCTACACCTGGGATTCTCTACTTTCCTGCCCACTCCCTCCGCTCCACCATCTCTATCCCACCGTTGGTGGACAAGCTTTTAAGCTAATCTGTCCCTACTCTCTGGAATTTTCTCCACAGAACTCTCCCTAAATATTTCCACCTTGCTTCCTCCCTACTCTGCTTTCAAAATACACCTAATGGCCCCATTTTTGACTGGGTTTTTGGCTACCTCCCGCCAAGCACACCCCCCCCCCCATCATTTCCCACCCAGCTCTGGGACGTTACCCTGCGTGAGGGGCACTATATAAATGCATATTGTTGTTATTTCCTGTCAGCTTGTGGGACATTGCTGCCCACAAATTGGCTGCTATATTCACCTAAATATAGTCATTACACCTTAATAGTAATTAATATAAAATGCTTTCAGACATTCCGACATTGGAGGGGCAATATTGGATGCAAGCATTTTATGAAAGTTTAGAACAGAAAATTACCAGAGTTCCTGTACTTGAATCTATTTTATAGGAGGAATTTAAAAACTTTGGATTGGATTTGTAGTCCGTTGGGATATGTTCTCCATTTCTGTACCAGGAATACATGGATGGTGGATAGCCTTCATTCTCAGCACACGTCAGAGTTGCAGTCTTCCCCACTGGTACCGATTTAGGCACGAAACATCGAGGTGTGATTGGTTTCACTGTCGAACAAACTCATTTTTCAGAATTGGGAAGATCATGACATTTGACACATAATGCAAAAATATAACCACATCATGAAATTACAATGAAAAATACTCTACATCAACTTTTCTCAAAGTGAGATTACCATTTAATTATAACCCAAATACGTTAGCAATGCATACCTGTTGTAGATATGGGCAGTTATAGTCATCTGGAGTTCAGGACTGAGTTTACTACTAATTTTCTTTTCTTTTTATAGTCTCGTCAGGATATGAATAAATAAAGTTGGTTTGTAATTCCTAGCTCTTGCTTTTAATCGGTCCTGAAAAGCCCCTTCTGATCTGATTTGAGACATCCTCCTGACGTGAAAAGCTCTACAAATGTAACTTGCTGTTGTCAATTCCCCAACAAAATTTACAGTCAATTCACTTTACAGTATATCTTGTGAAGCGCTTCAAGACATCTCGAAGATGTGATAAAGCGCTGTATCAAATACAAGAATTATTATTATGAGCTCATGCCAAAATCAAAAATCACGAACATAGAATTTGTGTTTTGATGGAATAAAAGAGCCTGTCATAAGATGCTCTGATGAAAGTTTCCTGGAACGGTCCAAGGACATTGAATGGACATTAAGGAAGCAGGTCCAGCGTGATTCACACACAGATTTATACTGAGTGGGCGCTAACTGCATTCCTGCTTAAAGTATCTATTCCAGCCAGCTCCAGCACGAAATGCTGTTCATACCACAGGTTTAGATCACTACCAAATACGCAGTATTAATGTTGAATCAGATATTTTGGTTCAAGGTAATGATATTTCATTGATTCCCAATGTTTCTTGACATCTCACTTGCGAATAGACTAGTCAACAATGAATTACATAGAAACTTCAGCTCATCCTATGAGAACATTTCATCATACATTGGTAAAAAATTATATGAAAAGTACCTTGCACCGTGAGGTTAATGTAAAGTTCACCTAATGAATTCTCGTCATTAATTGCTGTTACTTCGCAGCGATATGTTGCCGTGTCTTTACGAGTTGCATTATATATAAAGAGAGTGGCTTTATCAATATCCGCTCGGCCTTCCAAGTCCCCTAAGTAAAATGATAAATGTGCGTTACAAATAGTGTCTGCTTTCATCACCGGAATATTTAATTCGTAATACGCAATCAATAATCTCACAAAATTCAACAAATCTAGGAGATTTAAAACTCAGAAGAAACAACCATCTATCTTTCTTCCCACCCTACTATTTTGTCACTCCACCTCCCTTGATAAGGGGGGTAGGAAGTTTGAGACAAGTTAATATGCCCAAACTGCAATTCTGGCTAAAATTGGCAAATTCAAAGATCAGGATTAAAATTGACTATGAAAACTAATTGCAGCAGAATATAATGTCATGGATTAGATCAAATTCTATACAGGTTAATGGAACATGCTGCTCAATTTCCTGAATCTAAATTAAAATGTTCAACCGTCAAATGTAAGTAAATGCAAAAAAGAAAAATCTGTTTTGTATACTGTTTTATTTTCAGGGTTTGTATGTCCCTGTGAAATTTGCGCTCTTCTCCAACCAAACAATATATTCCAGTCCATTGCCGACGGGGATATGTGCTTTCTAAGAGTGATACGTGATCAATTCCCCTCTTCCCCTCTCACTTAACATTTTAGAGGCTGGGAATCAAAGTAATAAACTGAGAAAATCAGTTACAACAAATTAGTTCCTCCCCGATTCCTGCATATAATGATCTTGTAAGCAGCATTCAAGTGCGAGACTATGTAAACTGTGATATAAAGCTTGCCTGCACCTTCCCACACACACGCGCTTAAATCAAATGATCTACATCTGACATCATTGTTTGTACTAACTGTGTCCTGATTGTACGAATGTTTATGTTCCAGAACACAACATCTTAAACACTAGATATTTAGATAGATATCTTTGAAAAATATCAAAGGCTGTATTACAATAAAACTCGCATTAGCTGCATCAGTCGGGACTTACGCCAAGTTGGAGTTGCAGGCAAACTGTATAAATCGGATAAAATCCGATTTAATCAATCTACACCACACATGCATAATTCAATGCAGTGCGCATGCGGGGACGGGTCAAGACTATATTTACTGGTCTGCCCTTCCAGTTCCTGCCAATGACCCAGACTGCGGACCCACCTGGCTCGAGAACCAGATTACTGACATCACCACAGAGGGCTGACTCGAGTCCCACATTCTGTTGCCAAGCATGTCATCTCAAGAGCCAGTTCAGCTCCAAGGAGACCCCGCAGCCTACTCTATGTAATGGCATTACATAATTTGAAACAATACCTGTGAACTTTTTCAAAAAATACACATGGCTTGGAGCAACATTTGATTTTGACAACTTCTTCCACTCAATTCGAGGATGGACAGTTACCGTGGATTCGATAAGGCAGGATAATGTAGCACCTTAAAAAAAAACAATATGATTTTTTAGCAGTGTTTGAAGATGTGGCTAAATTAAATCTCTGTTAGTAATTAAGAGTATTTACTCCGAATTAATTTCTGTGGAACTTTCTAGATTTCAATGTAAGGCAAAATTCTGACTGTACAGCATAAAAATAGTTTCCTTTTAAACTGAGAACATTTTATTTATCTCATTTTTCTGTATTGGGAGAGTCCGAGTCACTATACATTTGATTTCCTCAAACATTCACATGATAAACTAAAACTATTCTCCGCACTTTAGATGGAAAATGAGATTTGTAATGTTCTGACATGTGGAGTCCTGTAGCTCAGTGCTAAGAGCACTCGTCTCGCAAGCGAGAAACGTGAGTTTGATTGCCGGGCAGGACGAAACGTTGAGCAAGTTTCCTTACTCCACATGTGGCTCCTTAGCAACCGTAAAAGATAAATGGTGGAACATGTACAAATCCCAGGTGTTGAAATGATTAGCTTAAGCCTAAAGAGTAAGTAGGAACCTAGCAGTTTACCTAGCATTAAGTAGGTAGTCAACTGGCAGATCGCTTTTCCAGGGATAATAATCCCTCAAAAAATAAATTTTACAAAAGAATTTGTTCACTCAATCCATGACTGTTTGTGGGACACTGTTGCGCGCAATTGGCTACCACATTTTGCCCACAAAATATGCAGTCAATTCACTTTACAGTATATTCTGTGAAGCGCTTTGAGACGTCTCGAAGCTGTGATAAGGCGCTATATCAAATGTAAGGATTATTATTATTAATTGGGGGAAAAAGGAGAAAATAGTTATTAATGTACTTACTTTCAAATTCATTCACCACAGGGTTATTGTTATTGGATGTTAATACCAATGCCCACATTTGACAACCTGTACAGAGAATAAAAACAAAAATATAATTTCTGCAGCAAACATTTCACAAAGTGACAAACAAAGGTTAGAACACAGAGAAACTTCCTGCACTTTTCCAAATTGAGCCACAAAAATCTTTAATGCCCATTGGAACAGACAGACAGGACCTCAGAGAGATCACACTGAACTCCGATAGAGGGACAACTCGTTCGAAAAACAGCACCTTCAACAATGTAGCACAACCCCAGGACTCCACCAAAGTGTCAGCCAAGACTTGAGTTCAAAGTCCTGACGTGGGCCTCAAACTCACAGCCTTCTGACTCAGAGCCACCGACTCAGAGCTACCAACTAAGCCAGGCCGACTAAAAAAAACAATTGCTCTTTATCACAGTCGATCCACTTCTGTGAAGCGCTTTAAGACGTCTCAGCAAGAGAGGGAGAGTGATTGAGAGAGAGATCAAGAGGGAGAGAAACAAAGAGAGTGCGGGAGAGAAAGAGAGGGGAGAAATGAAGGCAGTGTTTCGTGGTTCACGAAACATTCCATTCCCAAAGTACCTCCAACTCGCTTCCTCTTTCCCTTCTTTGAAGGCACATCAAGACCTAACTCTTTGACTGCGCTCTCAGTCATCTTTTTCCCTCCCCAGCCCCCTCAGCTCCCATCCCCAGCCTGGGTGCCCAGCCAGCGGTGTCGAGCGCTTTCAGAAGTCCTGCCGACGTGAAAAAGGAGCTGTGCAAATGTTACGCTTCTGGAAGGGAAACACAAAAGTACTGCTTATGCGGCCCGTGTTTCTCAAATAGGGCACCCGGCTCCCGGCAGCCACCTTGGCATAGGTTAGTTAACAGTGTTATAATGTTATAATGTTAGATTAAAAAATCACAGCTGTTTAAACCCATCCAACAACCGCAGCTTGCCTTATAGTTGTTAATTATCAACAGAATCTCAAACTACAGTCGTAATGCCTTTGAAACAGCTGAAATTCTTCAACAAATGGTCTACGGATAAAGTGCAGCACATTTTTCATCTCTCTGTACTTCCCTGCCAACCCTCTAAAACCATACTTAGTACTTCGACATGGGCAAAGGATAGCAAAGAGAAAAAAATTAAATGCACATTTTAAATATTTTGTGAATGGCCACATGAACACTGCCAGTTAGTATTCAATGATAAATCAGAGATCAAACTTAGCAACCATAAAAGATAAATGGTGGAACATGTATAAATCCCAGCTGTTGAAAAAATTAGCTTAAGCCTAGACAGCCGGTCCTCAAAATATAGAAACATAATCTTTTTAAACAGCTGAAATTTGTTTTAACATAATAATTCACTTTTGGAGTAACATTTCATCTCAGATAGCCCATGAATTACCTAAACGTCATAAAGTAATCACAACAGCAACAAATTACATTTATATAGTGCCTTTGACGTCGGGAGGATGTTCCAAAGCTCTGGACAATCAAGCATGCACCCGGCTGGGGTTGGGATCTGGAGTAGAGGAGGACAGGAAGAGTGGGGAAGTGAGAAGGGGGAGATGAGTAGAGGGCGCTGGGGGCAGGGAATGGAGAGACACCCATTTTCAGACAAGTTTCTTCACTTTGCAATATGTCAAAAACACTAAAGCTGTATGACCATGAATTTATGGAATTCTCAGTTTGGCTTGAATACTCTTGAACGTGGTGATGGGTTTCGGCATGCATCACAACTCAGCTGACCCAAAAAAAACATGAATTTTAACCTGTGATTTTAAAAAAACCATCCTCTAATAATTTCCACAAGAACGATAGAAAAAGCTACACCAAAATAAACTCTGCAACCACAAGAGCATAAGTTTACATACTAAATATGGGAAAAATCTCACCACGAAAAGACTGCAATAAACTCACTATTGTGCTCCTCACAAAGACAGGATATTCCGGAAGTGCTGAGATATATTTGTATCCTGTTTCATGAAAGGCTTTGAAGACGAGGACCAGGATCTTCCATGTGATGGGAAGCCAGTGGAGTCGGGCGAGGATGGGGGTGATAGGGTCACAGAGCCTGATGCGGGAGAGGGCACGGACTGCAGAGTTCTGGACGATCTGCAGCTTATGGAGGGAGGAGTTGGGGAGGCCAATGCAGGGAGTTTGCATAGTCAAGCCTGGATGTTATGAATGCGTGTATGATGGTTTCAGCGGCCTGTGGTGTAACAGTCGCAGAGTTGGGCGATGTTGCGGAGGTGGGGGAAGATTTGGGGTGGAAAGGATAGTTGAGGGTTAAGCAAGACGCCAAGGTTCTGGACCAGCTTAATAAGGTGGAGTGTGGAGACTTGGATGGTGATGCTGTCAGTAATGACTGGAAGATTAAAGAAACCTACATAAAAACAGACTGGGACTTTAAAAACTACAAATTAATCATTGAGCCTCATTGCCTTGTATTTTAGTAGATAACGAAAAATCAATCCTAATGGTATTTCATTAATATGAATGGTCCAAAAATAAGTATTATATTGAGAGTTAGTTATTAAATGGGACTCCAGATAAAAATTACAATGGGATAATTCCATTTTCTGCGACAAAGTACAGCGCATCATTAGAAAAGACAATTGAAGCCAGAAAACTTCCTACAATAAAGGAATTTGGAGGGAGATGGGAGTTCTTTATTTAGGCATTTAAGCACTCCAAGACACTACCATGCATGAAGAATGTAAGTAATACAATAATAATCCTTGTCAGGCACTGCTGTGTGAAATTGGCTGCTGTGTTTCACCCACAAAGTATAGTCAGTTCACTTTACAGTATATTCTGTGAAGGGCTTTAAGACGTCTCAAAGACGTGATGAGGCGCTAATAATATCAAATCCAAGGATTATTATTATTATTATAAAAGGTTGGACCACCCTGGCTTTGACCATACGAGGTCCAAGTCCCGACATAATACGATTGGAGCTGACAAAACATCATATATTAGCAAGGAATAATCTTGCATGTATGGCACTTAATAGCTAAAAACAATCCAGAAAGATATTATTTGAATTGATAATTCAAATAGTGGGTAGTGCTCTCGCCTCTGAATCAGAGGTTGTGAGTTCAAGCTCTACATCAGGACTTGGAACCCAAAGTATATTTTTAATCACCTAAAAAAAGTTTTGCAGTGGTTAAACTGACTTGAGAGATGCGAGCGTATAAAAGTGATGATTCACGTAATCTGAAAATCTATGCAGAAAATTTAGCAGTGTTTGGTTTCACCACACAACAACTTTTGTCATGGGTCTTAAAGAAGGTGGAGGGTGTACTCATCCAAAGCTGTGTTCATAGCTTTTTTACAGACTATTATTGATCTAAACAAATAACTGCTTTGTTGAGGAACAAGTAACTTGCTCGCTGCCTTGTACTAAGAACAAAGGATAACTGTTAAATAAAAACAGAAGCGGCTATATGACTGACCTCAAGTTAAATACTGAAGTTGTACTGCATTTTCCTGGCAATGATATTATTTTCTCCAAAGTAAAGGAAGAATATTTTGTGGCACACAGAAGTCTATGTATGCAGTCAAGAAATCAAACAGTAAAATTGAATATATAATTTTATTCCACCCAAGCCACTTGTTTTCTTGTTGAATGCAACATTGAAAATGGTTGTGCTGCAGAAAACGTTCAATCACCCATCATGATGTAATATACAGTGAAAACTGATTAAGCCGGACATATCGAGGCTAGCCGTTTGGTCCAGCATAACCAGCATCCAAGGTTAACTGACGGCCTGATCACTCTGACTAAAATCCTTTTTTTCTACTGTTGTAATTGTGTCCTTTATCGATATTGCAAGACCTCCTCCTTTCGCAATTTCGCTGTGCTTTCTAAAAATCTTTATTATTAAGCATCATTAACATTAACATCATTAACAAGGTCCCTCAAGCACAAGACCTCAGAATTTCAGTTTTTGAAAAACAATCCAGGTTGAATTTCCCCATTTCTCCTGAGGCTGGCTAATTCAATCTCTGGAGGGAAAACAAGTTGGGTTGCTCGCTCTCCAATGACCCCTCCTAGAATGTGTATTAATGCCAGCTGACAGCAGAATCAGGCTCAGCTGTGATGCCCCGCCCTTCGTTGCGGACCAGGCTCACATATGGAGAATGCCAACTCGGGCTAGATACTGGAAATCAAAAGCAGTGCCAACCCAAACATAACCCAGGATGGGCAATTGCCTTGAAGAGAAAAACAGGAAACTGGGCAAAAAGAAGAGGGCGGGCTGGAGAAATAGAATTATCTTCTATAAATGCAGCACATTGTTATGGTAAAGGGTATGTAAGTAGAATATTCTACTGGCACTGCTCATTTTCATCCTGAGTCTGAATTTAATTTACTTGTGACTGCAAGATTTGCAATGATCGTTTTCTCACCTCTATTAGCACAATTCATTAATCATCCCGTGTACATCATCTGCTTAACATATACCATCATCTTAGGTCACAGTGAATGACACATCTTGTATCTATTTATGTATAATTCAATAAGAACAAATATTACAAACCTTTTTTAAATCAGTTTATTTTGTTAAAATTGACACATTTTCTTCAAATTGAAAAAGTAGTAATATGAAACAAAGAAACTTGGAAGATAGTGGGAACAATATCATGAGATGAGATGACAGTTGAACCAATATTAAACATTTCAATCGGTGCTATAAAACATTTTTATTCTGTCCTTGTATCTACAAATTCCACCCTCTGGTAAATTAGGTAAAATAACTTTCTGAATTTATTAATATATCAAAACAACTTAGCTCTGTAGTTAGATTTAGCATATACCCACACTTCCCTTTTTGTCCACCCTTCGTTATATTCGACTACGAAATCTTCCACATAACAAATGTAATAAACTTCACAGTGATAGATGTGCAAGTTAACGTTCTTTGGGAAGACTCGTTACGCGAACCCGACTCAGTTGATTTACTCCATAAACTTCCTTATACTGTTCACCACAGAATTATTTTACTGCCGTCAAGTCGGCAAAGGTTCGTGAATTTTACTGGAATTCTGTAACCTCAGGACTGGGGCTGACCGGCACACAAAAAAATAATTACTGCTGGATAAGCAACAAGTTTTTAAACTCGCTTGACCAACTCCTGCCAAGACTTTTCACTACTCACAGTGTGCGTCTGAGTCTCATGATGCTATAACTAGTTATTTACCAGAGATCGGGGAGTGGGTTAAAACTTATCTGTGCGCATACACACACACACCCAAAGTTTCTCACGCAGTGGGAGGGTAACGAGAGATAAGAGTGGGTGGGCTTCAAGAAATATCTGAAAATCCTGAGCGTAAACCAAAGTTTTAAAAGAAAAAAAAGGAAAAGCAGATGATTTTTTTTTTTTTGGGGGGGGGAGAGAGGGGGGTGTTTGTTTGTTTTAAGTGAAAAGAAAAAACTTTTTTTTTTGGGTGGGGGGGGGGGGGGGAGGATTTTGCCAGGTTGTGTTTGTTTAAATTAAGAGCAAATCTTGTTTTTTTTTTGATCTTGCTGGAAATCAGACCTTTCTTTCACACACACACACACACACACATATATATATATATATTCGCCTGACAACGTGAGGTCTCTCCGGGCAGTTTTCCCAACGCTTGGAAAAACTATACCGTTATTCCTTTATCGAGGACGACGACAACAACAACACACAAAAGTTCCTCCACCCCCACGCAGCTGGATAGAAATGAAAACTCCTCTGTGAAGGAGAGGGAGAAGCAGGAGGGAGGGAGGGAGGGAGGGGGAAAACTCTTGCTTAAACGGGAATGGAAATAACTAACCCTTTCGTTTGCAAACACTCCTCAAGTGTGTGTTTTTATACAACTGACAAACAAACAAACAGGAGCCCGAAAACTTTTCACCTCAAATAATAAAGCGGTGTTTCATTGTATTATTTTCCCCTCTCTGTGTCTGTCTCTTCCTCCCTCTCTGTGTCTGTCTCCCCCTCCCTCTCTGTATCTCTGTGTCTGTCTCCCCCTCACTCTCTATCTGTCTCCCCCTCACTCTCTGTCTCTCTGTGTCTGTCTCCCCCTCCCTCTCTGTATCTCTGTGTCTGTCTCCCCCTCCCTCTCTGTCTCTCTGTGTCTGTCTCCCCTTCCCTCTCTGTCTCTCTGTGTCTGTCTCCCCCTCCCTCTCTGTCTCTCTGTGTCTGTCTCCCCCTCCCTCTCTGTCTCTCTGTGTCTGTCTCCCCTTCCCTCTCTGTCTCTCTGTGTCTGTCTCCCCCTCCCTCTCTGTCTCTCTGTGTCTGTCTCCCCCTCCCTCTCTGTCTCTCTGTGTCTGTCTCCCTCTCCCCCCCCTCCCTCGCTCTCTGTGCGAGAGATGACTTTTACTGACTTTATCCACGCGCTAAAGTGGAGAAAATAAAAAGGATAACGGGAGGGGTGTGTGGGTGTGTGTGTGTGTGTGTGGCCGGGCGGGGGGGGGGGGGAGGGATCGCCTCTACTTCGATGAAATAATAAAACGGGCGGTGTGTTTCACTGTATTTATTCTCTCTGTGAGTGTGAGTGAATTATGACTGTGTATCCACACCGTGAAAAAGTGGGAGAAAATAAAAAGGACGAAGGAGTTGAATGAAGGGGATGGGGGGATGCTGAAGGGGGGTAGATATGCTGAAGGGGGATGATGGGGGGGGGGGTTGCTGAAGGGGGTGGGTTGGGGGGATGCTAAGGGGGGGAATGGGATGAGGAGGAGGGAATGGGATGAGTGGGGAGGGGGGAATGGGATGAGGAGGAGGGGAATGGGATGAGTGGGGAGGGGGAAACGGGGTGGAATGAAGGGAGGGAGGGTGTGTGTGTGTGGGTGGGATGGGGGGGGGAGGGGAGGGGTAGAGATGAGATGAGGGGAGACGGGACGGGGTGGAAGCGGGCGGGTGGTGGAGTGGGGAGGGGGGGAGAGAAGAGAGAGAGTGAGTGAGTGAGTGAGACAGACAGAGAGAGAGACAGAGCGAAGCCGCGTCTCGCGCAGAAACCGTTAGCCGCGCGCGGGGGGGGGGGGGGGAGAGGGCGCGCGAGGAGCGAGTTGACACCATTCAAACTGTCCTCCCCCCCCCCTCACAAACCCGCCACGAACAGCCAACTTCTCTCTCTCTCTCTCCCCCCCCCACCAATCAACCGACCAAAAACAAATCTCCTACTTACCCTCCGTCAAGAGGATGAGGAGCCCGAAAAGAATCCTCGACGCCCGCAGCGCTGCCGCCATCTTGAGCAATCACTGCTCCGCCCCGCCCCGCCCCCCCGAGGGGTGAACTGCGCCTGCGCAGTGCGCCCCGCCCCGCCCCTCCCGCCCGGACCACGCCCTCTGAGGAGGGTCACCATAGCAACCGCCCCCATCGCCATCACCACAGCCCAGAGCGCCCCAAGAAGATGCTTGACCATTCCCCCCCCCACCACCCACACCCACACCCCCCCCAACCCAGGGTACCAGGGAGGCAGGGGAGGGGGTGAGGTGCTTTCCCCCCCCCCCCAGGGTACCAGGGAGGCAGGGGAGGGGGTGAGGGTGAGTTGTTCTCTCCCCCCCCCACCCCCCAGGGTACCAGGGAGGCAGGGGAGGGGGTGAGGTGCTTCCCCCCCACCCCCAGGGTACCAGGGAGGCAGGGGAGGGGGTGAGGGTGAGTTGTTCTCTCCCCCCCCCACCCCCCAGGGTACCAGGAAGGCAGGGGAGGGGGTGAGGTGCTCTCCTCCCCACCCCACCCCCAGGGTACCAGGGAGGCAGGGGAGGGGGTGAGGGTGAGTTTTTCTCTCCCCACCCCACCCCCAGGGTACCAGGGAGGCAGGGGAGGGGGTGAGGGTGAGTTGTTCTCTCCCCACCCCACCCACCAGGGTACCAGGGAGGCAGGGGAGGGGGTGAGGGTGAGGTGCTCTGCCCCTCCCACCCCCTCCCCCCACCCCAGGGTACCAGGGAGGCAGGGGAGGGGGTGAGGGTGAGGCGCGATTTGAAGATGGGAAAGGAAGGGGCAAGGCAGAGGGATAGAGGGAAAATGTTCCAGAGTTTTGGGGCGTAGTGGCTGAAAGTGTGGCCACCAATAGTGGAACGGAGGGCACGAGGGACACGCAGGAGCCCGGAGCCAGTCGAGCGGAGGCAGCAGGTAGTGGATTCGGTAGTAAACAGGTTGAAGGGATTGGAAAACGAGTGTGAAGATCTTGAAATCGATCCGTTTCGGCGATAAGGAGCCCGAGGCGCTTGGCTAGAACCGGTGTGAGGGGGGCACAGACTTTAGTGTGGGTGAGTATGTGGGCAGTGGAGTTTTCAATGTGGAGGGTGAGGTTTAGGAGAGAGAGAAGGACATTGAAGTTAGAGGAGGTGGGATAAGAGGAGCTTAGGTGGAGGTTGAAATCACCCATTATGACCAGATGTTCAGGTCAGAGGCAGAGGGATGAGAGGAGGGAAGAGATGTCAGGGATGAAGGAAACAAGTGGTTTGGAAGGACAATAAATGGGAAGGATTTTGAAGGAGAGGGAGGTACAGGGTTAAGTGTTCAAAATTGGAAGGAGCCGGGGGAATAGGAGGATAGATAGAGCGAGGGAAGTTTGGGATTTTGTTTTGTGCAGTTATTCAAACTTTTAAAAGTGTTTGTTTCCGAGGATGTTTGTGCCAAAACGTGATGATCATTAACAAAAAAAAAATCGAATTCATTCTTTCATTTCTGTAACCAAATGCCAAATGACAACTCATCTTCTGTCTCACCACTGTTGCTTTGTGTCATCCACACCTCTTGGTTGTGCCTAAAAAAACACGATTAACCAGATGCTTGTTAATCCTGTAAAATAGGGATCATGAAATGCATCGTCCATACACGTGAAAACCTCTCAATCATGCCTCTTCGTGACTAATACTGAAGGACATAAAATGAGCTTTGCTGCAGGTTTGTAACTTCTAATCCCTGTCTCAGTCCACCTATTACGACTAAAGTCCTTTAATACTTTAGGTTTAGAATCTTCCTTAAGGAAAGATGTTCTTGTACGTATAATCACTGTGCAAGGTAGAACTTGCTGCAACCAAGTTTGTCCACCTCTGACCCAGTAAGTAAGGAAATCCTGTTGCCAAATACTTGCTAAAGACCTCATGATATTATTGAATTATATAGAATGTTACTGTGCGGAAACAGGCCATTAGACCTAACTAGTGCATGTCCGTGTTTATACTCCACACGAACCTCACCCTCTTAATCACTTCTTCCATGCTGCTATATTCTCTTTGATTTGTAATCTCTTGGTCATATCAAAAATGATAGTCAAAAACAACTTGCACTTGTATAGCAGGGTAGTGTCTCGGAGTGCTTATCAGTGGCAGAGCTTTGCATTGAGCCAGGAAGAGAGGGGAGATGACAGAAAGGGCTTCAGGTGTGAACTGAAGACAGACAAAGAGCGGACAAGGTGGAGCGATTGAGGCTGAATGACTATGTTTTAGGGCAAACACAGCCTCCGATGGTAGAGCAGAGTGCACAAAGGATGTGCAGAAGGCCAGAGCCAGCTGAGCAAAAGGCGGAGGTAGAAGACTAGGGTGTAAGGAAGTCAAAGATATAGGGAGGTACTCGGGCGTGCAGTGATTTGTACGCCAATGTAAGGATCTTAAAATCCATTCATTCTGCAAAGGTAAGCCAGTGGAGCCTGGCAAGGACTGGGACGATGTGGGGAGGGGAGTACGGAGTTTGGTATGGGTGAGGATATGGACTCCAGAGCTTTGAATTAATTAGATTTCATGAGTGGTGGGTTAAGGGAGACTGACAAGGTAAGGTGGGCATTGGAAAAACTGAGGTGGGAGGTGGCGAATAGAGTAAACCCAGAACAATCCTACGTGGGGCTTGAACTCACAGAGTCTAAACTGATACCCTATCGCAGTGCTGGAGGAGTCTTGCATTGATGGAGGTGCTGTGCTTCAAACGAGACGTTTACCTGAGGACCAGTTTGTGCTCGTTCAGGTGGAAGTGAAGAATTGCTTGTCACTATTTGAAAAGTGAAAGGAATTTCTCCCAGTGTTCTGGCCAACAACCCCCCCCCCCCCCCCCCGATAAAATATGACATTAATTTCATGGCTGTTTGTGGGATATTTGCCATGAAATATCACAGTAAAATCTTCGGGTCACACCTGAAGACCTTCTTCTTCGAGGGTGCCTACGGTCACCTCTCCCCCAACTCAGCGTCATGCTTTACTTGGGTGAAGAGTGCTATACAAATGCAAGTTGTTGTTTTTGTTGTTATCCCAACAACATGATAAGACACTATAAAAATGCAATGGTTGTTATATCGAATCATCTGAAGGGCATTCTTCATCCTAACCTCTCTTGGGATCTGTGAATCACTGACTCTAGTCTCAGGGCAAGGCTCTATGCCTGAAGAATATGTGTCCCACACAGTATAAAAATCAGTATAAATTGAAATATTAGTTCTATACCCATGGTTTCCCCTAATATCTCAGGCAACTATTCTGAGCAGAAAGCATTCCCATTAGAGATTCCTTTCTTTTTAATAGAAAACTATTTTGTCCAGGGAAAAGAAACAAAGTGATGCAAAGAACCATGTACTCCCCAAAGCAATAATAATCATTTATTGTTGAAACCATGTGGATTTAATGTGCATTTAATCTGTCTTTGATACTATTATACAGGCTTTTTTTCTCAGGAGGACTGCTGGGATAATTGTTTATAAATAGGAATTTCTAGCTCACAATCCGACTCTTTATTTGGCCGTTGGGTTGGGATTCACAGCATCTGCATTCCTCCATGTTGATGACAAAAGCATCAAACACTGTAAACCAGCAAATTAATGTGTACCTCCTCTAATTCTTGACATAGTGGAATCCCTGTTATTGTCACATTCAATTTGTCAGTTGGAAAAAGCGAACAGAAGACTTTAGTGCATGAAAGCTTCCGTATGTTACTGTTCCAGACCATGTAGCTTTCCCCAGGGAAAACATTCAACTGGCTTTGTATGGTAGCACAAATACTATGATTATATGATAATTAATTCATTTTTTTAATTTGTTGCTTTGACAACTTTTAATTACTTCAATTTTTGGGGGAACTAGACTATAGCCAATGTTCCCTAAATAGTGGTACAAGAGCCAGATGAATAACACAAATAAATCCTGTAATATAAATAGACCATGCAAATACTGAGAGGTGTAAATGCCTTTAGAAAAAAAGAGAAGCACATTTGTTGTTGTAGAAAATGCATTCCTTTAAAAGCCTTGAAGGCCTTAAAATAATCAGTACTGCACATTTACCTCCTGCAACAATCATACTTAGTGGAGTCAAAGATATTTTATAAAAGCATTTGTTCATACAATTCATAACTTATAATTCATCTGAAACATCAACAGGTTGTGACATAATAATAATAATAATAATAATCCTTGCATTTGATATAGCGCTTTTCATGTCAGGAGGACATCCCAAAGCGCTTCACAGAACACACTGTAAAGTGAATTGACTGTATATTTGTGGGCGAACGCGGCAGCCAATTGCGCACAGCAATGTCCCACAAACAGTCGTGGACTGAAAATGACCAATTTATTATTGTTTTGTTTTGGAGGGATTATTATTAGGCTCTGTGTGGAGTAAGGAAACTTGCCCAAGGTTTCGCCCTCTGCCTGGAACATACAGTGCAGGCTAGAGGCAGAGCAGGATATATATTGAAAAGCTAGTGTTTTGTGCCAAAAAGTGTGAGCATTTAATTCCAGCAAATTAAACAAAACTATATGAAAATGGGTATGATAATATATTCAGGATGTGAAGCTTCCCTGTAATGTTCTGTGATTCAGTGTACTGAATCATAATTGTATTCGATGAAACAATTAAAAAAAAGTGTCATGTTCTGAATCTGTGACAAAGAATAAAGTTGTAGGGAGTCATTTGCACCTTTGCCTATTCAGGAGGTTCTGATACTCAAATCATCAGAAGATGAAAGAACAGATGTCAGCGTTTTTTTTTCCCCCTTTGGTCAGCCGCGTGTCTGAGAATTGCGGAAACCCATCACCAAGTTTAAGAGCGTGCAAACCAAGCTGAGATTTCCATGCATCCCGCCTACACGCTTACCAAATTCTAGAGTGTCACTCGGCTGATCCCTCAGAGAATAATGTAGAAAGAAAATAACGATAGGTTGGCCGATTTAATTCTATTGTCTTATCCTCGAATTTTTAAATGCAGTATTATTCCAACCAGAAATAACCTCAACTGTGTCCAGTTATTTTCAACTGAATTAAGGTGAATCACTGTGCAATGCACAAACACAATTGATTAGGGCAAA